AACTGAAGCACATCATCGACAATGCTTTTTTCAGATGCTGCAGGAAAGATTTGTACCTGAGAACGGATTAAGTGTCTAGCTTGTAGTACCTAAAGAAGTGAGTTTTTGACAAGTTAAATTTTTTGCACAGCTGTTCCAAAGATGCAAAATAGTTCCCAATGAATAAATCAGTAAAGTGGCTAATACCTGGTCTGTGCCATTCCTGAAAGGCGGCGTCAACTGAGGGTTAGAAAGGATTGGGCTGGAGAGAGAAAAGCTAGTTAAATTAAAATGTTTTCTAAACTGGTTCCATATTTTCAAAGATTGTTTAATAACAGGGTTAGTGATTGAAATATGTGAGTGAGGATCTGAGCAAGGCTGGAATAGAACTGGAATTTTTAACTGAGTTTAGCTCCAAATCCACCCACTCTGGTTGACCTGTCCTGTCATAGAAATGTGTCCAAAAAGTAAGACAGCGTATGTACGCTGCCCAGTAGTACAGTTGAAAGTTAGGTAGAGCCATGCCCCCGCTGTTTTTGGATTTTTGAAGATGAACTTTGTTGAGACGAGGATGCTTGCCTTTCCATATGTATGATGACAAAACTGAATCTAACTGATCAAAGAAAGATTTTGGTATAAAAACTGGAATTGATTGAAAAGTATAAATATTTAGGAAGAATGGACATTTTAATTGAATTGATTCTGCCTACAAGGGATGTAGATAGAGGAGACCACTGTGCCAGACCTAGTTTAACTTTGTTTAGCAGAGATAGAAAGTTTTCTTCATAAAGACATTTGTATTTAGTTGTCACTGTAATGCCTAGATAGGTAATCTTGTTTTTAGTAACTTTAAAAGGAAGATTTGATAAGTCTGTGATAAAGGCAGCTTCACTCAATGAAAGCAGTTCACTTTTGTGAAGATTAAGTTTGTATCCTGAAAACTGGCCAAAGTGGGAAAGCAAAGGCATTATGGAAGGTAGCGAAGTGTCCGGGTGTGATATAAAGACCAGTAGGTCATCTGTGTAAAGGGACACTTTATGTTCAACTCCCCACCTCCAGATGCCTTTGATTTATGGGAAGCTTCTCAGGGTAATAGCCAGAGGTTACAAAGCCAGGTTGAAAAGGAGTGGACTCAGGGGACAACCCTGACGAGTACCTCGCTGAAGACTAAATGGTTGGGATTTTGGGGAATTTGTGAGAACAGAAGCAGTTGGGTTTGAGAATGATAGTTTTATCAAATTAATAAAACTAGGCCCGAAATTAAATTTCTCTCAAACATTAAACAAGTATGCCCATTCCACACGGTCAAATGCTTTTTCCGCTCCAAGGAGAGGACACATTCAGGCACTGTATCTGAGGGAGTATACATGAGATTGAGAAGACGGCAAATATTGAAATAAGGCTGGCGGTTTTTGATAAAGCCACTTTGGTCTTCAGAAATAACTGATGGAAGAACATTTTCTAATCTTTGGACCAGAACTTTTGCCAAGATCTTAGCATCCACATTCACCAAAGAGACTGGTCTGTAGGAAGAGCACTCAGTTGGATCCTTGCCTTCCTTTGGAATAAGAGTAATGTAGTAACCTTTTTGGAAAAGGTCTGCTAATGTATTGTCATTAGAATACTCTGAGGTGTAAACAGTAGCGGTTCTAGGCACGGGCGAATAGGGCAGCCGCCCGGGGCGGCATTTGTGTCATGACTCATGGGGGGCGGCACGAGCACTTCCAAAAAAATAAAATAAAAGATAATTATAATAAATGTTAACCGCAAAGCGGTTTTGTATTAACTCTTGTTGTCAAATTGGCGCCCCCCCCCCCCCCCCCCTGCTGTAGGCGCCCCTGCTTGCTCCGAAGGTGCTGCACAGAGGCTGACAGACTGTGTGAGACGAGGCGGGGAGAGAGTCGCGGGGGCACAGCTCTGCTCTGTGTACTTATGTCAGCATATCAGTGGGAGCGCGGATACGTAATTTTGTAGTTTTTTAATCATTTCTGGAGTCGCGGTGAGTGAAATTACCGTACCCGTCTGCCTTTGATAGGCGAATAAAGCGCTCGGGTTCATGCTCGGATCTTGCTACGTGCTTGATGAGCTTCATGAGTAAAGTAAACAATGATGGAGACAGAGAGCAGCTTCAGAGGAGAAACTTGGAGGGGTGCTCGCCCGGGGAGTAATTTGGTCTAGAACCGCCACTGGGTGTAAAGCTGAGAGTAATCATTTTTGAATGCATCATTTATTTCAGAGGGATCAGAGGTGATGTTTCCATTTTCCGTACGTATTTTTGTTAGGAACTGTTTTGCTTTAAGTCCTCTAAACTGATTTGCAAGCAGCTTACCAGTTTTATCGCCATGAACATAGAATCTGTTTTTACTCATTTTAAGCTGTCTTTCGATTTGATATGTTGAGAGAAGGTCATACTTAGTCTGAAGTTCAGTTCTTAATTTATACATTTTGGGGTCTTTCACTAAAGCATACTGCTGATCCATTGCTCCAATTCTGTTAGCTAAATCATCTCTTTCTCTTCTGGCTTCCCTTTTCATATTGGCAGTGTATGAAATAATTTGACCCCTGAGGTAGGCTTTCAAGGTTTCCCAAACAACAAGACTGGGGGTCTCAGCTGATAAGTTTGTATTAAAGAAGAAAGCAATTTGTTCCTCCATAAATTGAATAAACTTGTTGTCTGACGGTAAGGTTCAGTTGAGGCGCCAGTTTGTCCTCTTGCTAGGAAGACCAGGTAAATCCAGTGACAGCACAACGGGGGCATGGTCTGAGATAATTATATTTTGATACTCACAGGAGCAAACTAATTGCAGCAGTTGGTTATGCGAGAAAAAAGAATACTCTCCTAGTTGGGTGGAGGTGTCGCAAAACATCTGAAATGGCATATTCCGATAAGACAGACTGAATTAAAGAGGCTGATCTACTAAGAGTGCCAGGGTTAGTAGAGGATCTGTCCAGCACAGGGTCTAACCAGCAGTTAAGATCCCCTCCTAGTATGAGGGCGTATGAACTCAGATCAAGTAGGGAAGAGAAGAAACAATTAAAGAAACCCACATCATCCACATTTGGAACATAAATGTTAGCCAGGACTACCTTTGTGTTGTAGAGTTTACCTGAAACTGCTGACCTCAGTCATTCCTGCTGTCTGTTAACTTTCCTTTTTTAAGCACAGCTGGTTATTTTGCTTCTGTTCTTCCATTCAAATCTAAAGCCACTGAGAAGTGTCCCGTGGTGTTTAATGCATAAGCACAAGAATAATTCAAGTATTTAACAAGTTTTATATTCACACTTTCATAAAACACATCAGGCTGCTGTTCGTGTTAAATGCTATAATACTCCCCTCTAGCGACTGCAGACGGTTACAGCATGTAGGTATGTGGATTTCGGCAGAGATCAGTTTAGTTTCTCATGCAGGTATTTCAATCCTGAGACTTAAGTGATCGATAAATGTTATTTCAAAGGATCAATATAACTGTATTACATGAACAACCTTCATATATAAATAGACAAAAAGGATGGAGGTGGATACAAATGGGTTGATGCTGATGATAGTTTTATTTGTTATATTTAAGGGTTACAGAAGAAAGAAAACAAAGATGGAGGCAGCACACATCATATCTGAGTCATGAGGAAAGGCTGATTTGATCATTATCTCACAGTTTGGATGTATTTACTCTGAACTCATGGTTATCCTCAGAATAAACAGGGTGCTACAGACAGGAAGTACTGCCTTTAAAGAAAACAAAAAGTCAACATTACTACATTTGATCCTCACACCAAAGCGCCCACAGCTGTTTCTTTTCTAGCTGGAACCAGTTCCCTCCCATCCAGTAATACCAAGTTATGGATTCATCGAGAGCAGAGATACAACAGTAAATGCTCTCAAACACCCAACAGCAGGCGTTTATGAGGACGAGTTCCCCCCATAGACTGTATATACAATGGACGCCATCTGCCTCCTCCGTGAGTGAAACCACTCCAAGAACAGCACACTCTGGTGATGGGCTGCAGTATAGATCATAATCCCACCTCCTCCAGCAATCTCTATGGAGCTGTGGACAAACTTTAGAAATTTATTACACAGAATATAAATTTATTCTCCCCCCTGCTTGTGATGTTGACATATAGTTACTGTAAGACTGGTTTGCGCTCAAGTCCTCTTTTTTTCTGTACAGCTTCATTTTTAAAAGTTATCAGGGGGTTCATATTTTCTATGACTGACACTTGATACAACCTATAGGGGTACGAAGATTGCATAGCTCACCTGGGGGATACACTGTTTGAGCGTGAAGTGTCATCACAGCGACTCACGGCGATTCTCTCGCCGAATGTGTACAATGCTATTGCGCAATGTTGGTTTCAGGAAATGGAGAAAAATTGCGGAAATACCGAGAGCTTTTCGGCTTCAAAACCGTATACTGGGGAAGGCAGAACCAAGTTGTCCATAGTATATACAGTCTATAGTTCCCCCACAGAGAGTTTCCCTTACAACACCGAAAAAACAGAGGAGAGGTTTTTAAGGATCCTGGTGACAGATCCAATCCTTAGGATCTGAACCCACACTGCAGATCCAGACTGAGCCAAAGTCAGGAATCACTGTGTCGATTGTGAGCCTGTTGGTCAGTCCAAGTCACTGTGGAGAAGACCTGCAAAGACAGCAAAAGAAATACAGTTTGACTTGATTTTCATCAGACTCACATCCTGACTGAAACCTCTGTGGGTGACTGGTGGACTATCTTCAGTCTGTTGACAAAGTTGAGTCTGAAACCTGAGCAGAAAATATCTTCTGTCATCGGAGACAGTCAGTTTTATCAAGAAGCTGCTCTGTATCCTCTCTGTTTGAGGGTCATTAGTTCTGTTCCACTGAGCTGGTTTATCATCGTCCATAAAACCAGAGGAAAGTCTATTTCTAAGCCCTGCTCCACATCCCTCTGCACCCACTGCTCCTGTGTTTAGGTGTCCTCTTTTTTCTGACTTAGTACAGCTGCTGGATTATGTCTCCAGCCAATAGATAAGCTGCGTCTTACCTAACTAGTCCAGGCCATGGTGACTAAGGCCGGGGCTCCATCTTCAAACAGGAAGTTGGGAGATCGGCGTCTTCGTCCGCTCTTGGTACAGTCCTGGGGGGTAAAAAACAGGAACACAGTGTCCAGAGTTATGAAGGCAGGACCCCCACCCCAGCTGAAGTACCAGCCTGTAAAACCCAACAGCTACAAAGAGAGCAACAAGCCACAACAACCTGCTGAAAAATGTACTGATCATCTCACCGGCTTTTTCATTTGGTTTTACCACTTTAACAAAATCAGACTTTTATTTCTTTGTTGTTTCTATTTTAATTTGTTTTTTAAAAATTGTATTAAGGGCCTCATTAGAAAGAAAAAGGTTTAGTTTTCTGGATTAATGTTGTTAATATATGACCAAAGTTTTTATGTCATGAGAATTTTATTATTATATCAAAAACTTCATATTTTTTTTGTTATGAATATTACAAAAGTGATAATCATTTTAAAAATAAGGTCTTCATGTCACCAGAGTAAAGTCCTAATTAATACGAAAAAAGATGAGTTACGGTACAAGAGACTTGAATTTGAGGAAAGAGATTGGAAGAGGAATAAAGTTGTTACGTGATGAAGTCAGTACGTTTGGAGAATCAGTTTTTTTAATGGAAAAATAAGTTGTTTTTTCCTTTTAAATATATATCATTAAAAAATAAGTTTCTTTTTGTCAAACAACATAACAACTTAACTCATCTCATTATAAAATGTTAGGATCTTCTCCTTGTTTCTCCTATGTTGCCCCTCCCCCCTTTTCTAGATTTGCATTGTCTGCTTGTTTGCCCCTGTCCTTGTCATTGCGGGCTGGCTGTCTCCTCCAATTACCACACCTGTACCATCTACACACCTGTCTGTCATCAGCTCATCAGCCACCACTCTCCTCAGCAGCTTAGGCCCGTACTACACGTATATAGATATTTATTTATCAGGATATTTTTGTACTCCCAAGAAATGGATACTGCCATCACACCTGCACCTGGTATTGCAACTACAAGCAGAGAAACAGCTGCTCCAGTGACAGAGGTGATCCAGGATGAATATAATTACTGGACTTGGATGATGTGATTGATAGAGTAGAAGGGAAAGGCAAATCATTGCGCAACCTGCTACTGTAACTAAAAAGTTATACCATTTATTTTTCATGTTCTGTTTAAGCTACATCATGTTCTGTGGCAGTGTAATGTTCATGTGTAGTGTTGTTTCTTCATTGTTCGCACAACCTGAGAAGACAAATGTGGCCTTTCTCTTTCAAAATTGCCAGGGCCTCTTTTTGGTGACAGTCTGTGACTGAACAAAACCAACAACAAATAGATGAGCTCCTAAAAAAGCAGAAAAGGAAACCTGACAGTCAAAACAAGAAGAACAAAATAAAAAAGGAGCAGATAGTGGAGCTGTGGGCAGATCAACCTAGTCTGTTTGACATCAAATGCAGGGTTTACCCACATGTAATGGCACACCTCCACAGCTAAATAAAAGCCGCACCACCTCAACAATAAAGTTTTTTTTTACACACCACTTTGGACTCAGTATGTATTAAATGCAGTGCACACGGGCTGCACTGTAGGGTTCGCTGAGTATTAGTATTAGGGAGTATCACAATGTCCTACGCAAACACACAGCTGATTAATGAATCCCCCCACCCACCCACCCCAAAATCATACACCACCACAGATAGATTCCCCACCAGTGGGAAACACTGAACTCTCGAAAAATGCTAAAAGAATCTAGTTGTAGTCTTTACATAGTGACCCTGCAAGATTCACAGTCTTTGTATATTTTCAGTCTGGAACTACCCACTGAGCATTTTTTGGTCTAAAAGAGGTCTAATAGATGTAAAGGTAGCCTAGACAAGTGGTCTAAAATCAGGCTACCACAGGTCTAAAAATGACAGAATCTAGACAGTTGAAATTGGGTCTAAAAAAACTAGACGTCTAATAGCCGTCTATTGGGTAGGCTGTGACCAAAAACTCTAAACACTTGTCTTTGGATGAGAGCAGGTGTGAGTTAATAGTTTTCCAGGAGTCTTTCCAAATCTTCCCCAACTCCTCTGGTAGATAGCTGGCCTAACACAGGGGTACTTTGTCCCAGTGACAGATGACTTTAATTACCCAACTATTCACATAATTCTCATAACTCTAGGTCACCTTGTTGATCGTGCCCTTCACTGTTTGTTACTTTCATCTCCCTACAGGTGTAAATGAAGGACCCCTGACCTTGGGGTGTGTTAAGGTGTGTGTGTGTCTGAAGGAGTACCGGTACACAGTTCTTGCCCTTCTTTAAACCGCACAGCTTGACCTGGCAGTGCAGGTAGACGTCGCCGGTGCTTTTGGAGAACTGGAAGGTGGTGAAGGAGAAGGAGTTGGATGTTCCTTTGCCGTTTTTGTCCATTACCACCGTCTTGTCTTTGGCACAGCTGCTCTCAAAGAAAAAAAAAAATCTCATCAGAGACCCAGAAACCCTTTTACAAACTGTCTGTGGAGCCGCAACTCTCCCTCTGCACCTGCCTTACCTTTTGGTGATCAGGTGGTATTGCGGACTCGAATCTGGCTTGACTTCTTTGGTTGCCCAGCAGGAGTCAATCACCATGGCGACCAACCTTTCATCCAGTCCTGTGGTCTTCAACTCCACCCAGACCCTCTGGTTTATTTTAACTGATGTCTCAGATACCGAGAGGTCGGAATCAGCATAAGCCTTCATGATCAAATCATATTTCCATGATCCCGAAGCAACAGATGTGGCCACAGAGCTGCAGAACAAACACGCACGCACACACACACACACACACACACACACACACACACACACACACACACACACACACAGTTATAGACTGTATGAAAACGATGGATGGCAAGACAGCAGGGTGGAAGCTGAAACATCTCCAGCACAGCTCATGAGGCCGTCCTCCATGCGAACAGATGAGACATGGGTCTTACGAAAAAACCTAAATACAGGTAAAAACCAATACTTCTCAGACATAGTTCCTTTCATTGTACTTGACCATCAGTGTTCTTTCTAGACTCCAAACACTCAAATCATCAGCATCTATGGGGAGAACTTTGGTCCACTGGTAGGAGGAAGTGTTTTAAACTGGGAGGAGGGCTCATTACTGGGAAATGGCAACGGTCGAGCCCTGGGCAGACATTGGGAAATGCCCTTTCGAGTGTTAAAAAAATAATTGTTTTCGACGGTTAAAAAATGGCAAAGTACCTGGAAGGTGCCTCTCCAGTGAATCTTTTGTCAAAAACAGGTCCTCTGGTTTCCCTTTTGAGGGAAAACATGTCAAAAAGAGCCTTCTGGATGCACCTGTAGTGGCCTCTTCAGGGTCTTTCAGAGCCTCTTTGCTGAAACAGTCTCTACAGATGCCTCATCAATAAATATAGCTCAAAAAAGGGCCCACTGATGGATAAAATTTCAAGAAGGCTCCTCTGGATGCGCTTTCAGCACATACATTTTAAATTGAGCCTTCTGGATGCATTCTTTGAAGAAACCAAAAATAACAGGTCTTACTTGCTCTTGATCTTGAAGGACACAGTTTTGATTGTTGGTTGATTGTGGTTGCAAGAGAAGTCAATGTTTACGCTGCCTTGACGATCGATCTCTCCGGTGGGGCCATGATGGTGTTCTTGTAGACCACTTGTTTGGCTTCGTCCTGCATGATCACAGGAAACCACATGTTACTTGAATACAAATCTGCACTGCTGAAGCCTCACTGACAGAAACACTTCAAACCAGAGACGAGCAGGAGCACAGGGGAGATCCAACAGTACAGGACTAAGGACAGAACTCACCGTGACTACAGCGCCACACATTTCACTGCCACTAAATTCAAAGGTCACCATTCCGTCGTCCAGTTTGCCTTTGCACTTTGGGTCAATGAGGTGCAAGGTTTTGTAGTCGATGCCTTTTTCTCTTAGGAGACAGTTGATCAAAGATGCTGAAGCAGTGTTCTTGACGCAGGTGGTGGGATCCCCTGCATATTCAGCAGCACAGAAAAGAGAGATAATGACGGTAATACTGATTACTGGATCATAGAGGACAGACTCCAAAGACATTTAGTTCACCCTTACAAAATAAAGCTGGAAACTACATTGTGTTAGTGCAAATATGTCATGCTACATTCAGGTCTGTATGTCCATCTGTTGTTGCTTGTTAGGCCTGAATCTGTCTGTTTATTTTCAGCACCTTTAAGGTTATTCTGGAGAACTCTCTATCAGTGTTTGTCACTGCTTTGGATTAATGCAATGGTAGTGATGCAGCACTGAACAGGCCTTTGCACCTCTGTGCATGTCTGAGTCTGGTGCACACAGGTAGGTCAAGTTTACAGGCCCAGTAAAGGTCCTCAAGTCCAACACTGTCACTGAAAGGAGACAACACTCATCCACTGAAAGAGGACAACGCCTGGGCTCCAGAGGCACGAGTCGGCATCCCACATGAAGTCAAAAAAGTCTCTATCACTCTGTCAGTTGTAAAACACCAAAGTGCAGTTGTATAGTCGCGGAACAGTGCAGCGTGTGTACGCGCCCAAGAAAAACAGTGCAGCGTGTGTCTGAATAGATCAAGTTTATAGCAAGTTTAGTCACATCTCCGTAAAACCGTACTACACCTGCATAAAACCTGTACTACTACCGATCCTTGTCCTATTACATTACATCACATCGCGTTACAACAATAACTACTAAAACAACAACTACGATAACAATGAAAAAATAAGACAATACCGCGCTGCAGCCATGAGTCGAGAGTTTACCGCTTTGCAGGTCATGCGACAGATGTTGTCAAACGCATTCTCTGATGATGCCAATCCCGATGAAGAAGCAGAGGGTGTGTCTGAGGAGGAGGATTATGAGGCAAGTAACCGACCGAACAGGGAAGAGGAAGGAAAAGAAGATGAAATGATAATATCAGAAGACAGAGAGGAGCAAACGGAAAGAGAGGTAGAAGAGGACGGAGAGCATAAAGAAGAAGAAGAAGAAGGAGAAGAAGAAGATGAAGGAGAAGAATGGGTAACAGAAGACAGAGAGGAGCAAATGGAAAGAGAGGTAGAAGACGAAGGAGAGCATAAAGAAGGAGAAGAAGATGAAGAAGAAAATGAGGAAGAAGATGAAGGAGAAGAAGGGGTAACAGAAGAAAGAGAGGAGCAAATGGAAAGAGAGGGGGGAGAAGAAGAAGAAGAAGAAGAAGAAGGAGAAAGGGTAATAGCAGGCGAGCGAGAGGAGCAAGCTAAAGAAGATACGGATTTGTTTTTTCTCTCAAAACACGACAAAATCATATGGTCCTCCGTAGCGTACGATAAACAAGAGCGGGGTAGAAAAGACAGGAGCGGTGAGGCTACGCCGCCGCCGTCCCCGCACATGCCGTCGTCGCCGTTACCGCCGTCGACCGGCCCACCCGGACCGACTGAATATTCTCTCGTCCACGCCCGCGACATCGCCTCCGCTTTTTTCATGTTCGTCACCCCGTCGATAGAACGCATCATCTTGGAGATGACTAATTTGGAGGGAAGACGGAAAATCGGAGACGGCTGGAAACGCATGGATGCCGTCGACCTTCGCGCCTACATGGGGCTGCTGCTTTTAGCCGGCGTCTACAGGTCCCGAGGCGAGGCGACCGCCAGCTTGTGGGACCTGTGAGCGGACGGTCCATCTTCCGCGCCACGATGCCGCTGAAAGTGTTTCACGCCTACTCTAGACTGCTGAGATTCGACGACCGCGAGTCGAGACCCGCCAGACGCGCGACCGACAAACTGGCGGCCGTAAGAGAGGTCTGGGACGCGTGGTCCGAGCGGCTGCCGTCCCTCTACAACCCCGGGCCGTAGATAACGGTGGACGAACAGCTGGTTCCGTTTAGAGGGCGTTGTCCCTTTCGGCAGTATATTCCCAGCAAGCCAGCGAAATACGGGATCAAGACGTGGGTGGCGTGCGACTCTAAATCCAGTTACGCTTGGAAGATGCAAGTGTACACGGGGAAGGCCGCGGACGCGGACGCGGCTGCGGGCCACGGCCCGGAAAAGAACCTGGGCATGCGGGTCGTGCTCGATGTCACCGAGGGACTGAGGGATCGCAACGTCACCTGCGACAATTTCTTCACCTCTTACGAACTCGGGCAGCAGCTGCTGAAAAGGAACATGACCATGGTGGGCACCGTTCGAAAAAACAAGCCGGAGCTCCCCCCGGCCCTTCTCTCGCCGAAGGGAAGAGCGGTGTTCTCGTCGAAATTCGCCTTCACGTCGACCACCGCCGCGGTCTCTTACGTGCCCAAGAAAAACAAAAACGTGCTGCTGGTTAGCACGAAGCACACGGAGGCCGAAGTCAGCGACCGCCGCGACAGAAAGCCGGTCATCATACTGGACTACAACCGCTGCAAAGGAGGTGTCGATAACCTCGACAAGGTGATCGGAACCTACAGCTGCAGAAGGCTCGCTGGCCCCTGGTCGTGTTCCACAACATCCTCGACGTTTCCTCCTACAATGCCTTTGTGATATGGAGAGAACTAAACCCCGAATGGATGCCTCAGAAGCGGAACAAGAGAAGGGTGTTCCTAGAGCGGCTGGGAAAGGCGCTGGTGACTCCGTTGATAGAAAGAAGGGAGCGTCTCCCTCGCACGGAAGCGTCAGCGGCAGTCGTCCGAGTCGTTCGTAGCGCCGCGTCTAGATCTAGAACTCGCGGTGAGGGCGGGGGCGAGGACGCCGCCGGAGCGGCGTCGGGAGCGGACGGCCCGACCGGGGCGAGGAAGAGGAAGAGGTGTCAGTTTTGCCCGCGGGCGAAGGACAACAAAACTTCTACCGTGTGCAGCGGGTGTAAGAAATATATCTGCAAAAGTTGTTCGCTCCCGTACTGCGCTGAGTGTGCCACTGAGAATTTGGAGACGGGTTGATCGCCGACACACGCACACACACACACGCACACACACGCACACACACACACGCACGCACGCACGCACGCACGCACGCACACACCATGTGTGACCCCTCGAGACGTGGGATGCGGTCGGTTGAACTGTCCGCAACCGGGGTGACTAGTTTTAGAGGCAGAGAGGCAGCCTGGCAGGACCGCATCAGAAGAGGAAATACTTACGACTTTCCAAAGATGAAAATGTCACGGGAACTGCCGAAAAGACACGAGAGCATGATGAACAGCGAGGACCCGGACATTGAGGTTGTTGGTGGCGACGTGGGTAAAAAGCTACACTTTAACCCCGTTAGAGCGGCAGTGGCATTACAGCTGTGCAGAAAGCTCAAGGTAGACTGTAGAAAGAGGTATAGCAAATTCACGGATGTCTGTGAATTAGGAGCTCCTTGTAAGAACGTGAAGATTAAAAGCGACGGGAATTGCTTCTTTAGGGCAGTCAGTGTAGCCGTGAGCGGTACCGAACGCCATCACGGAAGAATAAGAGAAGCCGTGGTGAATCACTTGCAAAGCAATGAAGCTGCGTACGCCAACATTCTGAGAAGGGGTTACCTCTCGGTGTCGGACTACGTCGACGCATCTGAAATCGGCTCTCTAGGAAGTTGGGCGACAGAGGTTGAGATTCAAGCGACGGCGGATTATTTGGGCGTCGACGTATTCACGTATTACACCGACCGTTGGCTTCGGTACAGTTGCGACAGCGTTCGGGTCTCTAAACAGGGGATTTATTTAGCGAATAGCGGCAGCCATTACGAGACCGTCGTTTGTGTCACAAGTCCTCCGAAGCGGTCTTGTCGCGGCTACTGCAAACTAGGCGTAGTTGCGTCAGACACGTACGATTGTCTGACCTCAAATTCTGCCTACGCCGATTCTGCATCTCGATCCGAGATTGTTTCGCCGTCACCGACATCGATTCGTCCGGATAACACGGTGTCTGTGAATGACGTCGACTACTGCGAAAAGGCGAGCGATGAGCGCGAGGAGGGGTCCCGCCGCTCTGACGAGCGTCGAGCTGCGAGGGATTTTTACCGAGATGCCGACAGTCCTCGGAGCCGCTACGAGTATGACAATTACCGCAGTGATGCCGCCAAGCTAGACGTCGGAGGACGCTTCGGCGAAGATGAGGCCTGGGAGAATAATCCTGACGAAGAGCGTGACCGCTATGGATGGCTATCAAGGAGACGTGTAGAAAATTATATTATCGTTGAAAATATGGAGCATCGTCCCTACGGCGATAGCCTTGTAACTCCGGGCGACGCGGAGGATACCGCCGAAGCTGATTTACCGCGTAACAGCGTTGCGGATTGGCGTGAACTTTTCGACCGCTCTGATGAGCGTCGAACTCCGAGGGACTGGGAGGGCACGAGTGACCGCGATGCCGACTTTTACCGAGATTCTAACAGTCCTTGGAGTCGCCGTGAGTATGACGATTACCGCAGTGACGCTGCGGAGCTAGAAGTCGAAGGGCGCTTCGGTGAAGATGAGGCCTGGAGGAATACTCCCGACGTAGAGGGCACGAGTGACCGCGATGCCGACTTTTACCGAGGTTCTAACGGTCCTTGGAGCCGCCGTGAGTATGACGATTACCGCAGTGACGCTGCGGAGCTAGAAGTCGAAGGGCGCTTCGGTGAAGATGAGGCCTGGAGGAACACTCCCGACGTAGAGGGCACGAGTGACCGCGATGCCAACTTTTACCAAGATTCTGACGGTCCTCGGAGCCGCCGTCAGTACGACGATTACCGCAGTGACGCTGCGGAGCTAGAAGTCGAAGGACGCTTCGGTGAAGATGAGGCCTGGAGGAACGCTCCCGACGAAGAGTACGATTGTCGCGGCCTGCTATCGGAAAGACACGTAGAAGGTGACGTTGTTGAAGACGAGGAGTGTTATCCCTACGGCGATAGCCTCGGAACTCCAGGTGACGGGGAAGATACCGGTGAAGCTGATTTGCCACGTGACGGCTTTATGGATCGGTCCGAACTTTTAAACGATGAGATCTGTATCGCGCTGTGGGATTGCGAGGAAGAAGTTCGAGAGGAGTTTGGCTCGAATGACCGCTACGCAGCTACCTGCCGCTGGACCGAATTGGAGGAATCGTGGAAATCGTTTGTCGGTTGGCTGGGTGAGCGCTGGTGGGGCTCGGTGTCGGAAGAGTCCGTCAGGACCTTCATGGATTCATCCGAGAGACGTCGCGTCGGGGATATCGTCGTCTCGGCGTGCTTCGGTGACACGCCCGGGGGAGTTTGTTCTTTCACAGTGAAGACCGAAAGCGGCCTGCTGCCACTTCCTTTGCTTATCCGTCGAAGACGCTACGTGTGCGCCGACTTGGCAGAAGGTGATTTTTCGTGTCCGATCGACATATTGAGAAAGCTGTCCCGTGAAACCTACACACACTTGCTCCCCCGACCCACAACGATACCTTCCGATCCCCAGAGCTTTTCTCTTACACGGGTAGTGGATGATATGTGGAGCGTTTTAGAATTGGTGAAAAGCGGATGGAGTGACGTTTCCCGACCCCATCGCATAATACAGTATCTACAAAACAAGGAAGGACCCTCTGTTACGCCAGCGGCGTTAATTTGCTGCGTAGATGATGACAGTCTGGGATACCTGTTTGAGATTATAGACGCCAAGGGGAAGAGTCTGAAAGTAACATTTGATAAATGGGGCTTCACGTTTGGATCGGGTCTACATTTCTCCGGACTCACAAGTCTGCTGTCACATATCTGTGAGGTCGATGGAGTACACTTTGTGATTAACTGTAGATTCTTGCTCACTGCGAGCGAACCGGAGCGTCCGATGTAAGACGTGTGTGTGTGTGTGTGTGTGTGTGTGTGTGTGGGGGGGGTGTAAAGAGTTTGCGAACTTGTTTTTTTTTCCTTCAAGTGTTTGTATGAGCATGCTTCTATAGAAAGATTTAGGAAGAACTGCCGCTGAAATGTGCCTAAAAATGCATTATTATTATTATTATTATTATAATTATTATCATTATTATTAAAATGTGAATTCGTGCTGTAGCTTATGCTTGCTTACATATTCTCGCTTGCTCAATAAAGATGCGAAAGCTGGCAATTTTGCTTCAGATGATGACTTTATTTGCGCGCATCACACCATAGATTACAACACAACATTGTTTTATGGCTAAAAGTCATAATAGTAGCTGTACCAATCCTCAAAGGACATCTCGTCATTCATCATTAAAATTCAACTTTGTCCTTCTGATCAAAACATCATTGCTCAACAGTGTGGTATCGGCTAGAGATATCAGGTCATCTCTCGCCTCCCCTCCGTCTGCTCATTATTATTATTATTATTATTATTATTATTATTATTATTATTATTAATTTGTTAATTTTATTATTATTATTATTATTATTATTATTATTATTATTATTATCATTATTATTATTACTATATGTGTGTGAGTATATATTTCCACATTGGGGACAGTGTGACCCCTAAGACGTGGGATGCAGGTTTTTTTTTTTTTACTGTGTGAGGACTACAGGACTTTTCACCGGGTCAAAAAGACCCCAGTCATCACTGGGTCAAAAAGACCCCAGTCAGTACCCCAGTCAGTGTGACCCCTGAGACGTGGGATGCAGGTTTATTTTTTTATTTATTTTTATTTTTATTTTTTTTTTACTGTGTGAGGACTACAGGACCTTTCACTGGGTCAAAAAGACCCCAGTCAGTGCGGACTGGGACAGTGTGACCCTTGAGACATGGGATGTAGGTCTTAACTTGAGGACAACAGGAGGGATAAGGCAATCCACCAGAAATATGCCTGACAGAAGTTCAGTCTCTTATTGTAAGAAAATATTCTGGATGTTATTGACTCAAAGTAATGCAGTTAGCGAGTTTGACTCTTTCTACGTGTTTACATGAAGAGTATATATATTCTGTGTGTACAGCTGATGACCCATACTCTGAAGGAATTTAAGGAAGACTGTTTGGCCAGTTGACTTTCTCAAAGTTTGTGAAAAGCAGTTCAGGCTTAGCTTGGAAACAGTACCATGTAATGTGCAGCACCCTAAAAAGCATAAATAAGTGAACTAAGTAACCCTCCCACCCTCACCCACCCCCCTCCTTATTATGGCTAGTGGTGGCTCTGGCATGGCTCTGCCCCTAAGCTCATTCCAGAGCTTAGGGGCAGCAGCGGCAAATGCTCTGTCCCCTCTGAGCTTCAGCCTTGTACTGGGGACGGTCAGTAAAAGCTGATCAGCTGATCTTAGGGGTCGGGGTGGGCAATAAGGCTGTAGCATCTCCGAAATATAGGGTGGAGCAAGGTTGTTCAGGCCCTTAAAAACAAATGCTAAAAGCTTAAAATGAATTCTGTACTGAACAGGGAGCCAGTGTAAGGACGCCAGGATGGGGGTGATGTGCTCACGCCTGCGGGTCTGTGTCAGGAGACGTGCAGCAGAGTTCTGCATAAGATGCAGGCGGGCAAGGGAAGCCTGGCTAATCCCTACGTACAAGGAGTTGCAGTAATCAAGACGGGTAGTGATAAAAGCATGGATTAATTTTTCCAGGTCAGGTCTTGATAAAATGGGCTTCACCTTCGCTATTTGGCGTAGCTGATAAAAACTTTTTTGTACCACCCCGCTGATCTGCTTGTCAAATTTAAAATCAGGGTCAAATTTAACTCCCAGATTAGTGACGACCTCTTTAAGGTACGGTGAGAGGGAGCCTAGGTCGAAAACCCTTAAAACAGGCAGAAAAAAGAGAAAACTAAAAAAAAGAAAAAGAAGAGTATTTCTGAAAACAAAAAAAAAATAACAACAAAAAAACACCCTAAGAAAACTAAAAAACAAAAAAGAAATATTTCTGATTCTTGGGGTTAAGAAAGCCTGAGAAGTGGAAGAAGTAACTTCCCCAAAGTAAGGAAGTACTTAAAAAAAAAAAAAACTCTTCAAAAAGAAATCTCCAAAAACAAAAATAAATTAAGACAACTGATGAAAAAACAAAAAAGAAAAAAAAAACATCAACATGGGAAAAAAAAAATAATAATAAAAAAAAAAAAACTACTGGAAAGAAAATTAAAAAACAACAAACAAAAGCACCCATAACCCGGTGTTTTTCACACAAAAAATAAAATAAACCTTGCGGTTTTCCGTCCCATGGGAGGGTTTTTATCCCCCTCCTCGAGCTACCACCTTACCGTGGTGGAGGGGTTTGTGTGTCCCAATGAGAGTTAATTCTGATTTACTCTTGCTGTTGTCAAAAAGTGCTAAAATTTCTCTGAATTTCGCATGTTAAGTAGGCCCATGTCAGTTTTAATCCTTGCAGGACTCTTGTTTTCACTTTTCATCAGCAGAGGAAAAGCTTTTGGATAACTGATTAATATAGAGTTCAGGGGAAAGTATATCTGCAATGTATAATCAATAATGACTTTATCTTCATGAGTAAATATGATTTGTACATTTAAAGAGAACTATTTTTTAATTTTGGTTCAACAATGGACAGAAGTAGACAGGCAAGATGGCGTCTGTAAAGTTCAGTTTAACAGCTGGTGTGTCATACTAAGTTTTCTTATTTAACCCATCAATACATATCAATTCATAAAGCATCTATTACAAAAACAGCTCAAATCAATGTGGGTTAACAGCAGGTTTGAAAAATACATGATTGTTATAGGGTGTGCTTTTTTTTACATTTAAATGTGAAAAATTCAAATGTAAACAAACAACAAGAGAATATGGCATCAAAGGAACAATTCCGTGATGACATCATTATGACATCATCACGGCTTTCATCTCGTGTTACTAACTGGAAGTAGAGAAGCTGTCCAGGGTATCGTTTGAACCTTTCAGCGAGTAGCTACACTTAAAGAAAGAGACAATCGAAATCTTCAAAGAGAAACATAGACCTACTGGTAAAAACGTGGAAGAAAGCGAAAAGCAAAGATGGAAAACATGTCCGAGGAAACCCACGGCGAAATGACGGATCCACAGCACGTCCACCTAAGGTAAGGAGAAAAAAAACGGTTCAAGGGGTCCCTGTGTGAAGGTGTTTCTATAAAACCGCGCCTCAACCTTTTTCTTTCTGCTCCTTTTCATTCACATGAAAATTTTTCCTTGTTTGTATTGAATGTGTCATATACTAACAGACTGAAATAAAGTATGTACACAGCGCCCTAACTTTATTGAAATGAAGTCATGTGTTTGGAGGTTAAGGCTCTGTTTGTGTAGATACCAACAGTTTGGGTCGGGTCAGAACTGCTGACATTCATACAGCTCATTCAGACGACTCAGAGAATGAGAGTATTTGGAATTTTCCAATATTTATCATGTCTCAGATTTGTGCACATCAGTTTGTGAATGACAGATATTGTATAGAAAGACTTAGCTTTCAGACCCTTTACAACAAGATCTTCAGTGCTTCTCATCTTTTTCTTTTAGCTTCCCATCTGAAAGCTCTGTGGAGGAAATGGCTCAAGACAGACCAGATCAAGATGAGACAGAGAAAACGGAGATTGATAACAGCATCATACAGAGACTTCAAGACAGACCAGATCAAGATGAGACAGAGAAAACGGAGATTGATAACCGCATCATACAGAGACTTCAATCTGGCTGGATAGGCACTCTTCATGTCGTTTTCCTGGTGCTGCTTTTAGTCCTAATCACTGTCATTGTTGGCCTGAGCATCAATGTTAAGCAGTTACAGAAAGAAAGGAGTCAGCTGAGACAGCTTCTAGAATCAACACACATGGGACTGAACCACACCATGGAAGTAAATCAAAAAGTGAGCCAGAGTCTGAACTTCACCGTGGAAGAAAATCAAAAACTGAGGCTGAGTCTGAACTACACCATGGAAGAGAATCTGAACCTGAGCCTGAGTCTGAACAACACCATGGAAGAAAATCAGAAATTGAGCAGAAGACTAAACTACACCATGGAAGAAAATCAGAAATTGAGCCTGAGTCTGAACTACACCATGGAAGATAATCTGAACCTGAGCCTGAGTCTGAACAACACCATGGAAGAAAATCAGAAATTGAGCAGAAGACTAAACTACACCATGGAAGATAATCAGAAATTGAGCCTGAGTCTGAACTACACCATGGAAGATAATCTGAAACTGAGCCGAAGACTCAACCACACCAAGGAAGAAAATCAAAAACTGAGCCTGAGTCTGAGCTACTCTATGGAAGAAAATCAGAGACTGAGCCGAAGACTAAACCACACCATGGAAGTAAATCAAAAAGTGAGCCAGAGTCTGAACTTCACCGTGGAAGAAAATCAAAAACTGAGGCTGAGTCTGATCTACACCATGGAGGAGAATCTGAACCTGAGCCTGAGTCTGAACAACACCATGGAAGAAAATCAAAAACTGAGCCTGAGTCTGAGCTACTCCATGGAAGAAAATCAGAGACTGAGCCGAAGACTAAACCACACCATGGCAGAAAAGTCACAGCTTCAAGTGCAGATTGAGGAGATGAAAATCATATTGAATTCTACTATGGAAAACCGTGACTCTTTCAGAAAAGACAAAATCAAATATCAACAGCTTTTGATCAATGAAAGGCAGACCTCAACTCAACTAAAAGCTGAAAATCAACGTCAACAATCAATTCTGATGTCGGAGAAACTATCTTTCCTCTGGAGATTCTGTGATAAAGGCACCCTGCAATGTTCACGCTGCCTTCCTGGTTGGGCCGAGCACGCCACACGCTGCTTCCATTTGGCATCACAACCAATGAAGTGGGAAGATGCTCGTAGGGAGTGTTTGAATGAAGGTGCTGACCTGGCTGTTGTCTTGAATGCTGCAGACCAGGCATTTCTGACCAACATGACTTTCCAGTTTACACAGCAGCATCCAAATGTACTGTTCCATTCAGCATGGATCGGGTTGCAGGACATGGTGCAGGATAACAGATTTGTGTGGGTAAATGGTATCAAGTCCAAGTCAGATTTGAAGTTCTGGATGCCTGGAGAGCCAAACAATGCTGCGGCTCAATGGGACAAAGACCGTGCAGGACAGGACTGTGTTGTCATTGTCCCTCCAAAGACTGTTGGACAGAAAGGCTGGCTGAACTCCTGGGATGATATTGTCTGTCGAGGCCAGCGGCACTACATTTGTGAAACCAAAGCTCTTATTTTGTCTGGAGTGAAAACTGAGGAATGATGAGTTTATAACAATTTAGAATAAGTATGAATTAATGTGAAATAAATGTTCTTTATTTTGATAATGATATGGTATTATTATTTGGATTTTAATGTGGCCTATATAATAGACTGTTTTTTGTTCTTTTTTTAGTCATCTCTATCTATCTATCTATCTATCTATCTATCTATCTATCTATCTATCTATCTATCTATCTATCTATCTATCTATCTATCTATCTATCACAGAATGGAGATGACATGGATTAAGGTGAAGTCAGTTGCAAGTTCAACATTTGTTAAAAAAAAAAAAAGAACAATATGACTGGAATGAGCGTTTAATCAAATAAATGTGAACAGAAACATTTTTAGGGCAGAAAAACATCATCACGAGACTTTTGGATTTCTGTCCTGCAGTTATGGAAGAATATGAGGTAACACCGGGAAATAAACCTCTGTTCATCCCATGGTGGAGAAATTTATATTAATTTATATAATAAGGCATTGTTATGGATTTAAGACAGCTATTTTTGTCAGAATTGATATTGAATGGTAGCAGAGTACAGGAACAATAGAAACCTTGTCATATTGAAAAGTGTTTGCAGTTATTTGGGACAGGTAAAAATGTGTGATCTTTCAAAACACAAACTCATTTTTTAGCGAAGAGAGGGTCATACTTTTTGCTCTTTTGAAAAGGACTGAATCCAATTTGAACTCCTTAGCTGGCAGGCTGACACTACTCTGGCCTTCCAAGGGAGGGCAGCATCTCCCCTTCAGCTGTTTCATCACAGCTGTAGTTATTCACATTTCCACCATTTGACTTTCAGTTTCGCTCAACACAACGTTTTCAGCAAAAATAAAAAATAAAAAAAGAGGGCATATATTCTTACTCTACACTCATAGATAGTATATATATATATAGGCCTACAGTCTATGGCAGTGGTTCTCAACTGGTTTCACTCTGGGACCCACACTTTTTTATGGTCCTTATGTGGCAACCCACTTTTATAAAATTCAAACCAGGCAAATTTATTTTTTATAAAAAACGAACCTTTACAGACTCAAATCTTTGACATAAATACTCCTATTTTGTTGAATAAAGTGCATTTCAGAGCACATGAACTGAGGGCGACAACTACTTAAGTTTCGTATACAGAAAATATCAAATATCAAATTGCACACAATGGAGACAAGCAAAATGAAATATTTGACTTATTTGCATCTCTGCGTTCAGAGCATATTCAGAAGAACACGAGGAGGACCGAGCAACAGCATTGACAAAAGTGAATAAATATCAAATTGCACAAAATAAAGACCATGAAAAACATGTAATTTTACTGCATTCAGGCCACATTAATAAGAAACCGAGGAGGACCATGACATGATGCGTGCCTTTCAAAATAAGCTATTTTTCAAAATAAAAAAACATGTCAAACATCAGATGCGTATTAAATATTTACTTTTTTGATCAGCTGTTCACGACCCATCCAGAACGTGTCTGGGACCCACTTTTGGGTCGGGACCCACCAGTTGAGAACCACTGTTCTATGGTTACGCCACACAATCTCATTCAGTTTACAGTACATGCTGAAGTCCCGCCCATACCGGAACAGGATTGGTCCCCTCTGCTGTTGGCGCTTCCCATCAGCTTCTATGATTGGATATATTCATTTTGGACGGCGGCTGTTACGTCATTATTTCCAACCGTGTAAGGTGTTAAATTTCAAATCTACTCATTGTGGCTGGAGCATGGTGCTGGTGCAGGTAATGCTCTGTCATTTCACTGAAAAATGCGAGATTGTTCTCCTAAATAAACACGAACCAACCAAAGAAAAGGAAAGAACCACCACACGAAGCATTGCGACTTAATCATCAGGCAGGTTGAATTTTACACCCCTCTCACCCCCTAAATAAGAGACCATATTCATCTGCTGTTTCGTCTCCTTTAATCGCTTTTCATCAGGATGTCGGTACTCTCGTTAGTGCTACTGCTGCTATACCCACATACAGCAACTGTCTCAAATGGTTTGTTTTGATTTTCCTTTCTGTTCAGAACTTCGCCTATTTATTTGTATAACTTTTATTTTTTGCTGTGTTTTGTTTGCACCTGATAGGAATGCCTCCCATTTCATTGTACATTTACAATAACAATATCAAGATATTCTACCCTAGTGTATTCTATTTGACCTGGCACTAGACCTCTTATTTTGTCGACTTTCAGTTTCCGTTCCCCACTCCATTACCCACGCAGAAAGTGTTTCCTCTGCCCGACCTTTCTCCTACAGGTGGCGATCACTTCAAGCTGATCATCCAGACTTTTTAAATTAATATTTCTTTTCCCCCTTTCTTTCTTGCTACTGAAAACTCCAATAAATCTGACAATTACTCTGAGGAGAGGATCTGGGTTTCAGGGTGGAGAATACACCGGTTGCAGGACAGTGCGCGAGACGGTGAAGCATGGGCTGGAAATGTCAAATTTATTGCGGTTTACAAAAGCTCTACAACATCCGGTTTAGCTGTCAATATAAACCTGGGATAATAAAGGTTTGGGGGGAAACGCAAATATCATTTCCAGAGTAACATGTGGTCATAGGTTTACACAGGTTCAAGTATATATCTTGAACTTTTTAAAGATAAGTCTATCTATCTATCTATCTATCTATCTATCTATCTATCTATCTATCTATCTATCTATCTCTTAAACTTTTCTAAAGATCCATATTCATGTCCTGTGCACAGCATTATCAGTCCTTGTAGCTTGCAGGTGATGGTAGGAGCCACAGAGGGGACTGAATACCTCCTTTTTTCAACCCTGGTACCATCCTTTAAGCCTTTTAACAACAACAATAATAGTAATAATAATAATAATAATAATAATAATAAACTTTATTTGTATGGCACTTTTCTTGAACAGTTGTCACAAAGTGCTTTATAGTCATCAAAATAAAAAGGGTCAGACAACAAGACATAAACCTTAACAAAAAGTACACTTGCAGCCAAAGTCCCGGGGCCTATTCTACGAAGCAGGATTACTGCTTAGCAAGGTAACTTCGAGGGTAAGTTCGGGGTTTCCTGTTCTACGACACGGGTTCACTTCTTAGCGAGGTGAGTCTCCATGGCAACGTACGCTGAACGGCTAACCTGCTCTGGGGCAGGTTAGGTTCCAGATTGAACTCACCGAGTATAAAAACCCCACCCACTGACCAATGAGCTCTCTCAAAAAATGGCTTGTCTGTTCTTGGAGGATCCTATAGACCTTGGTGCTGGCATTGTTCGAGGAGCACTCCGGCGTGCGAGAGTTTTCAGGGACTGCATGGACCCACTTACTTTTCTGGATGACCACCTTTATGAAAGGCTCAAAAAATGTAAACATGATAGGAATGAACAAATGAATGAATTCATCTTGGAAATAAATTAGACATGTCTGGTGCATGTTAAAAGCGCATGTTGAACAGTGCTATTTCAGGGTTATAATGGCATCAAAGATTTTTTGCGCATTATATTTACGCATTGAGACTGTCTGCAATTTTCTGCGGTCTTTCGCTCTCTAGCCGGCTCTGACGCTCCAGACTGGTCCATGTTCGCGATCGGTCCGATGCGACGGGCTCTGCCTTACCTGCGTGCACGCGCTCATAGCAAAGCTGGATCCACTTACGAGGTTGATAACCAGTGTCGTAAGACCGTTTAGCGAGACCGCTGGCTACCGCGTTAAGTTCAGCGAGGTAGCTCCAAGGCTACCTCGCTAGGTCAAACTTGCTTCGTAGAACAGGCCCCTGGTCATACCAAAGCGATTGTAAACAAATGGGTTTTCAACAGCTTTTTGAAAATATACACAGTGTCCACAAGTTCCCTTTTAGAGCTAAAACTAATCTACAAAAGCTTTTTATAGGCCCTAAAGAGGAATAATGTACTACCTTCCCAAAAATTTACTTTGGAATATGATGCAGAGAAAATATACTTCTTGGATTGACCTACTTCCCATTCCTTCCTCTCTTGATGTTGTAAGTGGACTGGTTGTTATTCTTATACATAATATACTCTTACCGTGAGGCTTTGTGTATCATTACTGAACAAATGCACATTGTATCCTCCTTATTGAATGATTATTGATTTAATCTAAGTTTTTTTTTTTTTTTCCTTTGCTTACAAGTGATTTAACGAGAAGGCCAAAGCTGTCTCTCTTCCTCCTCAGCAACCACCTTCCTCTTCATTAAAGGGTCTATAGGTCTCTTTGGTGGTATTTTTGTAAAGATGCTGTTATTTCAAACTAGCATGCTTTGTATCCAATGTTTTATTCTGTGTTGTTCTAGATGAAATGAGGATTTGCAGTAAATGGACACGAAGAGAGCTCCACAGGCTACTGTCTGCTGCTGACTGGATTTAAAAGCATCTGTGCAGTGGATCGTGTAGCATCCTGATGAAGTTATTCAGCTCTTCTGTTGAATCACCTCCTTTTCTGTCGTGAATTCACATGAAATGTCTTCCATATGGATTTCATTTTCAGTACAGGACTTTCTTGCACAGACCAGCCCACTTTAGTCCACAACCTTTTAGAATGTTATGGTATATAAATCTGAAACAGAGCACTATATTTCCACAATTTTGTTTTGTTTTAGTGTAATTTATCAAAAATCACATTCACACGACAATTACGGGTACAAGTTTACAGCTATCATTTTACAAATGTAAGAACATCACACATTTGTCTTACTAAAAAAATGTGAAAACCCATGACAAGTCATTATTGGGAAAATGTAAATGAAGACTTAGAGATCCTTGGTCATACACATAGACTGTATATATTATGGACAACTTGGTTCCGCCTCCCGCCAGTATACGGATTTGAAGCCAAAAAGCTCTCGGTAATTCCACATTTTTTTCTCCACTTCCTGAAACCAACATTGCACAGTAGTGTTGTACGCACTCCACCACTTGCGCAGTAGTGTTGTACGCATTCGGCGGGAGAGTCACCGAGAGTGGCTGTGATGACGCTCGGCTCAAACAGCGTATCCCCACAGGTGTATCTTCGTACACCCATAGGCTGTATCAAGTGACAATCATAGAAAACATGAACCCCCTAAAAACGTCTAAAAATGGAGCTGCACAGAAAAAGTACAGTAACTACATCACAACCAGGGGGAGAAATATTTGTGTTCTGTGGAATAAATTTCTAAAGTTTGTCCACAGCTTCATATGGATTGCTGGAGGAGGCGGGATTTATGACCTATACTGCAGCCCGTTACTAGCGGGTGCTGTTTTCGGAACGGCTTCACCCAGCGAGGAGGCAGATGCTGTCCATTCTTTATACAGTCTATGGTCATACATTATGTCATTCAAACTCTCTTGTTTTGTTTTATTTATTCAAGTATCACGAGGTCAGACCATTTTTACTGTACAGTGCTGTATCATTAAATTATCTGACATATTTCATACAGCTTACTGTAGCTTCTCTTTCTCACATCCAGACTAACCCCTCTGGACTTCTGTGCTGAGTTGTGGCGCTCTCTCACACTGTAAAAGTCAACAGCTTTTATTTTGAAGAGCCTCTTTCCGGTTCTTGTGTCGCTGGCTCCGCCTTTGGTTGGCTTTATAAAGCAGCGATGTCTCATGGCAGATCAGCGGCCAGCCCTGAAAGTCGGAGCGGCGAGAAAAGTACGCGGTGCTCTTTGTTACTGTAAAACTGGTTCCACCTCCGCGACGTCGTTAACATGAGAAAGAAACTTCTTCACTGACCGCCGGGAAGTGAAATTTTGGCGAAGGGTCAGTTGTGCCGTTCCCTTCCTGGAACTTCAGCCAGTCCAGCAGCCGTTCAGCTCCGACCACACCCTCCCTGCTTCCTCATACTGCAGCGGGAGCGCGCAGCACGACTTTGAATCCCCGGGAATAACGGCCCTTTCCTCGGCTACCTTTGGGATTTCATGTTCGGGGAACTAGACGAAACATGTGAGTTGACTGTCCAAAGACTTTTGAGCGGTTATGGCGCTGAAAAGCAAGTGTCAGCAGGGGCTATGCGGGGCTTCACATTCTCTGGTCCCGTGTCAAGACGCCTAGAGGAAGAGGAGGAGGAGGAGGAGGGCGGACAGAAGGACGATGCATATGGAGTCCAAGCGACTGCAGCATTCGCTAGCTTCCAACCCGGGGCTGTGTTTGAAAAAGAAGAGGTTAAAAGTGGATGGAGGAGTTTGTGCTGTTGGAAAGTCGGGCTCCCGGTCTTTAACTCTGGGGGACTCATGAAACGATGGTGCTGAAGGGAAACACGGGTGGTGCCCCGTTTGTACCCAGCATGAGAATACCAGGCCGGTCAAAGTCATTGGAAGCAAGTCGGACAAGACGTCGGTGCTTTTTCAGGCTGCTTACCCTGTCAAGAGTGGACCTAAAATGACATCCTATTTATTAATGTAAAGAAAAAAAAAGAGCGAAGAATCGATCAAGCTAATGTTGAGGGATGTTTTTCTCTGCTAAAAAAAGACCCAAAGAAAAGACATCTAGTGTTAAATAGCAGGAAAGGATCAGCAGATGTCATAAATCAGGAATGTGATCTCCTTTATGAAAAGAAATGCAGCTTTTGACTTTGAACAGCTCTCAGTCTGCACTTTGCCTGTTTGGAGGCACCCTGGCACTGCATTTGGTGTGATTTCTTCTTAAAGTTCACAGCCTGTGAAGTTTTTTTCTGTTTGACCAAAACTGGGACTGGGATTAGATTAACCACATCTGTATTTTGCTGGCATTTATGTTCATCTAAAGAGATAAGAGCATTTTATACTGATAATTTTAACCCTTGTGCTGCCCTTCAGGGTCAAAAAGACCCAGTCAGTATACCCTCGCCCTATTGGGGTGAATTTAGCCTCCAGTCAGCGTGGACTAAGATAACCCATGACTCCTGATTGTTTTACCCCGCCTGGGTCGAATAGACCCCAGTCAAGTATGGATTTGAGAATCGTAAACTCGCGCCCCTGCCCTCGGCAGGGTCAAATATACCCCACCGTGGTGTACATAGCCTTTTTTTTTTTTTTTTCATTTATTTATTTATTTATTTATTTTTACTCATTTGAACTCATGACTCCTGACGTTCCAGCGCGCATCTCAAACAGCATAAACCCCTGGACCCGATTCTCGCTCATCCAGTCAAGTATCCTGTGGTGGTGGCGGCGTTGAGGACCCCCTGTATTTTACAGCGTGAGGACTGTAAAAAAAAAAAAACATAAAGCTCTAGGTTTTACTTTCAAGGCTACACTACATATAGAGACTAAGAAAACTTGGAAACTTGGAGGACTGGAAAAAAAATAAATAAATAAAATAATTTTTAGGAAAGGATGTCGGTATCAACAAAAGTTCCATCTCAAGAGTTGAGTAGAATAGAGTGAAAACTGTATTCATCACGGCAGGGAAACTTAGAGAGTGTCAGAGAGCTTGCAAATACAGATAACAACAGCCGCACTACCTAATTCATATAAATGAGCACAACCTATCACAAAATAAAGGCAGTACAGTGAAAAGGCAAGGGGAATTTGTTTTTACACACGCTTTTGTCTCAGAGAGTTTCACATAGCATTATAATGCCAACATCATCTGCCCTTAGACCCTCACGTCAACTGAGGAAAAATGGAGAAATAAGACAAAAAAAAATTGGAGAAACCTCAGGGTGAGCAACACAGGAGAGATCCCCTCACCCAGGACGGGGCAGACCTGCAACAGAGGTTCTATACAGACAAAAACAAACAAACAAAAAAAAAACGGGTTTACTACACATAATGTGCCGAACACGACATTCCATTGTTGCCTAACAGGAAAACAGAAAAGTTTTCTCAAAAGTGTTGAACACCGACAAAAAGGACCGTAGAGGAGAGACTACAGTACAGTAAGTATTCTATATGTATCTATCTATCTATCTATCTATCTATCTATGTAAAGACATGAATATATTTGCATTTTTCGTGACTCGTGCGCCCTGAGAGTGGCAGCAAGTCACAGCAGCTCCTCACAGAGTTCGCGTTTTTGCCTTCTTATTGTTGTTTTTTTGCACCTCATTTATACCCTTATTGTTATAACTGCATGTTTGCACTTTTTGTCTTGTCTGTGATGCTGCTGTGACAAAAAAAATTTCCCCATGGGGGGATCAATAAAGGAATATTCTATTCTATTCTATTTGTGTTTGTTCATCTTCTCACTCTGTGTGCTTTTAAAGCAAGGGAATGGCTGTGATAGCTCCAACAAAACAATGTGAACGCGTAGTAGTGTAGGGTATTGTGAATTCCTAGAACGACAAAATCTGTTCGGATTTTGGACAAAACCTGTTCGGATTTTAGATCAACTCAGAAATCCAGTCAAACAATAAAGTTTCTCTCTCTCTCTCTCTCTCTCTCTCTCTCTCTCTCTCTCTCTCTCTCTCTCCCTCCCCCCTCTCTCAACATGCGGTAACTGGCTCTCTCTTTCCCTTCACAGTCGCGCTGCATTTCACAGGGCCGCTTCATTCCGTTATTGCCTAGGAGGACAGAAAACAGAAAAGTTTTTCTCAAAAGTGTTGCAGACCGACAACCGGGACCGTAGAGGACAGACCAGAGAACAGTAAGTGTTCTATATCTATCTGTCCCCCGCTCCAGGATTTGGCCTCTGACGCGCCGCACGTCGACGGAGAGGAGCAGGAAAGTGCGCTCTACCCCCGGTCACGTCGTCTCTCAGCCTACGCGTCCGTTCTTCTCGTCAGCTGAGCCGGCGACGGCATGGGGACGGAAAGGACGGACCCGTGGTTCTGAGACGACGCGTCCCCCGCTCCAGGATTCGGCCTCTGACGCGCCGCACGTCGACGGAGAGGAGCAGGAAAGTGCGCCTCCGCGGCTACGGTCCAAGACCGTCCCGAGGAGGGGAAAGCGCCGAAGGCGAGTTTGGAAAAAGGGAAAAACGCGGGACGGAGGATTCGTCTGCGAGTCGACGTGCTGAGAAACCCCCGACGCTCTCCTGTTCCCGTTCCGGCCGGCTACCGCCGCGAAGACGTTCTCGACGAGGGAGAAAAGGGCGCGCGACTGCGGCCGAACGTGTGGCGCGCGGATGGAGACGGATGGAGGACGCCTGGGCTTTAGAGGTAAGATGTGTGTGACCTGTGCGCGTGTGTTTTCTACACTGCCTGTGTATTCTACACTGCCTGTGTATTCTTTTTTTGTTTGTTTGTTTGTCCCCGCTCCTCGTGTTCGGCCTCTGACCCGCCGCGAGTCGACGGAGAGGAGCAGGAAAGTGCGCTCTCCCCCTTCCCCGGGGGCGTCCGGCCTCCGAGGGCGGCCTCCGCGGCTACGGTCCAAGACCGTCCCGAGGAGGGGAAAACGCCGAAGGTGAGTTTGAAAAACGGAAAAACGCGGGACGGAGGATTCGTCTGCGAATCGACAAGAAAACCCCGACGCTCTCCTGTTCCCGTTCCGGCCGGCCTCCGCGGCTACCGCCGCGAAGACGTTCTCGACGCGGGAGAAAAGGCGCGCGACTGCGGCTGAGCGTGTGGCGCGCATCCTGTGAGGAACGGACGGAGAGAGAGAGGGAAAGAAAGAAAGAAAGAGACAAAGGTTTCAAAGATTTTTTTTTTATTTTATTTTCATTTCTAAGAGCAGAAAATACTGTAAAGATGTCTCAACGCCAACAGAAAGAAAGTGTTTGTACATAAAAAGTGTTTTCAAATGAAAAAAAAATTATATATATATATATATATATATATATATATTTAAACATTATTTTATTTATTTATTTATTTTTAAAAAACTACACCTTGCTTCATCATACAGTGTTGTTTTTTTTTCTTTCCTCACTGCAGTGTCCCAGAATGGTGAGGCTTAGCGAAGAGGACAACGCCTGGGCTCCAGAGGCACGAGTCGGCACCCCACCGTAGGGAGTGAAACCACTGTATCACTCGGTCAGTTGTAAAACACAAAAGTTTGAATTGTATAATCGGCAGAGGTTGGAGAGCGTCGGAGTTGTCGTGTCGTCTCTAAGCCAACGTGTCTGTTCTTCTCTTCCACTGAACCGGTTGCGTTTTACTTTGCACATTTCAGTCAGGAAGGTGAGCGGCTGGTTCGGAGTTAGAGAAGAACGAATTCGTGGTTCTGAGATGACGTGTCCCCGCTCCTCATATTTAGTCCTCTGACACAAAGACATCACAAAATGTGGACTCGATATCACTGACTGTGCTGACTCTGTGTGTGAGTGTGTGTGTGAGTGTGTGTGTGTGAGTGTGTGTGTGTGTGTGTGTGTGCGTGTGTGTGTGTGTGTGTGTGTGTGTGTGTTCCGCACTGCCTGTGCGAGTTTCTCTTTTTGGTTTTACAGCGCTCTCTGCATGACCGGCCATTCTGTGAGGGAAGAAGAGAGAAAGACACACGAAGTTTCTCCAGATTTTATTTTTCAATTCTAAGAGCAGAAAATATTGCGAAGACGTCTGAACACCAAAAGAAAGAAAGTGTTTGTACATAAAAAGTGCTTTACAAATACATTTTTTTTTTTAAAAGCACGCCTGTCCAAGGCTCGGTGAGGTTTAGGGAAGAGGACAACGCCTGGGCTCCAGAGGCACGAGTCGGCATCCCACATGCCGTCGTCGCCGTTACCGCCGTCGACCGGCCCACCCGGACCGACTGAATATTCTCTCGTCCACGCCCGCGACATCGCCTCCGCTTTTTTCATGTTCGTCACCCCGTCGATAGAACGCATCATCTTGGAGATGACTAATTTGGAGGGATGACGGAAAATCGGAGACGGCTGGAAACGCATGGATGCCGTCGACCTTCGCGCCTACATGGGGCTGCTGCTTTTAGCCGGCGTCTACAGGTCCCGAGGCGAGGCGACCGCCAGCTTGTGGGACGCTGAGAGCGGACGGTCCATCTTCCGCGCCACGATGCCGCTGAAAGTGTTTCACGCCTACTCTAGACTGCTGAGATTCGACGACCGCGAGTCGAGACCCGCCAGAACCTGGGCATGCGGGTCGTGCTCGATGTCACCGAGGGACTGAGGGATTGCAACGTCACCTGCGACAATTTCTTCACCTCTTACGAACTCGGGCAGCAGCTGCTGAAAAGGAACATGACCATGGTGGGCACCGTTCGAAAAAACAAGCCGGAGCTCCCCCGGCCCTTCTCTCGCCGAAGGGAAGAGCGGTGTTCTCGTCGAAATTCGCCTTCACGTCGACCACTGCCGCGGTCTCTTACGTGCCCAAGAAAAACAAAAACGTGCTGCTGGTTAGCACGAAGCACACGGAGGCCGAAGTCAGCGACCGCCGCGACAGAAAGCCGGTCATCATACTGGACTACAACCGCTGCAAAGGAGGTGTCGATAACCTCGACAAGGTGATCGGAACCTACAGCTGCAGAAGGATGACGGCTCGCTGGCCCCTGGTCGTGTTCCACAACATCCTCGACGTTTCCTCCTACAATGCCTTTGTGATATGGAGAGAACTAAACCCCGAATGGATGCCTCAGAAGCGGAACAAGAGAAGGGTGTTCCTAGAGCGGCTGGGAAAGGCGCTGGTGACTCCGTTGATAGAAAGAAGGGAGCGTCTCCCTCGCACGGAAGCGTCAGCGGAAGTCGTCCGAGTCGTTCGTAGCGCCGCGTCTAGATCTAGAACTTGCGGTGAGGGGCGAGGGCGAGGGCGAGGACGCCGCCGGAGCGGCGTCGGGAGCGGACGGCCCGACCGGGGCGAGGAAGAGGAAGAGGTGTCAGTTTTGCCCGCGGGCGAAGGACAACAAAACTTCTACCATGTGCAGCGGGTGTAAGAAATATATCTGCAAAAGTTGTTCGCTCCCGTACTGCGCTGAGTGTGCCGCTGAGAATTTGGAGACGGGTTGATCGCCGACACACGCACACACACACACGCACACACATGCACACACACACACGCACGCACGCACGCACACACCATGTGTGACCCCTCGAGACGTGGGATGCGGTCGGTTGAACTGTCCGCAACCGGGGTGACTAGTTTTAGAGGCAGAGAGGCAGCCTGGCAGGACCGCATCAGAAGAGGAAATACTTACGACTTTCCAAAGATGAAAATGTCACGGGAACTGCCGAAAAGACACGAGAGCATGATGAACAGCGAGGACCCGGACATTGAGGTTGTTGGTGGCGACGTGGGTAAAAAGCTACACTTTAACCCCGTTAGAGCGGCAGTGGCATTACAGCTGTGCAGAAAGCTCAAGGTAGACTGTAGAAAGAGGTATAGCAAATTCACGGATGTCTGTGAATTAGGAGCTCCTTGTAAGAACGTGAAGATTAAAAGCGACGGGAATTGCTTCTTTAGGGCAGTCAGTGTAGCCGTGAGCGGTACCGAACGCCATCACGGAAGAATAAGAGAAGCTGTGGTGAATCACTTGCAAAGCAATGAAGCTGCGTACGCCAACATTCTGAGAAGGGGTTACCTTTCGGTGTCGGACTTCGTCGACGCATCTGAAATCGGCTCTCCAGGAAGTTGGGCGACAGAGGTTGAGATTCAAGCGACGGCGGATTATTTGGGCGTCGACGTATTCACGTATTACACCGACCGTTGGCTTCGGTACAGTTGCGACAGCGTTCGGGTCTCTAAACAGGGGATTTATTTAGCGAATAGCGGCAGCCATTACGAGACCGTCGTTTGTGTCACAAGTCCTCCGAAGCGGTCTTGTTGCGGCTACTGCAAACTAGGCGTAGTTGCGTCAGACACGTACGATTGTCTGACCTCAAATTCTGCCTACGCCGATTCTGCATCTCGATCCGAGATTGCTTCGCCGTCACCGACATCGATTCGTCCGGATAACACGGTGTCTGTGAATGACGTCGACTACTGCGAAAAGGCGAGCGATGAGCGCGAGGAGGGGTCCCGCCGCTCTGACGAGCGTCGAGCTGCGAGGGATTTTTATCGAGATGCCGACAGTCCTCGGAGCCGCTACGAGTATGACGATTACCGCAGTGACGCCGCCGAGCTAGACGTCGGAGGACGCTTCGGCGAAGATGAGGCCTGGGAGAATAATCCTGACGAAGAGCGTGACCGCTATGGATGGCTATCAAGGAGACGTGTAGAAAATTATATTATCGTTGAAAATATGGAGCATCGTCCCTACGGCGATAGCCTTGTAACTCCGGGCGACGCGGAGGATACCGCCGAAGCTGATTTACCGCGTAACAGCGTTGCGGATTGGCGTGAACTTTTCGACCGCTCTGATGAGCGTCGAACTCCGAGGGACTGGGAGGGCACGAGTGACCGCGATGCCGACTTTTACCGAGATTCTAACAGTCCTTGGAGTCGCCGTGAGTATGACGATTACCGCAGTGACGCTGCAGAGCTAGAAGTCGAAGGGCGCTTCGGTGAAGATGAGGCCTGGAGGAATACTCCCGACGTAGAGGGCACGAGTGACCGCGATGCCGACTTTTACCGAGATTCTAACGGTCCTCGGAGCCGCCGTGAGTATGACGATTACCGCAGTGACGCTGCGGAGCTAGAAGTCGAAGGGCGCTTCGGTGAAGATGAGGCCTGGAGGAACTATCTATCGGCTATCGGAAAGACACGTAGAAGGTGACGTTGTTGAAGACGAGGAGTGTTATCCCTACGGCGATAGCCTCGGAACTCCAGGTGACGCGGAAGATACCGGTGAAGCTGATTTGCCACGTGACGGCTTTATGATCGGTCCGAACTTTTAAACGATGAGATCTGTATCGCGCTGTGGGATTGCGAGGAAGAAGTTCGAGAGGAGTTTGGCTCGAATGACCGCTACGCAGCTACCTGCCGCTGGACCGAATTGGAGGAATCGTGGAAATCGTTTGTCGGTTGGCTGGGTGAGCGCTGGTGGGGCTCGGTGTCGGAAGAGTCCGTCAGGACCTTCATGGATTCATCCGAGAGACGTCGCGTCAGGGATATCGTCGTCTCGGCGTGCTTCGGTGACACGCCCGGGGGAGTTTGTTCTTTCACAGTGAAGACCGAAAGCGGCCTGCTGTCACTTCCTTTGCTTATCCGTCGAAGACGCTACGTGTGCACCGACTTGGCGGAAGGTGATTTTTCGTGTCCGATCAACATGTTGAGAAAGCTGGCCCGTGAAACCTACACACACTTGCTCCCCCGACCCACAACGATACCTTCCGATCCCCAGAGCTTTTCTCTTACACGGGTAGTGGATGATATGTGGAGCGTTTTAGAATTGGTGAAAAGCGGATGGAGTGACGTTTCCCGACCCCATCGCATAATACAGTATCTACAAAACAAGGAAGGACCCTCTGTTACGCCAGCGGCGTTAATTTGCTGCGTAGATGATGACAGTCTGGGATACCTGTTTGAGATTATAGACGCCAAGGGGAAGAGTCTGAAAGTAACATTTGATAAATGGGGCTTCACGTTTGGATCGGGTCTACATTTCTCCGGACTCACAAGTCTGCTGTCACATATCTGTGAGGTCGATGGAGTACACTTTGTGATTAACTGTAGATTCTTGCTCACTGCGAGCGAACCGGAGCGTCCGATGTAAGACGTGTGTGTGTGTGTGTGTGTGTGTGTGGGGGGGGGTGTAAAGAGTTTGCGAACTTGTTTTTTTTTCCTTCAAGTGTTTGTATGAGCATGCTTCTATAGAAAGATTTAGGAAGAACTGCCGCTGAAATGTGCCTAAAAATGCATTATTATTATTATTATTATTATTATTATTATTATTATCATTATTATTAAAATGTGAATTCGTGCTGTAGCTTATGCTTGCTTACATATTCTCGCTTGCTCAATAAAGATGCGAAAGCTGGCAATTTTGCTTCAGATGATGACTTTATTTGCGCGCATCACACCATAGATTACAACACAACATTGTTTTATGGCTAAAAGTCATAATAGTAGCTGTACCAATCCTCAAAGGACATCTCGTCATTCATCATTAAAATTCAACTTTGTCCTTCTGATCAAAACATCATTGCTCAACAGTGTGGTATCGGCTAGAGATATCAGGTCATCTCTCGCCTCCCCTCCGTCTGCTCATTATTATTATTATTATTATTATTATTATTAATTTGTTAATTTTATTATTATTATTATTATTATTATTATTATTATTATCATTATTATCATTATTATCATTATTATTATTACTATATGTGTGTGAGTATATATTTCCACATTGGGGACAGTGTGACCCCTAAGACGTGGGATGCAGGTTTTTTTTTTTTTACTGTGTGAGGACTACAGGACTTTTCACCGGGTCAAAAAGACCCCAGTCATCACTGGGTCAAAAAGACCCCAGTCAGTACCCCAGTCAGTGTGACCCCTGAGACGTGGGATGTAGGTCTTAACTTGAGGACAACAGGAGGGATAAGGCAATCCACCAGAAATATGCCTGACAGAAGTTCAGTCTCTTATTGTAAGAAAATATTCTGGATGTTATTGACTCAAAGTAATGCAGTTAGCGAGTTTGACTCTTTCTACGTGTTTACATGAAGAGTATATATATTCTGTGTGTACAGCTGATGACCCATACTCTGAAGGAATTTAAGGAAGACTGTTTGGCCAGTTGACTTTCTCAAAGTTTGTGAAAAGCAGTTCAGGCTTAGCTTGGAAACAGTACCATGTAATGTGCAGCACCCTAAAAAGCATAAATAAGTGAACTAAGTAACCCTCCCACCCTCACCCACCCCCTCCCTTATTATGGCTAGTGGTGGCTCTGGCATGGCTCTGCCCCTAAGCTCATTCCAGAGCTTAGGGGCAGCAGCGGCAAATGCTCTGTCCCCTCTGAGCTTCAGCCTTGTACTGGGGACGGTCAGTAAAAGCTGATCAGCTGATCTTAGGGGTCAGGGTGGGCAATAAGGCTGTAGCATCTCCGAAATATAGGGTGGAGCAAGGTTGTTCAGGCCCTTAAAAACAAATGCTAAAAGCTTAAAATGAATTCTGTACTGAACAGGGAGCCAGTGTAAGGACGCCAGGATGGGGGTGATGTGCTCACGCCTGCAGGTCTGTGTCAGGAGACGTGCAGCAGAGTTCTGCATAAGCTGCAGGCGGGCAAGGGAAGCCTGGCTAATCCCTACGTACAAGGAGTTGCAGTAATCAAGACGGGTAGTGATAAAAGCATGGATTAATTTTTCCAGGTCAGGTCTTGATAAAATGGGCTTCACCTTCGCTATTTGGCGTAGCTGATAAAAACTTTTTTGTACCACCCCGCTGATCTGCTTGTCAAATTTAAAATCAGGGTCAAATTTAACTCCCAGATTAGTGACGACCTCTTTAAGGTAGGGTGAGAGGGAGCCTAGGTCGAAAACCCTTAAAACAGGCAGAAAAAAGAGAAAACTAAAAAAAAGAAAAAGAAGAGTATTTCTGAAAACAAAAAAAACAACAACAAAAAAACACCCTAAGAAAACTAAAAAACAAAAAAGAAATATTTCTGATTCTTGGGGTTAAGAAAGCCTGAGAAGTGGAAGAAGTAACTTCCCCGAAGTAAGGAACTACTTAAAAAAAAAAAAAACTCTTCAAAAAGAAATCTCCAAAAACAAAAATAAATTAAGACAACTGATGAAAAAACAAAAAAGAAAAAAAAAAACATCAACATGGGAAAAAAAAAATAATAATAAAAAAAAAAAAAAAAAACTACTGGAAAGAAAATTAAAAAACAACAAACAAAAGCACCCATAACCCGGTGTTTTTCACACAAAAAATAAAATAAACCTTGCGGTTTTCCGTCCCATGGGAGGGTTTTTATCCCCCTCCTCGAGCTACCACCTTACCGTGGTGGAGGGGTTTGTGTGTCCCAATGAGAGTTAATTCTGATTTACTCTTGCTGTTGTCAAAAAGTGCTAAAATTTCTCTGAATTTCGCATGTTAAGTAGGCCCATGTCAGTTTTAATCCTTGCAGGACTCTTGTTTTCACTTTTCATCAGCAGAGGAAAAGCTTTTGGATAACTGATTAATATAGAGTTCAGGGGAAAGTATATCTGCAATGTATAATCAATAATGACTTTATCTTCATGAGTAAATATGATTTGTACATTTAAAGAGAACTATTTTTTAATTTTGGTTCAACAATGGACAGAAGTAGACAGGCAAGATGGCGTCTGTAAAGTTCAGTTCAACAGCTGGTGTGTCATACTAAGTTTTCTTATTTAACCCATCAATACATATCAATTCATAAAGCATCTATTACAAAAACAGCTCAAATCAATGTGGGTTAACAGCAGGTTTGAAAAATACATGATTGTTATAGGGTGTGCTTTTTTTTACATTTAAATGTGAAAAATTCAAATGTAAACAAACAACAAGAGAATATGGCATCAAAGGAACAATTCCGTGATGACATCATTATGACATCATCACGGCTTTCATCTCGTGTTACTAACTGGAAGTAGAGCAGCTGTCCAGGGTATCGTTTGAACCTTTCAGCGAGTAGCTACACTTAAAGAAAGAGACAATCGAAATCTTCAAAGTAAAAACGTGGAAGAAAGCGAAAAGCAAAGATGGAAAACATGTCCGAGGAAACCCACGGCGAAATGACGGATCCACAGCACGTCCACCTAAGGTAAGGAGAAAAAAAACGGTTCAAGGGGTCCCTGTGTGAAGGTGTTTCTATAAAACCGCGCCTCAACCTTTTTCTTTCTGCTCCTTTTCATTCACATGAAAATTTTTCCTTGTTTGTATTGAATGTGTCATATACTAACAGACTGAAATAAAGTATGTACACAGCGCCCTGACTTTATTGAAATGAAGTCATGTGTTTGGAGGTTAAGGCTCTGTTTGTGTAGATACCAACAGTTTGGGTCGGGTCAGAACTGCTGACATTCATACAGCTCATTCAGACGACTCAGAGAATGAGAGTATTTGGAATTTTCCAATATTTATCATGTCTCAGATTTGTGCACATCAGTTTGTGAATGACAGATATTGTATAGAAAGACTTAGCTTTCAGACCCTTTACAACAAGATCTTCAGTGCTTCTCATCTTTTTCTTTTAGCTTCCCATCTGAAAGCTCTGTGGAGGAAATGGCTCAAGACAGACCAGATCAAGATGAGACAGAGAAAACGGAGATTGATAACAGCATCATACAGAGACTTCAAGACAGACCAGATCAAGATGAGACAGAGAAAACGGAGATTGATAACCGCATCATACAGAGACTTCAATCTGGCTGGATAGGCACTCTTCATGTCGTTTTCCTGGTGCTGCTTTTAGTCCTAATCACTGTCATTGTTGGCCTGAGCATCAATGTTAAGCAGTTACAGAAAGAAAGGAGTCAGCTGAGACAGCTTCTAGAATCAACACACATGGGACTGAACCACACCATGGAAGTAAATCAAAAAGTGAGCCAGAGTCTGAACTTCACCGTGGAAGAAAATCAAAAACTGAGGCTGAGTCTGAACTACACCATGGAGGAGAATCTGAACCTGAGCCTGAGTCTGAACAACACCATGGAAGAAAATCAGAAATTGAGCAGAAGACTAAACTACACCATGGAAGAAAATCAGAAATTGAGCCTGAGTCTGAACTACACCATGGAAGAGAATCTGAACCTGAGCCTGAGTCTGAACAACACCATGGAAGAAAATCAGAAATTGAGCAGAAGACTAAACTACACCATGGAAGATAATCAGAAATTGAGCAGAAGACTAAACTACACCATGGAAGATAATCAGAAATTGAGCCTGAGTCTGAACTACACCATGGAAGATAATCTGAAACTGAGCCGAAGACTCAACCACACCAAGGAAGAAAATCAAAAACTGAGCCTGATTCTGAGCTACTCCATGGAAGAAAATCAGAGACTGAGCCGAAGACTAAACCACACCATGGAAGTAAATCAAAAAGTGAGCCAGAGTCTGAACTTCACCGTGGAAGAAAATCAAAAACTGAGGCTGAGTCTGAACAACACCATGGAGGAGAATCTGAACCTGAGCCTGAGTCTGAACAACACCATGGAAGAAAATCAGAAATTGAGCAGAAGACTAAACTACACCATGGAAGATAATCAGAAATTGAGCCTGAGTCTGAACTACACCATGGAAGATAATCTGAAACTGAGCCGAAGACTCAACCACACCAAGGAAGAAAATCAAAAACTGAGCCTGAGTCTGAGCTACTCTATGGAAGAAAATCAGAGACTGAGCCGAAGACTAAACCACACCATGGAAGTAAATCAAAAAGTGAGCCAGAGTCTGAACTTCACCGTGGAAGAAAATCAAAAACTGAGGCTGAGTCTGAACTACACCATGGAGGAGAATCTGAACCTGAGCCTGAGTCTGAACAACACCATGGAAGAAAATCAGAAATTGAGCAGAAGACTAAACTACACCATGGAAGATAATCAGAAATTGAGCCTGAGTCTGAACTACACCATGGAAGAGAATCTGAACCTAAGCCTGGGTCTGAACAACACCATGGAAGAAAATCAAAAACTGAGGCTGAGTCTGAACTACACCATGGAAGAGAATCTGAACCTGAGCCTGAGTCTGAACAACACCATGGAAGAAAATCAAAAACTGAGGCTGAGTCTGAACTACACCATGGAAGAGAATCTGAACCTGAGCCTGAGTCTGAACAACACAATGGAAGAAAATCAGAAATTGAGCAGAAGACTAAACTACACCATGGAAGATAATCAGAAATTGAGCCTGAGTCTGAACTACACCATGGAAGATAATCTGAAACTGAGCCGAAGACTCAACCACACCAAGGAAGAAAATCAAAAACTGAGCCTGAGTCTGAGCTACTCCATGGAAGAAAATCAGAGACTGAGCCGAAGACTAAACCACACCATGGAAGTAAATCAAAAAGTGAGCCAGAGTCTGAACTTCACCGTGGAAGAAAATCAAAAACTGAGGCTGAGTCTGAACTACACCATGGAGGAGAATCTGAACCTGAGCCTGAGTCTGAACAACACCATGGAAGAAAATCAGAAATTGAGCAGAAGACTAAACTACACCATGGAAGAGAATCTGAATCTGAGCCAAAGATTAAACCACACCAAGGAAGAAAATCAAAAACTGAAGCTGAGTCTGAACTACACCATGGAGGAGAATCTGAACCTGAGCCTGAGTCTGAACAGCACCAAGGAAGAAAATCAAAAACTGAGCCTGAGTCTGAGCTACTCCATGGAAGAAAATCAGAGACTGAGCCGAAGACTAAACCACACCATGGAAGTAAATCAAAAAGTGAGCCAGAGTCTGAACTTCACCGTGGAAGAAAATCAAAAACTGAGGCTGAGTCTGAACTACACCATGGAGGAGAATCTGAACCTGAACCTGAGTCTGAACAACACCATGGAAGAAAATCAGAAATTGAGCAGAAGACTAAACTACACCATGGAAGAAAATCAGAAATTGAGCCTGAGTCTGAACTACACCATGGAAGAGAATCTGAACCTGAGCCTGAGTCTGAACAACACCATGGAAGAAAATCAGAAATTGAGCAGAAGACTAAACTACACCATGGAAGATAATCAGAAATTGAGCCTGAGTCTGAACTACACCATGGAAGATAATCTGAAACTGAGCCGAAGACTCAACCACACCAAGGAAGAAAATCAAAAACTGAGCCTGAGTCTGAGCTACTCTATGGAAGAAAATCAGAGACTGAGCCGAAGACTAAACCACACCATGGAAGTAAATCAAAAAGTGAGCCAGAGTCTGAACTTCACCGTGGAAGAAAATCAAAAACTGAGGCTGAGTCTGAACTACACCATGGAGGAGAATCTGAACCTGAGCCTGAGTCTGAACAACACCATGGAAGAAAATCAGAAATTGAGCAGAAGACTAAACTACACCATGGAAGAAAATCAGAAATTGAGCCTGAGTCTGAACTACACCATGGAAGAGAATCTGAACCTGAGCCTGAGTCTGAACAACACCATGGAAGAAAATCAAAAACTCAGGCTGTGTCTGAACTACACCATGGAAGAAAATCAGAAATTGAGCAGAAGACTAAACTACACCATGGAAGATAATCAGAAATTGAGCCTGAGTCTGAACTACACCATGGAAGATAATCTGAAACTGAGCCGGAGACTCAACCACACCAAGGAAGAAAATCAAAAACTGAGACTGAGTCTGAGCTACTCCATGGAAGAAAATCAGAGACTGAGCCGAAGACTAAACCACACCATGGAAGTAAATCAAAAAGTGAGCCAGAGTCTGAACTTCACCGTGGAAGAAAATCAAAAACTGAGGCTGAGTCTGAACTACACCATGGAGGAGAATCTGAACCTGAGCCTGAGTCTGAACAACACCATGGAAGAAAATCAGAAATTGAGCAGAAGACTAAACTACACCATGGAAGAGAATCTGAATCTGAGCCAAAGATTAAACCACACCAAGGAAGAAAATCAAAAACTGAGGCTGAGTCTGAACTACACCATGGAGGAGAATCTGAACCTGAGCCTGAGTCTGAACAACACCATGGAAGAAAATCAGAAATTGAGCAGAAGACTAAACTACACCATGGAAGAGAATCTGAATCTGAGCCAAAGATTTAACCACACCAAGGAAGAAAATCAAAAACTGAGCCTGAGTCTGAACAGCACCAAGGAAGAAAATCAAAAACTGAGCCTGAGTCTGAGCTACTCCATGGAAGAAAATCAGAGACTGAGCCGAAGACTAAACCACACCATGGCAGAAAAGTCACAGCTTCAAGTGCAGATTGAGGAGATGAAAATCATATTGAATTCTACTATGGAAAACCGTGACTCTTTCAGAAAAGACAAAATCAAATATCAACAGCTTTTGATCAATGAAAGGCAGACCTCAACTCAACTAAAAGCTGAAAATCAACGTCAACAATCAATTCTGATGTCGGAGAAACTATCTTTCCTCTGGAGATTCTGTGATAAAGGCACCCTGCAATGTTCACGCTGCCTTCCTGGTTGGGCCGAGCACGCCACACGCTGCTTCCATTTGGCATCACAACCAATGAAGTGGGAAGATGCTCGTAGGGAGTGTTTTAATGAAGGTGCTGACCTGGCTGTTGTCTTGAATGCTGCAGACCAGGCATTTCTGACCAACATGACTTTCCAGTTTACACAGCAGCATCCAAATGTACTGTTCCATTCAGCATGGATCGGGTTGCAGGACATGGTGCAGGATAACAGATTTGTGTGGGTAAATGGTATCAAGTCCAAGTCAGATTTGAAGTTCTGGATGCCTGGAGAGCCAAACAATGCTGCGGCTCAATGGGACAAAGACCGTGCAGGACAGGACTGTGTTGCCATTGTCCCTCCAAAGACTGTTGGACAGAAAGGCTGGCTGAACTCCTGGGATGATATTGTCTGTCGAGGCCAGCGGCACTACATTTGTGAAACCAAAGCTCTTATTTTGTCTGGAGTGAAAACTGAGGAATGATGAGTTTATAACAATTTAGAATAAGTATGAATTAATGTGAAATAAATGTTCTTTATTTTGATAATGATATGGTATTATTATTTGGATTTTAATGTGGCCTATATAATAGACTGTTTTTTGTTCTTTTTTTAGTCATATCTATCTATCTATCTATCTATCTATCTATCTATCTATCTATCTATCACAGAATGGAGATGACATGGATTAAGGTGAAGTCAGTTGCAAGTTCAACATTTGTTAAAAAAAAAAAAAGAACATGTAAGAATTGACCCTGAGAGCGGCTGTGACCATATAAGGAGGCAGAGGCAGGAGATGAGTTAAACCCACACAGTGGGTATTTATTTGCAGTGTATAAACCAAAAACCAATAAAACACACCATGCTCAGTCCATTGTGCACACGAGAGACTCCCAGCTCAGAGGAAAGCGCTCCCCTATATACCCTCCCCGATTGGGTGCTACCACGTGTAGGGGTGTGGAAAAACTGTAACCAGTTTAATATAACTATTTAAAAAGCACCTACTTAAAATATACAAACCTATGCTCCAGACTAAATCATAGAACCTAATTTCGAGTGTACATTAATCACATACTGTGATCATCCTCCCAATTAAATGTTACACGTGGCACTGTTCACCCCCCATACCCATCTGCCAGTTGGAACCCTCCCGGAACGCTAAAAGGCCGTTTGTTTCCCCGGGGACTCTTTTACATGTGCACCCTGGGAGTGGAGACAGAAAGGCACAGGTAAGTGTTCACAATATTCACGTCAAACTGATTTTAAACTGCACTACTTCCACCTTTTACTCAAGCACACAAATATGCTGAAACCCTCATCCACATCGTGTGCACTGTGTTACAGGTGGTGCGGCTAAATTAACCCCCGGCTACCGGACGAGCTACCGGACGTCCCCGGAGAACACCTATACAAATACACACATACACACACACACACACACCATTAACCAAATCAGAATTAAAGTATTTTGACTGAAATACCTCTGTGGCTCATCATTTGCTAATCATGTGTAGCTTTTAATTTAACAACCCTCAATGTTGTGTCTACCTGCACTATATATATATATATATCAACACTGCTTAGCTGCCCCAATCCTCAGCTACTCACTGCAGTAGTAACGGAGACAACAGAGGCCTCCGTTACATTTCCTTCCCCCTCTCCCTTAGCTGCACAGTACCTTGTTACACAGGGTTACGGGACAGACAGTCAGCTACCAGGTTGGATTTCCCCGGCCGGTACTTGACCACAAAGTTGTAGGGCTGCATGGCGAGGTACCACCCTGCGATACGCATATTTGCATCCTTCATCCGGTGCAGCCACTGGAGCGCTCGATGATCCGTCTCCATGGTAAACTGGCGCCCCAACAGGTAATACCTCAGAGACTCAGTGGCCCACTTCATTGCAAGGCACTCCTTCTCAATTGTGGAGTAACGGGTCTCTCGATCCAGCAACTTCCTGCTGAGGAACAAGACAGGCTTCATCTCGCCTTCCACTTCTTGGAGCAGCACCGCCCCAATGCCAACTCCGGAGGCATCCGTTTGGAGGGTGAAGGGCCTGTCAAAATCCGGGCTTTGCAGAACTGACTCCACACTGATGGCTTGCTTCAGGTCCCTGAAGGCTTCTTCACATTTTTCAGTCCACCGAACTTTGGCAGATGCTGAGGCCTTAGTTAGATCTGTCAAAACAGCAGCTCTCTCTGACAGATGTGGGATGAACTTACGATACCACCCAACAAGTCCCAGGAAAGACTTCACTTTCTTCTTTGTGGTTGGAACTGGGTACGAGGTGATGGCTTCCAACTTGCTCACTTGTGGGCGAATCACCCCATCCCCGATGATATATCCCAAGTACTCCACCTCCTTCTGAGCGAAGATGCACTTTCGAGGATTGATGGTCAGTCCCGCAGCCTTGATACAATGAAGGACCCGTGTCAGATGGGCCATGTGCTCCTCCCAGGTTTGGCTATAAACCACCACATCGTCCAAGTATGCTGCTGAAAACGCCGACACTTCTCGCAGGACCTGGTCCATGAGCCTTTGAAATGTTGCAGGTGCCCCCTGGAGCCCAAACGGCATAACACGGAAATGGAAAAGGCCATAAGGTGTTGCAAAAGCTGTCAGCTTCTTCGCCTCAGGTGCTAAGGCCACTTGCCAGTAACCTTTGCTCAGATCTAGTGTACTGATGTACTTGGCTTTCCCAACCCTCTCCAGCAACTCATCAATTCTGGGCATTGGGTATGGGTCAAACTTGGAGATGGCGTTAAGATACCTGAAGTCAATGCAGAACCTTAGGGAACCATCCTTTTTTGGCACCAAGACAACTGGGCTGCACCATTCACTGTCCGACACTTCAATGATCCCCAACTCCAACATTAGCTGGATCTCCTTTTTCAGCTCAGGCACCAGGCGCTCAGGGATGCGATAGCTTCTCTTGCGGCTAGGAGCAGTCTCCTTCAGGTGAATGCTGTGTTGGACCAGATCAGTAAAACCTGGCTTCTCCTGGAACAATTCTGGATCCAGGAGGGCTTCCACACCCTTCTGTTGGTCAGGTGTTAGATGTGCTACCTCCACCTGACTGACTCCTGCTGGACTTGTCGGAAAGAACTGCTCCTCCACCTCCTTCTCCTCAGCTGCCTGGATGAAAAAATGCTGTGACACTGGCTCTGGACAATCATGAAATTCCTTCAACAGGTTAATGTGAAACGTTTGGTGCTTTTTTGCTCTATCAGGCATATGAATTTCATAAGAAACCGCACCGACCTTTTTCGTGACCTCATATGGCCCCTGCCATTTTGCAAGCAGTTTGCTTTCACTTGAGGGCAGCAGCAGCAGCACTTTCTGTCCAGGCTGGAAAACCCGTTCCCTGGCCTTCTGGTCATACCAGGTTTTTTGTTTCTCTTGGGCCATGGTCATGTTCTCTTTTGCTAGCGTAGCCATCTTTTCCAACCTCTCTCTCATCTTCACCACATACGCCACAATGCTCTCTCCTGAAGCCTTTGGATCCTCCCAGTAATCCCTCAGAAGGTCAAGAGGTCCTCTCACCTGGCGTCCATAAAGCAATTCAAACGGTGAGAAGCCCGTGGAAGCTTGTGGCACCTCTCTGTAGGCGAAGAGGAGGTATGGCAACCACTGGTCCCAGTCAGAGCCTGTCTGTGACACAAACTTGCGCAACATGTTCTTTAAAGTTTGGTTGTACCTTTCTACAAGCCCATCTGTTTGGGGGTGATATGGGGTAGTTTTAATGCCCTTTACTCCTAGGAGCTGGTACACTTGCCTCAACAACTTGGACAGGAAGTTGGTTCCACAATCTGTGAGGATTTCTTTGGCTATTCCTACCCTGGAGAACAACTGCAGCAAACAATTAGCCACATGCCTAGCTTTTACTGATCTAAGGAGAAAAGCCTCTGGGTAACGTGTGGCATAATCACACATTACCAGAATGTACCGGTTTCCAGAAGCACTCTTCTCTAAGGGCCCCACTACATCCATGCCTATTCTCTCAAATGGTGTTTCAATGAGTGGTAATGGCTGTAACAGAGCTTTCGTCACCCCCTTTCCTGCTGTAACCTGACAGATTGAACACGAGTTGCAAAATTTGGAAAGCTGGGTGTACATACCCGGCCATACAAAGCGGTTACTTACACGGCGTAATGTCTTGTGAAATGCCATGTGCCCTGCCCAAGGAATGGAATGGCCTAGCTCCATGATGGTGTGCCTGAGTGACTGTGGAGCTGCTAATGCCTGAGTACTACCCTGACACTGGTAAAGGATACCCTTCTCAATCATATAGGTAACCTCCTCCAGACAGCCTGCACTTCCCTGACTGACCCCATCAACCTTGGAAACCTTCTGAAACCACCGCTGTAGAGTAGGATCCTTTCTCTGTAATTCACCTACATTAAGTGGAATATCCACATCTAAGGGCGGGCTGGGTTGGGGAATCTCATCCTTTTCTCTCGGGGCACCCAAAAACGTGTCCCTTCGCTTTTGGACTCTGGATCTTCGCAGCTTCTCTACACCCACCTCCAGCTCTGCTTCATAAAATGGTAACTCACTGAGGGTGTTTCTCGCACTTTGAGCCCTGGTGACTACATGACATTCTTTAACCTCTGTCCCTGAATTCTCTCCTGACTTCACCTGAAGGGGTTCTGGCTCTCCCGGGATTTCCAGCACCTCATCACAAACAGTAGGCAAGGGACTCTGCTTCTGGGGGTCCTGCACTAAATCCAAAAGTGTAGGCACATCTAGTCCTAAAATGACGGGGTATGGGAGTTGGGGCACTAAAGCCACTGAGAGGAGAAAGGTCTGACCACCCACTGTTAAATACACCTCTGCAGTAGGGTAAGGCCTAACATCCCCGTGTACACATCCAATATCAGCTTTCTCATCAGCCCACTGCTCTCTGGGTACCAAGCTAGCCCTTACCACTGTCTGAAAACTGCCCGAGTCAACAAGAGCTTCTTCCCGCTGACCATTTATCAGTACTGGAACCTTCCTACCACTTTCCTGAGTGCCTGGTTCCTGCATCGTGGGTCTAGGGACAGAGCAGAGGAGAGATAGCTTGCTTCTTCCTGCAGCTGGACAAGTGTACTGAGTATGGCCTAACTCATTACAGTGGTAACACCTGACATCTGACTTAGCTGGCTTATTAGCATGGACAGGTCTACTCTGAGCATTCTGTTTATTACCGGGGAACCTGCCTTGAGTCTGACCATGACCCCTGTCCCCCCCAAAGGATTTATTTCTCACCCCTGGGCTATTGCTATGGTTGGTTGCTAGGCGCGGGTGACCCCTCCTGGCCGACTGAAACACCTCTGCCAGGCGAGCAGCTTCTTCAGCAGTTTTTGGGTCATGTTCTCGGATCCAAACTTCCATCTCTGGATTCACCATTCTCAGAAACTGTTCCATGATCAACAGCTCAGAAATGTCTTTGACGGTGGTGGTTTCAGGCTTGACCCATTTGTTGAACATTTCTTTCAGGCGAACATACAGCTCCCGTGGGGTCTCTCCCTGATGAACGTCCAGGGCCCGAAATCTTCTCCTGTAAGTCTCAGCATTTATTTCATATTTTGCCAGGATTGCCTCTTTCACTCTCTCATAATCATCTGAAGAATCGATGTCCATAAGCACATAAGCACTGCGTGCCTTACCAGTCAGCAGGGGAATGAGCCTAACTGCCCACTCGTCCTGAGGCCAATGGCAGACATGGGCCATTCTTTCAAAAGTGGCCAGAAAGTGCTCAACATCATCTTCAGGGGACAATGGCAGGAGCTTGGGCTCTGGATGAGTGTGCAGGCCTCGCTGCAGCCTTACTATGCGATGTCCGGATCGGTCCATCTCCCCCTGATCCTCTTCATAGCGGACTCCACTTGCACGCTGCTCCTCACCTCCCGCTTGCTCCTGTTGCTGCTCTTCTCTCATCTCAGTTACCTGGGCCTGGATCTGCCGAAACTGGTGCTCCATATTCCGCCATCTCAACTCTTGGCGGGAATGTTCTTTTTCCTGCTGCTTATCTCTCACGGCTTGTGTCTGCATGAAAGACTTCATCATACTCGTCAGCTCTTCCAGCTGATTACCTCCACTGCTTGCCATGGCCCCTTCATCTGCAGCTGATGGTGCTGGACCCTCCTCGGGTTCTTCCCGTCGCTCATCTCTCTTTCCTCCTCTAGTCATCTTTGCCTCCTTAATCAGGTCAACATCCCACTTCTGACACCACTTGTAAGAATTGACCCTGAGAGCGGCTGTGACCATATAAGGAGGCAGAGGCAGGAGATGAGTTAAACCCACACAGTGGGTATTTATTTGCAGTGTATAAACCAAAAACCAATAAAACACACCATGCTCAGTCCATTGTGCACACGAGAGACTCCCAGCTCAGAGGAAAGCGCTCCCCTATATACCCTCCCCGATTGGGTGCTACCACGTGTAGGGGTGTGGAAAAACTGTAACCAGTTTAATATAACTATTTAAAAAGCACCTACTTAAAATATACAAACCTATGCTCCAGACTAAATCATAGAACCTAATTTCGAGTGTACATTAATCACATACTGTGATCATCCCCCCAATTAAATGTTACACGTGGCACTGTTCACCCCCCATACCCATCTGCCAGTTGGAACCCTCCCGGAACGCTAAAAGGCCGTTTGTTTCCCCGGGGACTCTTTTACATGTGCACCCTGGGAGTGGAGACAGAAAGGCACAGGTAAGTGTTCACAATATTCACGTCAAACTGATTTTAAACTGCACTACTTCCACCTTTTACTCAAGCACACAAATATGCTGAAACCCTCATCCACATCGTGTGCACTGTGTTACAGGTGGTGCGGCTAAATTAACCCCCGGCTACCGGACGAGCTACCGGACGTCCCCGGAGAACACCTATACAAATACACACATACACACACACACACACACCATTAACCAAATCAGAATTAAAGTATTTTGACTGAAATACCTCTGTGGCTCATCATTTGCTAATCATGTGTAGCTTTTAATTTAACAACCCTCAATGTTGTGTCTACCTGCACTATATATATATATATCAACACTGCTTAGCTGCCCCAATCCTCAGCTACTCACTGCAGTAGTAACGGAGACAACAGAGGCCTCCGTTACAGAACAATATGACTGGAATGAGCGTTTAATCAAATAAATGTGAACAGAAACATTTTTAGGGCAGAAAAACATCATCACGAGACTTTTGGATTTCTGTCCTGCAGTTATGGAAGAATATGAGGTAACACCGGGAAATAAACCTCTGTTCATCCCATGGTGGAGAAATTTATATTAATTTATATAATAAGGCAATGTTATGGATTTAAGACAGCTATTTTTGTCAGAATTGATATTGAATGGTAGCAGAGTACAGGAACAATAGAAACCTTGTCATATTGAAAAGTGTTTGCAGTTATTTGGGACAGGTAAAAATGTGTGATCTTTCAAAACACAAACTCATTTTTTAGCGAAGAGAGGGTCATACTTTTTGCTCTTTTGAAAAGGACTGAATCCAATTTGAACTCCTTAGCTGGCAGGCTGACACTACTCTGGCCTTCCAAGGGAGGGCAGCATCTCCCCTTCAGCTGTTTCATCACAGCTGTAGTTATTCACATTTCCACCATTTGACTTTCAGTTTCGCTCAACATAACGTTTTCAGCAAAAATAAAAAATAAAAAAAGAGGGCATATATTCTTACTCTACACTCATAGATAGTATATATATATATAGGCCTACAGTCTATGTCAGTGGTTCTCAACTGGTCTCACTCTGGGACCCACACTTTTTTATGGTCCTTATGTGGCAACCCACTTTTATAAAATTCAAACCAGGCAAATTTATTTTTTATAAAAAACGAACCTTTACAGACTCAAATCTTTGACATAAATACTCCTATTTTGTTGAATAAAGTGCATTTCAGAGCACATGAACTGAGGGCGACAACTACTTAAGTTTCGTATACAGAAAATATCAAATATCAAATTGCACACAATGGAGACAAGCAAAATGAAATATTTGACTTATTTGCATCTCTGCTTTCAGAGCATATTCAGAAGAACACGAGGAGGACCGAGCAACAGCATTGACAAAAGTGAATAAATATCAAATTGCACAAAATAAAGACCATGAAAAACATGTAATTTTACTGCATTCAGGCCACATTAATAAGAAACCGAGGAGGACCATGACATGATGCGTGCCTTTCAAAATAAGCTATTTTTCAAAATAAAAAAACATGTCAAACATCAGATGCGTATTAAATATTTACTTTTTTGATCAGCTGTTCACGACCCATCCAGAACGTGTCTGGGACCCACTTTTGGGTCGGGACCCACCAGTTGAGAACCACTGTTCTATGGTTACGCCACACAATCTCATTCAGTTTACAGTATATGCTGAAGTCCCGCCCATACCGGAACAGGATTGGTCCCCTCTGCTGTTGGCGCTTCCCATCAGCTTCTATGATTGGATATATTCATTTTGGACGGCGGCTGTTACGTCATTATTTCCAACCGTGTAAGGTGTTAAATTTCAAATCTACTCATTGTGGCTGGAGCATGGTGCTGGTGCAGGTAATGCTCTGTCATTTCACTGAAAAATGCGAGATTGTTCTCCTAAATAAACACGAACCAACCAAAGAAAAGGAAAGAACCACCACACGAAGCATTGCGACTTAATCATCAGGCAGGTTGAATTTTACACCCCTCTCACCCCCTAAATAAGAGACCATATTCATCTGCTGTTTCGTCTCCTTTAATCGCTTTTCATCAGGATGTCGGTACTCTCGTTAGTGCTACTGCTGCTATACCCACATACAGCAACTGTCTCAAATGGTTTGTTTTGATTTTCCTTTCTGTTCAGAACTTCGCCTATTTATTTGTATAACTTTTATTTTTTGCTGTGTTTTGTTTGCACCTGATAGGAATGCCTCCCATTTCATTGTACATTTACAATAACAATATCAAGATATTCTACCCTAGTGTATTCTATTTGACCTGGCACTAGACCTCTTATTTTGTCGACTTTCAGTTTCCGTTCCCCACTCCATTACCCACGCAGAAAGTGTTTCCTCTGCCCGACCTTTCTCCTACAGGTGGCGATCACTTCAAGCTGATCATCCAGACTTTTTAAATTAATATTTCTTTTCCCCCTTTCTTTCTTGCTACTGAAAACTCCAATAAATCTGACAATTACTCTGAGGAGAGGATCTGGGTTTCAGGGTGGAGAATACACCGGTTGCAGGACAGTGCGCGAGACGGTGAAGCATGGGCTGGAAATGTCAAATTTATTGCGGTTTACAAAAGCTCTACAACATCCGGTTTAGCTGTCAATATAAACCTGGGATAATAAAGGTTTGGGGGGAAACGCAAATATCATTTCCAGAGTAACATGTGGTCATAGGTTTACACAGGTTCAAGTATATATCTTGAACTTTTTTAAAGATAAGTCTATCTATCTATCTATCTATCTATCTATCTATCTATCTATCTATCTATCTATCTATCTATCTCTTAAACTTTTCTAAAGATCCATATTCATGTCCTGTGCACAGCATTATCAGTCCTTGTAGCTTGCAGGTGATGGTAGGAGCCACAGAGGGGACTGAATACCTCCTTTTTTCAACCCTGGTTCCATCCTTTAAGCCTTTTAACAACAACAATAATAGTAATAATAATAATAATAATAATAATAAACTTTATTTGTATGGCACTTTTCTTGAACAGTTGTCACAAAGTGCTTTATAGTCATCAAAATAAAAAGGGTCAGACAACAAGACATAAACCTTAACAAAAAGTACACTTGCAGCCAAAGTCCCGGGGCCTATTCTACGAAGCAGGATTACTGCTTAGCAAGGTAACTTCGAGGGTAAGTTCGGGGTTTCCTGTTCTACGACACGGGTTCACTTCTTAGCGAGGTGAGTCTCCATGGCAACGTACGCTGAACGGCTAACCTGCTCTGGGGCAGGTTAGGTTCCAGATTGAACTCACCGAGTATAAAAACCCCACCCACTGACCAATGAGCTCTCTCAAAAAATGGCTTGTCTGTTCTTGGAGGATCCTATAGACCTTGGTGCTGGCATTGTTCGAGGAGCACTCCGGCGCGCGAGAGTTTTCAGGGACTGCATGGACCCACTTACTTTTCTGGATGACCACCTTTATGAAAGGCTCAAAAAATGTAAACATGATAGGAATGAACAAATGAATGAATTCATCTTGGAAATAAATTAGACATGTCTGGTGCATGTTAAAAGCGCATGTTGAACAGTGCTATTTCAGGGTTATAATGGCATCAAAGATTTTTTGCGCATTATATTTACGCATTGAGACTGTCTGCAATTTTCTGCGGTCTTTCGCTCTCTGGCCGGCTCTGACGCTCCAGACTGGTCCATGTTCGCGATCGGTCCGATGCGACGGGCTCTGCCTTACCTGCGTGCACGCGCTCATAGCAAAGCTGGATCCACTTACGAGGTTGATAACCAGTGTCGTAAGACCGTTTAGCGAGACCGCTGGCTACCGCGTTAAGTTCAGCGAGGTAGCTCCAAGGCTACCTCGCTAGGTCAAACTTGCTTCGTAGAACAGGCCCCTGGTCATACCAAAGCGATTGTAAACAAATGGGTTTTCAACAGCTTTTTGAAAATATACACAGTGTCCACAAGTTCCCTTTTAGAGCTAAAACTAATCTACAAAAGCTTTTTATAGGCCCTAAAGAGGAATAATGTACTACCTTCCCAAAAATTTACTTTGGAATATGATGCAGAGAAAATATACTTCTTGGATTGACCTACTTCCCATTCCTTCCTCTCTTGATGTTGTAAGTGGACTGGTTGTTATTCTTATACATAATATACTCTTACCGTGAGGCTTTGTGTATCATTACTGAACAAATGCACATTGTATCCTCCTTATTGAATGATTATTGATTTAATCTAAGTTTTTTTTTTTTTTTTTCCTTTGCTTACAAGTGATTTAACGAGAAGGCCAAAGCTGTCTCTCTTCCTCCTCAGCAACCACCTTCCTCTTCATTAAAGGGTCTATAGGTCTCTTTGGTGGTATTTTTGTAAAGATGCTGTTATTTCAAACTAGCATGCTTTGTATCCAATGTTTTATTCTGTGTTGTTCTAGATGAAATGAGGATTTGCAGTAAATGGACACGAAGAGAGCTCCACAGGCTACTGTCTGCTGCTGACTGGATTTAAAAGCATCTGTGCAGTGGATCGTGTAGCATCCTGATGAAGTTATTCAGCTCTTCTGTTGAATCACCTCCTTTTCTGTCGTGAATTCACATGAAATGTCTTCCATATGGATTTCATTTTCAGTACAGGACTTTCTTGCACAGACCAGCCCACTTTAGTCCACAACCTTTTAGAATGTTATGGTATATAAATCTGAAACAGAGCACTATATTTCCACAATTTTGTTTTGTTTTAGTGTAATTTATCAAAAATCACATTCACACGACAATTACGGGTACAAGTTTACAGCTATCATTTTACAAATGTAAGAACATCACACATTTGTCTTACTAAAAAAATGTGAAAACCCATGACAAGTCATTATTGGGAAAATGTAAATGAAGACTTAGAGATCCTTGGTCATACACATAGACTGTATATATTATGGACTACTTGGTTCCGCCTCCCGCCAGTATACGGATTTGAAGCCAAAAAGCTCTCGGTAATTCCACATTTTTTTCTCCACTTCCTGAAACCAACATTGCACAGTAGTGTTGTACGCACTCCACCACTTGCGCAGTAGTGTTGTACGCATTCGGCGGGAGAGTCACCGAGAGTGGCTGTGATGACGCTCGGCTCAAACAGCGTATCCCCACAGGTGTATCTTCGTACACCCATAGGCTGTATCAAGTGACAATCATAGAAAACATGAACCCCCTAATAACGTCTAAAAATGGAGCTGCACAGAAAAAGTACAGTAACTACATCACAACCAGGGGGGAGAAATATTTGTGTTCTGTGGAATAAATTTCTAAAGTTTGTCCACAGCTTCATATGGATTGCTGGAGGAGGCGGGATTTATGACCTATACTGCAGCCCGTTACTAGCGGGTGCTGTTTTCGGAACGGCTTCACCCAGCGAGGAGGCAGATGCTGTCCATTCTTTATACAGTCTATGGTCATACATTATGTCATTCAAACTCTCTTGTTTTGTTTTATTTATTCAAGTATCACGAGGTCAGACCATTTTTACTGTACAGTGCTGTATCATTAAATTATCTGACATATTTCATACAGCTTACTGTAGCTTCTCTTTCTCACATCCAGACTAACCCCTCTGGACTTCTGTGCTGAGTTGTGGCGCTCTCTCACACTGTAAAAGTCAACAGCTTTTATTTTGAAGAGCCTCTTTCCGGTTCTTGTGTCGCTGGCTCCGCCTTTGGTTGGCTTTATAAAGCAGCGATGTCTCATGGCAGATCAGCGGCCAGCCCTGAAAGTCGGAGCGGCGAGAAAAGTACGCGGTGCTCTTTGTTACTGTAAAACTGGTTCCACCTCCGCGACGTCGTTAACATGAGAAAGAAACTTCTTCACTGACCGCCGGGAAGTGAAATTTCGGCGAAGGGTCAGTTGTGCCGTTCCCTTCCTGGAACTTCAGCCAGTCCAGCAGCCGTTCAGCTCCGACCACACCCTCCCTGCTTCCTCATACTGCAGCGGGAGCGCGCAGCACGACTTTGAATCCCCGGGAATAACGGCCCTTTCCTCGGCTACCTTTGGGATTTCATGTTCGGGGAACTAGACGAAACATGTGAGTTGACTGTCCAAAGACTTTTGAGCGGTTATGGCGCTGAAAAGCAAGTGTCAGCAGGGGCTATGCGGGGCTTCACATTCTCTGGTCCCGTGTCAAGACGCCTAGAGGAAGAGGAGGAGGAGGAGGAGGAGGGCGGACAGAAGGACGATGCATATGGAGTCCAAGCGACTGCAGCATTCGCTAGCTTCCAACCCGGGGCTGTGTTTGAAAAAGAAGAGGTTAAAAGTGGATGGAGGAGTTTGTGCTGTTGGAAAGTCGGGCTCCCGGTCTTTAACTCTGGGGGACTCATGAAACGATGGTGCTGAAGGGAAACACGGGTGGTGCCCCGTTTGTACCCAGCATGAGAATACCAGGCCGGTCAAAGTCATTGGAAGCAAGTCGGACAAGACGTCGGTGCTTTTTCAGGCTGCTTACCCTGTCAAGAGTGGACCTAAAATGACATCCTATTTATTAATGTAAAGAAAAAAAGAGCGAAGAATCGATCAAGCTAATGTTGAGGGATGTTTTTCTCTGCTAAAAAAAGACCCAAAGAAAAGACATCTAGTGTTAAATAGCAGGAAAGGATCAGCAGATGTCATAAATCAGGAATGTGATCTCCTTTATGAAAAGAAATGCAGCTTTTGACTTTGAACAGCTCTCAGTCTGCACTTTGCCTGTTTGGAGGCACCCTGGCACTGCATTTGGTGTGATTTCTTCTTAAAGTTCACAGCCTGTGAAGTTTTTTTCTGTTTGACCAAAACTGGGACTGGGATTAGATTAACCACATCTGTATTTTGCTGGCATTTATGTTCATCTAAAGAGATAAGAGCATTTTATACTGATAATTTTAACCCTTGTGCTGCCCTTCAGGGTCAAAAAGACCCAGTCAGTATACCCTCGCCCTATTGGGGTGAATTTAGCCTCCAGTCAGCGTGGACTAAGATAACCCATGACTCCTGATTGTTTTACCCCGCCTGGGTCGAATAGACCCCAGTCAAGTATGGATTTGAGAATCGTAAACTCGCGCCCCTGCCCTCGGCAGGGTCAAATATACCCCACCGTGGTGTACATAGCCTTTTTTTTTTTTTTTTCATTTATTTATTTATTTATTTATTTTTACTCATTTGAACTCATGACTCCTGACGTTCCAGCGCGCATCTCAAACAGCATAAACCCCTGGACCCGATTCTCGCTCATCCAGTCAAGTATCCTGTGGTGGTGGCGGCGTTGAGGACCCCCTGTATTTTACAGCGTGAGGACTGTAAAAAAAAAAAAACATAAAGCTCTAGGTTTTACTTTCAAGGCTACACTACATATAGAGACTAAGAAAACTTGGAAACTTGGAGGACTGGAAAAAAAATAAATAAATAAAATAATTTTTAGGAAAGGATGTCGGTATCAACAAAAGTTCCATCTCAAGAGTTGAGTAGAATAGAGTGAAAACTGTATTCATCACGGCAGGGAAACTTAGAGAGTGTCAGAGAGCTTGCAAATACAGATAACAACAGCCGCACTACCTAATTCATATAAATGAGCACAACCTATCACAAAATAAAGGCAGTACAGTGAAAAGGCAAGGGGAATTTGTTTTTACACACGCTTTTGTCTCAGAGAGTTTCACATAGCATTATAATGCCAACATCATCTGCCCTTAGACCCTCACGTCAACTGAGGAAAAATGGAGAAATAAGACAAAAAAAAATTGGAGAAACCTCAGGGTGAGCAACACAGGAGAGATCCCCTCACCCAGGACGGGGCAGACCTGCAACAGAGGTTCTATACAGACAAAAACAAACAAACAAAAAAAAAACGGGTTTACTACACATAATGTGCCGAACACGACATTCCATTGTTGCCTAACAGGAAAACAGAAAAGTTTTCTCAAAAGTGTTGAACACCGACAAAAAGGACCGTAGAGGAGAGACTACAGTACAGTAAGTATTCTATATGTATCTATCTATCTATCTATCTATCTATCTATGTAAAGACATGAATATATTTGCATTTTTCGTGACTCGTGCGCCCTGAGAGTGGCAGCAAGTCACAGCAGCTCCTCACAGAGTTCGCGTTTTTGCCTTCTTATTGTTGTTTTTTTGCACCTCATTTATACCCTTATTGTTATAACTGCATGTTTGCACTTTTTGTCTTGTCTGTGATGCTGCTGTGACAAAAAAAATTTCCCCATGGGGGGATCAATAAAGGAATATTCTATTCTATTCTATTTGTGTTTGTTCATCTTCTCACTCTGTGTGCTTTTAAAGCAAGGGAATGGCTGTGATAGCTCCAACAAAACAATGTGAACGCGTAGTAGTGTAGGGTATTGTGAATTCCTAGAACGACAAAATCTGTTCGGATTTTGGACAAAACCTGTTCGGATTTTAGATCAACTCAGAAATCCAGTCAAACAATAAAGTTTCTCTCTCTCTCTCTCTCTCTCTCTCTCTCTCTCTCTCTCTCTCTCTCTCTCCCTCCCCCCTCTCTCAACATGCGGTAACTGGCTCTCTCTTTCCCTTCACAGTCGCGCTGCATTTCACAGGGCCGCTTCATTCCGTTATTGCCTAGGAGGACAGAAAACAGAAAAGTTTTTCTCAAAAGTGTTGCAGACCGACAACCGGGACCGTAGAGGACAGACCAGAGAACAGTAAGTGTTCTATATCTATCTGTCCCCCGCTCCAGGATTTGGCCTCTGACGCGCCGCACGTCGACGGAGAGGAGCAGGAAAGTGCGCTCTACCCCCCGGTCACGTCGTCTCTCAGCCTACGCGTCCGTTCTTCTCGTCAGCTGAGCCGGCGACGGCATGGGGACGGAAAGGACGGACCCGTGGTTCTGAGACGACGCGTCCCCCGCTCCAGGATTCGGCCTCTGACGCGCCGCACGTCGACGGAGAGGAGCAGGAAAGTGCGCCTCCGCGGCTACGGTCCAAGACCGTCCCGAGGAGGGGAAAGCGCCGAAGGCGAGTTTGGAAAAAGGGAAAAACGCGGGACGGAGGATTCGTCTGCGAGTCGACGTGCTGAGAAACCCCCGACGCTCTCCTGTTCCCGTTCCGGCCGGCTACCGCCGCGAAGACGTTCTCGACGAGGGAGAAAAGGGCGCGCGACTGCGGCCGAACGTGTGGCGCGCGGATGGAGACGGATGGAGGACGCCTGGGCTTTAGAGGTAAGATGTGTGTGACCTGTGCGCGTGTGTTTTCTACACTGCCTGTGTATTCTACACTGCCTGTGTATTCTTTTTTTGTTTGTTTGTTTGTCCCCGCTCCTCGTGTTCGGCCTCTGACCCGCCGCGAGTCGACGGAGAGGAGCAGGAAAGTGCGCTCTCCCCCTTCCCCGGGGGCGTCCGGCCTCCGAGGGCGGCCTCCGCGGCTACGGTCCAAGACCGTCCCGAGGAGGGGAAAACGCCGAAGGTGAGTTTGAAAAACGGAAAAACGCGGGACGGAGGATTCGTCTGCGAATCGACAAGAAAACCCCGACGCTCTCCTGTTCCCGTTCCGGCCGGCCTCCGCGGCTACCGCCGCGAAGACGTTCTCGACGCGGGAGAAAAGGCGCGCGACTGCGGCTGAGCGTGTGGCGCGCATCCTGTGAGGAACGGACGGAGAGAGAGAGGGAAAGAAAGAAAGAAAGAGACAAAGGTTTCAAAGATTTTTTTTTTATTTTATTTTCATTTCTAAGAGCAGAAAATACTGTAAAGATGTCTCAACGCCAACAGAAAGAAAGTGTTTGTACATAAAAAGTGTTTTCAAATGAAAAAAAAATTATATATATATATATATATATATATATATATATTTAAACATTATTTTATTTATTTATTTATTTTTAAAAAACTACACCTTGCTTCATCATACAGTGTTGTTTTTTTTTCTTTCCTCACTGCAGTGTCCCAGAATGGTGAGGCTTAGCGAAGAGGACAACGCCTGGGCTCCAGAGGCACGAGTCGGCACCCCACCGTAGGGAGTGAAACCACTGTATCACTCGGTCAGTTGTAAAACACAAAAGTTTGAATTGTATAATCGGCAGAGGTTGGAGAGCGTCGGAGTTGTCGTGTCGTCTCTAAGCCAACGTGTCTGTTCTTCTCTTCCACTGAACCGGTTGCGTTTTACTTTGCACATTTCAGTCAGGAAGGTGAGCGGCTGGTTCGGAGTTAGAGAAGAACGAATTCGTGGTTCTGAGATGACGTGTCCCCGCTCCTCATATTTAGTCCTCTGACACAAAGACATCACAAAATGTGGACTCGATATCACTGACTGTGCTGACTCTGTGTGTGAGTGTGTGTGTGTGTGAGTGTGTGTGTGTGAGTGTGTGTGTGTGTGTGTGTGTGCGTGTGTGTGTGTGTGTGTGTGTGTGTTCCGCACTGCCTGTGCGAGTTTCTCTTTTTGGTTTTACAGCGCTCTCTGCATGACCGGCCATTCTGTGAGGGAAGAAGAGAGAAAGACACACGAAGTTTCTCCAGATTTTATTTTTCAATTCTAAGAGCAGAAAATATTGCGAAGACGTCTGAACACCAAAAGAAAGAAAGTGTTTGTACATAAAAAGTGCTTTACAAATACATTTTTTTTTTTAAAAGCACGCCTGTCCAAGGCTCGGTGAGGTTTAGGGAAGAGGACAACGCCTGGGCTCCAGAGGCACGAGTCGGCATCCCACATGCCGTCGTCGCCGTTACCGCCGTCGACCGGCCCACCCGGACCGACTGAATATTCTCTCGTCCACGCCCGCGACATCGCCTCCGCTTTTTTCATGTTCGTCACCCCGTCGATAGAACGCATCATCTTGGAGATGACTAATTTGGAGGGATGACGGAAAATCGGAGACGGCTGGAAACGCATGGATGCCGTCGACCTTCGCGCCTACATGGGGCTGCTGCTTTTAGCCGGCGTCTACAGGTCCCGAGGCGAGGCGACCGCCAGCTTGTGGGACGCTGAGAGCGGACGGTCCATCTTCCGCGCCACGATGCCGCTGAAAGTGTTTCACGCCTACTCTAGACTGCTGAGATTCGACGACCGCGAGTCGAGACCCGCCAGAACCTGGGCATGCGGGTCGTGCTCGATGTCACCGAGGGACTGAGGGATTGCAACGTCACCTGCGACAATTTCTTCACCTCTTACGAACTCGGGCAGCAGCTGCTGAAAAGGAACATGACCATGGTGGGCACCGTTCGAAAAAACAAGCCGGAGCTCCCCCGGCCCTTCTCTCGCCGAAGGGAAGAGCGGTGTTCTCGTCGAAATTCGCCTTCACGTCGACCACTGCCGCGGTCTCTTACGTGCCCAAGAAAAACAAAAACGTGCTGCTGGTTAGCACGAAGCACACGGAGGCCGAAGTCAGCGACCGCCGCGACAGAAAGCCGGTCATCATACTGGACTACAACCGCTGCAAAGGAGGTGTCGATAACCTCGACAAGGTGATCGGAACCTACAGCTGCAGAAGGATGACGGCTCGCTGGCCCCTGGTCGTGTTCCACAACATCCTCGACGTTTCCTCCTACAATGCCTTTGTGATATGGAGAGAACTAAACCCCGAATGGATGCCTCAGAAGCGGAACAAGAGAAGGGTGTTCCTAGAGCGGCTGGGAAAGGCGCTGGTGACTCCGTTGATAGAAAGAAGGGAGCGTCTCCCTCGCACGGAAGCGTCAGCGGAAGTCGTCCGAGTCGTTCGTAGCGCCGCGTCTAGATCTAGAACTTGCGGTGAGGGCGAGGGCGAGGGCGAGGACGCCGCCGGAGCGGCGTCGGGAGCGGACGGCCCGACCGGGGCGAGGAAGAGGAAGAGGTGTCAGTTTTGCCCGCGGGCGAAGGACAACAAAACTTCTACCATGTGCAGCGGGTGTAAGAAATATATCTGCAAAAGTTGTTCGCTCCCGTACTGCGCTGAGTGTGCCGCTGAGAATTTGGAGACGGGTTGATCGCCGACACACGCACACACACACACGCACACACATGCACACACACACACGCACGCACGCACGCACACACCATGTGTGACCCCTCGAGACGTGGGATGCGGTCGGTTGAACTGTCCGCAACCGGGGTGACTAGTTTTAGAGGCAGAGAGGCAGCCTGGCAGGACCGCATCAGAAGAGGAAATACTTACGACTTTCCAAAGATGAAAATGTCACGGGAACTGCCGAAAAGACACGAGAGCATGATGAACAGCGAGGACCCGGACATTGAGGTTGTTGGTGGCGACGTGGGTAAAAAGCTACACTTTAACCCCGTTAGAGCGGCAGTGGCATTACAGCTGTGCAGAAAGCTCAAGGTAGACTGTAGAAAGAGGTATAGCAAATTCACGGATGTCTGTGAATTAGGAGCTCCTTGTAAGAACGTGAAGATTAAAAGCGACGGGAATTGCTTCTTTAGGGCAGTCAGTGTAGCCGTGAGCGGTACCGAACGCCATCACGGAAGAATAAGAGAAGCTGTGGTGAATCACTTGCAAAGCAATGAAGCTGCGTACGCCAACATTCTGAGAAGGGGTTACCTTTCGGTGTCGGACTTCGTCGACGCATCTGAAATCGGCTCTCCAGGAAGTTGGGCGACAGAGGTTGAGATTCAAGCGACGGCGGATTATTTGGGCGTCGACGTATTCACGTATTACACCGACCGTTGGCTTCGGTACAGTTGCGACAGCGTTCGGGTCTCTAAACAGGGGATTTATTTAGCGAATAGCGGCAGCCATTACGAGACCGTCGTTTGTGTCACAAGTCCTCCGAAGCGGTCTTGTTGCGGCTACTGCAAACTAGGCGTAGTTGCGTCAGACACGTACGATTGTCTGACCTCAAATTCTGCCTACGCCGATTCTGCATCTCGATCCGAGATTGCTTCGCCGTCACCGACATCGATTCGTCCGGATAACACGGTGTCTGTGAATGACGTCGACTACTGCGAAAAGGCGAGCGATGAGCGCGAGGAGGGGTCCCGCCGCTCTGACGAGCGTCGAGCTGCGAGGGATTTTTATCGAGATGCCGACAGTCCTCGGAGCCGCTACGAGTATGACGATTACCGCAGTGACGCCGCCGAGCTAGACGTCGGAGGACGCTTCGGCGAAGATGAGGCCTGGGAGAATAATCCTGACGAAGAGCGTGACCGCTATGGATGGCTATCAAGGAGACGTGTAGAAAATTATATTATCGTTGAAAATATGGAGCATCGTCCCTACGGCGATAGCCTTGTAACTCCGGGCGACGCGGAGGATACCGCCGAAGCTGATTTACCGCGTAACAGCGTTGCGGATTGGCGTGAACTTTTCGACCGCTCTGATGAGCGTCGAACTCCGAGGGACTGGGAGGGCACGAGTGACCGCGATGCCGACTTTTACCGAGATTCTAACAGTCCTTGGAGTCGCCGTGAGTATGACGATTACCGCAGTGACGCTGCAGAGCTAGAAGTCGAAGGGCGCTTCGGTGAAGATGAGGCCTGGAGGAATACTCCCGACGTAGAGGGCACGAGTGACCGCGATGCCGACTTTTACCGAGATTCTAACGGTCCTCGGAGCCGCCGTGAGTATGACGATTACCGCAGTGACGCTGCGGAGCTAGAAGTCGAAGGGCGCTTCGGTGAAGATGAGGCCTGGAGGAACTATCTATCGGCTATCGGAAAGACACGTAGAAGGTGACGTTGTTGAAGACGAGGAGTGTTATCCCTACGGCGATAGCCTCGGAACTCCAGGTGACGCGGAAGATACCGGTGAAGCTGATTTGCCACGTGACGGCTTTATGATCGGTCCGAACTTTTAAACGATGAGATCTGTATCGCGCTGTGGGATTGCGAGGAAGAAGTTCGAGAGGAGTTTGGCTCGAATGACCGCTACGCAGCTACCTGCCGCTGGACCGAATTGGAGGAATCGTGGAAATCGTTTGTCGGTTGGCTGGGTGAGCGCTGGTGGGGCTCGGTGTCGGAAGAGTCCGTCAGGACCTTCATGGATTCATCCGAGAGACGTCGCGTCAGGGATATCGTCGTCTCGGCGTGCTTCGGTGACACGCCCGGGGGAGTTTGTTCTTTCACAGTGAAGACCGAAAGCGGCCTGCTGTCACTTCCTTTGCTTATCCGTCGAAGACGCTACGTGTGCACCGACTTGGCGGAAGGTGATTTTTCGTGTCCGATCAACATGTTGAGAAAGCTGGCCCGTGAAACCTACACACACTTGCTCCCCCGACCCACAACGATACCTTCCGATCCCCAGAGCTTTTCTCTTACACGGGTAGTGGATGATATGTGGAGCGTTTTAGAATTGGTGAAAAGCGGATGGAGTGACGTTTCCCGACCCCATCGCATAATACAGTATCTACAAAACAAGGAAGGACCCTCTGTTACGCCAGCGGCGTTAATTTGCTGCGTAGATGATGACAGTCTGGGATACCTGTTTGAGATTATAGACGCCAAGGGGAAGAGTCTGAAAGTAACATTTGATAAATGGGGCTTCACGTTTGGATCGGGTCTACATTTCTCCGGACTCACAAGTCTGCTGTCACATATCTGTGAGGTCGATGGAGTACACTTTGTGATTAACTGTAGATTCTTGCTCACTGCGAGCGAACCGGAGCGTCCGATGTAAGACGTGTGTGTGTGTGTGTGTGTGTGTGTGGGGGGGGGTGTAAAGAGTTTGCGAACTTGTTTTTTTTTCCTTCAAGTGTTTGTATGAGCATGCTTCTATAGAAAGATTTAGGAAGAACTGCCGCTGAAATGTGCCTAAAAATGCATTATTATTATTATTATTATTATTATTATTATTATTATCATTATTATTAAAATGTGAATTCGTGCTGTAGCTTATGCTTGCTTACATATTCTCGCTTGCTCAATAAAGATGCGAAAGCTGGCAATTTTGCTTCAGATGATGACTTTATTTGCGCGCATCACACCATAGATTACAACACAACATTGTTTTATGGCTAAAAGTCATAATAGTAGCTGTACCAATCCTCAAAGGACATCTCGTCATTCATCATTAAAATTCAACTTTGTCCTTCTGATCAAAACATCATTGCTCAACAGTGTGGTATCGGCTAGAGATATCAGGTCATCTCTCGCCTCCCCTCCGTCTGCTCATTATTATTATTATTATTATTATTATTATTAATTTGTTAATTTTATTATTATTATTATTATTATTATTATTATTATCATTATTATCATTATTATCATTATTATTATTACTATATGTGTGTGAGTATATATTTCCACATTGGGGACAGTGTGACCCCTAAGACGTGGGATGCAGGTTTTTTTTTTTTTACTGTGTGAGGACTACAGGACTTTTCACCGGGTCAAAAAGACCCCAGTCATCACTGGGTCAAAAAGACCCCAGTCAGTACCCCAGTCAGTGTGACCCCTGAGACGTGGGATGTAGGTCTTAACTTGAGGACAACAGGAGGGATAAGGCAATCCACCAGAAATATGCCTGACAGAAGTTCAGTCTCTTATTGTAAGAAAATATTCTGGATGTTATTGACTCAAAGTAATGCAGTTAGCGAGTTTGACTCTTTCTACGTGTTTACATGAAGAGTATATATATTCTGTGTGTACAGCTGATGACCCATACTCTGAAGGAATTTAAGGAAGACTGTTTGGCCAGTTGACTTTCTCAAAGTTTGTGAAAAGCAGTTCAGGCTTAGCTTGGAAACAGTACCATGTAATGTGCAGCACCCTAAAAAGCATAAATAAGTGAACTAAGTAACCCTCCCACCCTCACCCACCCCCCTCCTTATTATGGCTAGTGGTGGCTCTGGCATGGCTCTGCCCCTAAGCTCATTCCAGAGCTTAGGGGCAGCAGCGGCAAATGCTCTGTCCCCTCTGAGCTTCAGCCTTGTACTGGGGACGGTCAGTAAAAGCTGATCAGCTGATCTTAGGGGTCAGGGTGGGCAATAAGGCTGTAGCATCTCCGAAATATAGGGTGGAGCAAGGTTGTTCAGGCCCTTAAAAACAAATGCTAAAAGCTTAAAATGAATTCTGTACTGAACAGGGAGCCAGTGTAAGGACGCCAGGATGGGGGTGATGTGCTCACGCCTGCAGGTCTGTGTCAGGAGACGTGCAGCAGAGTTCTGCATAAGCTGCAGGCGGGCAAGGGAAGCCTGGCTAATCCCTACGTACAAGGAGTTGCAGTAATCAAGACGGGTAGTGATAAAAGCATGGATTAATTTTTCCAGGTCAGGTCTTGATAAAATGGGCTTCACCTTCGCTATTTGGCGTAGCTGATAAAAACTTTTTTGTACCACCCCGCTGATCTGCTTGTCAAATTTAAAATCAGGGTCAAATTTAACTCCCAGATTAGTGACGACCTCTTTAAGGTAGGGTGAGAGGGAGCCTAGGTCGAAAACCCTTAAAACAGGCAGAAAAAAGAGAAAACTAAAAAAAAGAAAAAGAAGAGTATTTCTGAAAACAAAAAAAACAACAACAAAAAAACACCCTAAGAAAACTAAAAAACAAAAAAGAAATATTTCTGATTCTTGGGGTTAAGAAAGCCTGAGAAGTGGAAGAAGTAACTTCCCCGAAGTAAGGAACTACTTAAAAAAAAAAAAAACTCTTCAAAAAGAAATCTCCAAAAACAAAAATAAATTAAGACAACTGATGAAAAAACAAAAAAGAAAAAAAAAAACATCAACATGGGAAAAAAAAAAAAAAATAAAAAAAAAAAAAAAAAAAAAAAACTACTGGAAAGAAAATTAAAAAACAACAAACAAAAGCACCCATAACCCGGTGTTTTTCACACAAAAAATAAAATAAACCTTGCGGTTTTCCGTCCCATGGGAGGGTTTTTATCCCCCTCCTCGAGCTACCACCTTACCGTGGTGGAGGGGTTTGTGTGTCCCAATGAGAGTTAATTCTGATTTACTCTTGCTGTTGTCAAAAAGTGCTAAAATTTCTCTGAATTTCGCATGTTAAGTAGGCCCATGTCAGTTTTAATCCTTGCAGGACTCTTGTTTTCACTTTTCATCAGCAGAGGAAAAGCTTTTGGATAACTGATTAATATAGAGTTCAGGGGAAAGTATATCTGCAATGTATAATCAATAATGACTTTATCTTCATGAGTAAATATGATTTGTACATTTAAAGAGAACTATTTTTTAATTTTGGTTCAACAATGGACAGAAGTAGACAGGCAAGATGGCGTCTGTAAAGTTCAGTTCAACAGCTGGTGTGTCATACTAAGTTTTCTTATTTAACCCATCAATACATATCAATTCATAAAGCATCTATTACAAAAACAGCTCAAATCAATGTGGGTTAACAGCAGGTTTGAAAAATACATGATTGTTATAGGGTGTGCTTTTTTTACATTTAAATGTGAAAAATTCAAATGTAAACAAACAACAAGAGAATATGGCATCAAAGGAACAATTCCGTGATGACATCATTATGACATCATCACGGCTTTCATCTCGTGTTACTAACTGGAAGTAGAGCAGCTGTCCAGGGTATCGTTTGAACCTTTCAGCGAGTAGCTACACTTAAAGAAAGAGACAATCGAAATCTTCAAAGTAAAAACGTGGAAGAAAGCGAAAAGCAAAGATGGAAAACATGTCCGAGGAAACCCACGGCGAAATGACGGATCCACAGCACGTCCACCTAAGGTAAGGAGAAAAAAACGGTTCAAGGGGTCCCTGTGTGAAGGTGTTTCTATAAAACCGCGCCTCAACCTTTTTCTTTCTGCTCCTTTTCATTCACATGAAAATTTTTCCTTGTTTGTATTGAATGTGTCATATACTAACAGACTGAAATAAAGTATGTACACAGCGCCCTGACTTTATTGAAATGAAGTCATGTGTTTGGAGGTTAAGGCTCTGTTTGTGTAGATACCAACAGTTTGGGTCGGGTCAGAACTGCTGACATTCATACAGCTCATTCAGACGACTCAGAGAATGAGAGTATTTGGAATTTTCCAATATTTATCATGTCTCAGATTTGTGCACATCAGTTTGTGAATGACAGATATTGTATAGAAAGACTTAGCTTTCAGACCCTTTACAACAAGATCTTCAGTGCTTCTCATCTTTTTCTTTTAGCTTCCCATCTGAAAGCTCTGTGGAGGAAATGGCTCAAGACAGACCAGATCAAGATGAGACAGAGAAAACGGAGATTGATAACAGCATCATACAGAGACTTCAAGACAGACCAGATCAAGATGAGACAGAGAAAACGGAGATTGATAACCGCATCATACAGAGACTTCAATCTGGCTGGATAGGCACTCTTCATGTCGTTTTCCTGGTGCTGCTTTTAGTCCTAATCACTGTCATTGTTGGCCTGAGCATCAATGTTAAGCAGTTACAGAAAGAAAGGAGTCAGCTGAGACAGCTTCTAGAATCAACACACATGGGACTGAACCACACCATGGAAGTAAATCAAAAAGTGAGCCAGAGTCTGAACTTCACCGTGGAAGAAAATCAAAAACTGAGGCTGAGTCTGAACTACACCATGGAGGAGAATCTGAACCTGAGCCTGAGTCTGAACAACACCATGGAAGAAAATCAGAAATTGAGCAGAAGACTAAACTACACCATGGAAGAAAATCAGAAATTGAGCCTGAGTCTGAACTACACCATGGAAGAGAATCTGAACCTGAGCCTGAGTCTGAACAACACCATGGAAGAAAATCAGAAATTGAGCAGAAGACTAAACTACACCATGGAAGATAATCAGAAATTGAGCAGAAGACTAAACTACACCATGGAAGATAATCAGAAATTGAGCCTGAGTCTGAACTACACCATGGAAGATAATCTGAAACTGAGCCGAAGACTCAACCACACCAAGGAAGAAAATCAAAAACTGAGCCTGATTCTGAGCTACTCCATGGAAGAAAATCAGAGACTGAGCCGAAGACTAAACCACACCATGGAAGTAAATCAAAAAGTGAGCCAGAGTCTGAACTTCACCGTGGAAGAAAATCAAAAACTGAGGCTGAGTCTGAACAACACCATGGAGGAGAATCTGAACCTGAGCCTGAGTCTGAACAACACCATGGAAGAAAATCAGAAATTGAGCAGAAGACTAAACTACACCATGGAAGATAATCAGAAATTGAGCCTGAGTCTGAACTACACCATGGAAGATAATCTGAAACTGAGCCGAAGACTCAACCACACCAAGGAAGAAAATCAAAAACTGAGCCTGAGTCTGAGCTACTCTATGGAAGAAAATCAGAGACTGAGCCGAAGACTAAACCACACCATGGAAGTAAATCAAAAAGTGAGCCAGAGTCTGAACTTCACCGTGGAAGAAAATCAAAAACTGAGGCTGAGTCTGAACTACACCATGGAGGAGAATCTGAACCTGAGCCTGAGTCTGAACAACACCATGGAAGAAAATCAGAAATTGAGCAGAAGACTAAACTACACCATGGAAGATAATCAGAAATTGAGCCTGAGTCTGAACTACACCATGGAAGAGAATCTGAACCTAAGCCTGGGTCTGAACAACACCATGGAAGAAAATCAAAAACTGAGGCTGAGTCTGAACTACACCATGGAAGAGAATCTGAACCTGAGCCTGAGTCTGAACAACACCATGGAAGAAAATCAGAAATTGAGCAGAAGACTAAACTACACCATGGAAGAGAATCTGAATCTGAGCCAAAGATTAAACCACACCAAGGAAGAAAATCAAAAACTGAAGCTGAGTCTGAACTACACCATGGAGGAGAATCTGAACCTGAGCCTGAGTCTGAACAGCACCAAGGAAGAAAATCAAAAACTGAGCCTGAGTCTGAGCTACTCCATGGAAGAAAATCAGAGACTGAGCCGAAGACTAAACCACACCATGGAAGTAAATCAAAAAGTGAGCCAGAGTCTGAACTTCACCGTGGAAGAAAATCAAAAACTGAGGCTGAGTCTGAACTACACCATGGAGGAGAATCTGAACCTGAACCTGAGTCTGAACAACACCATGGAAGAAAATCAGAAATTGAGCAGAAGACTAAACTACACCATGGAAGAAAATCAGAAATTGAGCCTGAGTCTGAACTACACCATGGAAGAGAATCTGAACCTGAGCCTGAGTCTGAACAACACCATGGAAGAAAATCAGAAATTGAGCAGAAGACTAAACTACACCATGGAAGATAATCAGAAATTGAGCCTGAGTCTGAACTACACCATGGAAGATAATCTGAAACTGAGCCGAAGACTCAACCACACCAAGGAAGAAAATCAAAAACTGAGCCTGAGTCTGAGCTACTCTATGGAAGAAAATCAGAGACTGAGCCGAAGACTAAACCACACCATGGAAGTAAATCAAAAAGTGAGCCAGAGTCTGAACTTCACCGTGGAAGAAAATCAAAAACTGAGGCTGAGTCTGAACTACACCATGGAGGAGAATCTGAACCTGAGCCTGAGTCTGAACAACACCATGGAAGAAAATCAGAAATTGAGCAGAAGACTAAACTACACCATGGAAGAAAATCAGAAATTGAGCCTGAGTCTGAACTACACCATGGAAGAGAATCTGAACCTGAGCCTGAGTCTGAACAACACCATGGAAGAAAATCAAAAACTCAGGCTGTGTCTGAACTACACCATGGAAGAAAATCAGAAATTGAGCAGAAGACTAAACTACACCATGGAAGATAATCAGAAATTGAGCCTGAGTCTGAACTACACCATGGAAGATAATCTGAAACTGAGCCGGAGACTCAACCACACCAAGGAAGAAAATCAAAAACTGAGACTGAGTCTGAGCTACTCCATGGAAGAAAATCAGAGACTGAGCCGAAGACTAAACCACACCATGGAAGTAAATCAAAAAGTGAGCCAGAGTCTGAACTTCACCGTGGAAGAAAATCAAAAACTGAGGCTGAGTCTGAACTACACCATGGAGGAGAATCTGAACCTGAGCCTGAGTCTGAACAACACCATGGAAGAAAATCAGAAATTGAGCAGAAGACTAAACTACACCATGGAAGAGAATCTGAATCTGAGCCAAAGATTAAACCACACCAAGGAAGAAAATCAAAAACTGAGGCTGAGTCTGAACTACACCATGGAGGAGAATCTGAACCTGAGCCTGAGTCTGAACAACACCATGGAAGAAAATCAGAAATTGAGCAGAAGACTAAACTACACCATGGAAGAGAATCTGAATCTGAGCCAAAGATTTAACCACACCAAGGAAGAAAATCAAAAACTGAGCCTGAGTCTGAACAGCACCAAGGAAGAAAATCAAAAACTGAGCCTGAGTCTGAGCTACTCCATGGAAGAAAATCAGAGACTGAGCCGAAGACTAAACCACACCATGGCAGAAAAGTCACAGCTTCAAGTGCAGATTGAGGAGATGAAAATCATATTGAATTCTACTATGGAAAACCGTGACTCTTTCAGAAAAGACAAAATCAAATATCAACAGCTTTTGATCAATGAAAGGCAGACCTCAACTCAACTAAAAGCTGAAAATCAACGTCAACAATCAATTCTGATGTCGGAGAAACTATCTTTCCTCTGGAGATTCTGTGATAAAGGCACCCTGCAATGTTCACGCTGCCTTCCTGGTTGGGCCGAGCACGCCACACGCTGCTTCCATTTGGCATCACAACCAATGAAGTGGGAAGATGCTCGTAGGGAGTGTTTTAATGAAGGTGCTGACCTGGCTGTTGTCTTGAATGCTGCAGACCAGGCATTTCTGACCAACATGACTTTCCAGTTTACACAGCAGCATCCAAATGTACTGTTCCATTCAGCATGGATCGGGTTGCAGGACATGGTGCAGGATAACAGATTTGTGTGGGTAAATGGTATCAAGTCCAAGTCAGATTTGAAGTTCTGGATGCCTGGAGAGCCAAACAATGCTGCGGCTCAATGGGACAAAGACCGTGCAGGACAGGACTGTGTTGCCATTGTCCCTCCAAAGACTGTTGGACAGAAAGGCTGGCTGAACTCCTGGGATGATATTGTCTGTCGAGGCCAGCGGCACTACATTTGTGAAACCAAAGCTCTTATTTTGTCTCTGGAGTGAAAACTGAGGAATGATGAGTTTATAACAATTTAGAATAAGTATGAATTAATGTGAAATAAATGTTCTTTATTTTGATAATGATATGGTATTATTATTTGGATTTTAATGTGGCCTATATAATAGACTGTTTTTTGTTCTTTTTTTAGTCATATCTATCTATCTATCTATCTATCTATCTATCTATCTATCTATCTATCTATCACAGAATGGAGATGACATGGATTAAGGTGAAGTCAGTTGCAAGTTCAACATTTGTTAAAAAAAAAAAAAAGAACATGTAAGAATTGACCCTGAGAGCGGCTGTGACCATATAAGGAGGCAGAGGCAGGAGATGAGTTAAACCCACACAGTGGGTATTTATTTGCAGTGTATAAACCAAAAACCAATAAAACACACCATGCTCAGTCCATTGTGCACACGAGAGACTCCCAGCTCAGAGGAAAGCGCTCCCCTATATACCCTCCCCGATTGGGTGCTACCACGTGTAGGGGTGTGGAAAAACTGTAACCAGTTTAATATAACTATTTAAAAAGCACCTACTTAAAATATACAAACCTATGCTCCAGACTAAATCATAGAACCTAATTTCGAGTGTACATTAATCACATACTGTGATCATCCTCCCAATTAAATGTTACACGTGGCACTGTTCACCCCCCATACCCATCTGCCAGTTGGAACCCTCCCGGAACGCTAAAAGGCCGTTTGTTTCCCCGGGGACTCTTTTACATGTGCACCCTGGGAGTGGAGACAGAAAGGCACAGGTAAGTGTTCACAATATTCACGTCAAACTGATTTTAAACTGCACTACTTCCACCTTTTACTCAAGCACACAAATATGCTGAAACCCTCATCCACATCGTGTGCACTGTGTTACAGGTGGTGCGGCTAAATTAACCCCCGGCTACCGGACGAGCTACCGGACGTCCCCGGAGAACACCTATACAAATACACACATACACACACACACACACACCATTAACCAAATCAGAATTAAAGTATTTTGACTGAAATACCTCTGTGGCTCATCATTTGCTAATCATGTGTAGCTTTTAATTTAACAACCCTCAATGTTGTGTCTACCTGCACTATATATATATATATATCAACACTGCTTAGCTGCCCCAATCCTCAGCTACTCACTGCAGTAGTAACGGAGACAACAGAGGCCTCCGTTACATTTCCTTCCCCCTCTCCCTTAGCTGCACAGTACCTTGTTACACAGGGTTACGGGACAGACAGTCAGCTACCAGGTTGGATTTCCCCGGCCGGTACTTGACCACAAAGTTGTAGGGCTGCATGGCGAGGTACCACCCTGCGATACGCATATTTGCATCCTTCATCCGGTGCAGCCACTGGAGCGCTCGATGATCCGTCTCCATGGTAAACTGGCGCCCCAACAGGTAATACCTCAGAGACTCAGTGGCCCACTTCATTGCAAGGCACTCCTTCTCAATTGTGGAGTAACGGGTCTCTCGATCCAGCCAACTTCCTGCTGAGGAACAAGACAGGCTTCATCTCGCCTTCCACTTCTTGGAGCAGCACCGCCCCAATGCCAACTCCGGAGGCATCCGTTTGGAGGGTGAAGGGCCTGTCAAAATCCGGGCTTTGCAGAACTGACTCCACACTGATGGCTTGCTTCAGGTCCCTGAAGGCTTCTTCACATTTTTCAGTCCACCGAACTTTGGCAGATGCTGAGGCCTTAGTTAGATCTGTCAAAACAGCAGCTCTCTCTGACAGATGTGGGATGAACTTACGATACCACCCAACAAGTCCCAGGAAAGACTTCACTTTCTTCTTTGTGGTTGGAACTGGGTACGAGGTGATGGCTTCCAACTTGCTCACTTGTGGGCGAATCACCCCATCCCCGATGATATATCCCAAGTACTCCACCTCCTTCTGAGCGAAGATGCACTTTCGAGGATTGATGGTCAGTCCCGCAGCCTTGATACAATGAAGGACCCGTGTCAGATGGGCCATGTGCTCCTCCCAGGTTTGGCTATAAACCACCACATCGTCCAAGTATGCTGCTGAAAACGCCGACACTTCTCGCAGGACCTGGTCCATGAGCCTTTGAAATGTTGCAGGTGCCCCCTGGAGCCCAAACGGCATAACACGGAAATGGAAAAGGCCATAAGGTGTTGCAAAAGCTGTCAGCTTCTTCGCCTCAGGTGCTAAGGCCACTTGCCAGTAACCTTTGCTCAGATCTAGTGTACTGATGTACTTGGCTTTCCCAACCCTCTCCAGCAACTCATCAATTCTGGGCATTGGGTATGGGTCAAACTTGGAGATGGCGTTAAGATACCTGAAGTCAATGCAGAACCTTAGGGAACCATCCTTTTTTGGCACCAAGACAACTGGGCTGCACCATTCACTGTCCGACACTTCAATGATCCCCAACTCCAACATTAGCTGGATCTCCTTTTTCAGCTCAGGCACCAGGCGCTCAGGGATGCGATAGCTTCTCTTGCGGCTAGGAGCAGTCTCCTTCAGGTGAATGCTGTGTTGGACCAGATCAGTAAAACCTGGCTTCTCCTGGAACAATTCTGGATCCAGGAGGGCTTCCACACCCTTCTGTTGGTCAGGTGTTAGATGTGCTACCTCCACCTGACTGACTCCTGCTGGACTTGTCGGAAAGAACTGCTCCTCCACCTCCTTCTCCTCAGCTGCCTGGATGAAAAAATGCTGTGACACTGGCTCTGGACAATCATGAAATTCCTTCAACAGGTTAATGTGAAACGTTTGGTGCTTTTTTGCTCTATCAGGCATATGAATTTCATAAGAAACCGCACCGACCTTTTTCGTGACCTCATATGGCCCCTGCCATTTTGCAAGCAGTTTGCTTTCACTTGAGGGCAGCAGCAGCAGCACTTTCTGTCCAGGCTGAAAAACCCGTTCCCTGGCCTTCTGGTCATACCAGGTTTTTTGTTTCTCTTGGGCCATGGTCATGTTCTCTTTTGCTAGCGTAGCCATCTTTTCCAACCTCTCTCTCATCTTCACCACATACGCCACAATGCTCTCTCCTGAAGCCTTTGGATCCTCCCAGTAATCCCTCAGAAGGTCAAGAGGTCCTCTCACCTGGCGTCCATAAAGCAATTCAAACGGTGAGAAGCCCGTGGAAGCTTGTGGCACCTCTCTGTAGGCGAAGAGGAGGTATGGCAACCACTGGTCCCAGTCAGAGCCTGTCTGTGACACAAACTTGCGCAACATGTTCTTTAAAGTTTGGTTGTACCTTTCTACAAGCCCATCTGTTTGGGGGTGATATGGGGTAGTTTTAATGCCCTTTACTCCTAGGAGCTGGTACACTTGCCTCAACAACTTGGACAGGAAGTTGGTTCCACAATCTGTGAGGATTTCTTTGGCTATTCCTACCCTGGAGAACAACTGCAGCAAACAATTAGCCACATGCCTAGCTTTTACTGATCTAAGGAGAAAAGCCTCTGGGTAACGTGTGGCATAATCACACATTACCAGAATGTACCGGTTTCCAGAAGCACTCTTCTCTAAGGGCCCCACTACATCCATGCCTATTCTCTCAAATGGTGTTTCAATGAGTGGTAATGGCTGTAACAGAGCTTTCGTCACCCCCTTTCCTGCTGTAACCTGACAGATTGAACACGAGTTGCAAAATTTGGAAAGCTGGGTGTACATACCCGGCCATACAAAGCGGTTACTTACACGGCGTAATGTCTTGTGAAATGCCATGTGCCCTGCCCAAGGAATGGAATGGCCTAGCTCCATGATGGTGTGCCTGAGTGACTGTGGAGCTGCTAATGCCTGAGTACTACCCTGACACTGGTAAAGGATACCCTTCTCAATCATATAGGTAACCTCCTCCAGACAGCCTGCACTTCCCTGACTGACCCCATCAACCTTGGAAACCTTCTGAAACCACCGCTGTAGAGTAGGATCCTTTCTCTGTAATTCACCTACATTAAGTGGAATATCCACATCTAAGGGCGGGCTGGGTTGGGGAATCTCATCCTTTTCTCTCGGGGCACCCAAAAACGTGTCCCTTCGCTTTTGGACTCTGGATCTTCGCAGCTTCTCTACACCCACCTCCAGCTCTGCTTCATAAAATGGTAACTCACTGAGGGTGTTTCTCGCACTTTGAGCCCTGGTGACTACATGACATTCTTTAACCTCTGTCCCTGAATTCTCTCCTGACTTCACCTGAAGGGGTTCTGGCTCTCCCGGGATTTCCAGCACCTCATCACAAACAGTAGGCAAGGGACTCTGCTTCTGGGGGTCCTGCACTAAATCCAAAAGTGTAGGCACATCTAGTCCTAAAATGACGGGGTATGGGAGTTGGGGCACTAAAGCCACTGAGAGGAGAAAGGTCTGACCACCCACTGTTAAATACACCTCTGCAGTAGGGTAAGGCCTAACATCCCCGTGTACACATCCAATATCAGCTTTCTCATCAGCCCACTGCTCTCTGGGTACCAAGCTAGCCCTTACCACTGTCTGAAAACTGCCCGAGTCAACAAGAGCTTCTTCCCGCTGACCATTTATCAGTACTGGAACCTTCCTACCACTTTCCTGAGTGCCTGGTTCCTGCATCGTGGGTCTAGGGACAGAGCAGAGGAGAGATAGCTTGCTTCTTCCTGCAGCTGGACAAGTGTACTGAGTATGGCCTAACTCATTACAGTGGTAACACCTGACATCTGACTTAGCTGGCTTATTAGCATGGACAGGTCTACTCTGAGCATTCTGTTTATTACCGGGGAACCTGCCTTGAGTCTGACCATGACCCCTGTCCCCCCCAAAGGATTTATTTCTCACCCCTGGGCTATTGCTATGGTTGGTTGCTAGGCGCGGGTGACCCCTCCTGGCCGACTGAAACACCTCTGCCAGGCGAGCAGCTTCTTCAGCAGTTTTTGGGTCATGTTCTCGGATCCAAACTTCCATCTCTGGATTCACCATTCTCAGAAACTGTTCCATGATCAACAGCTCAGAAATGTCTTTGACGGTGGTGGTTTCAGGCTTGACCCATTTGTTGAACATTTCTTTCAGGCGAACATACAGCTCCCGTGGGGTCTCTCCCTGATGAACGTCCAGGGCCCGAAATCTTCTCCTGTAAGTCTCAGCATTTATTTCATATTTTGCCAGGATTGCCTCTTTCACTCTCTCATAATCATCTGAAGAATCGATGTCCATAAGCACATAAGCACTGCGTGCCTTACCAGTCAGCAGGGGAATGAGCCTAACTGCCCACTCGTCCTGAGGCCAATGGCAGACATGGGCCATTCTTTCAAAAGTGGCCAGAAAGTGCTCAACATCATCTTCAGGGGACAATGGCAGGAGCTTGGGCTCTGGATGAGTGTGCAGGCCTCGCTGCAGCCTTACTATGCGATGTCCGGATCGGTCCATCTCCCCCTGATCCTCTTCATAGCGGACTCCACTTGCACGCTGCTCCTCACCTCCCGCTTGCTCCTGTTGCTGCTCTTCTCTCATCTCAGTTACCTGGGCCTGGATCTGCCGAAACTGGTGCTCCATATTCCGCCATCTCAACTCTTGGCGGGAATGTTCTTTTTCCTGCTGCTTATCTCTCACGGCTTGTGTCTGCATGAAAGACTTCATCATACTCGTCAGCTCTTCCAGCTGATTACCTCCACTGCTTGCCATGGCCCCTTCATCTGCAGCTGATGGTGCTGGACCCTCCTCGGGTTCTTCCCGTCGCTCATCTCTCTTTCCTCCTCTAGTCATCTTTGCCTCCTTAATCAGGTCAACATCCCACTTCTGACACCACTTGTAAGAATTGACCCTGAGAGCGGCTGTGACCATATAAGGAGGCAGAGGCAGGAGATGAGTTAAACCCACACAGTGGGTATTTATTTGCAGTGTATAAACCAAAAACCAATAAAACACACCATGCTCAGTCCATTGTGCACACGAGAGACTCCCAGCTCAGAGGAAAGCGCTCCCCTATATACCCTCCCCGATTGGGTGCTACCACGTGTAGGGGTGTGGAAAAACTGTAACCAGTTTAATATAACTATTTAAAAAGCACCTACTTAAAATATACAAACCTATGCTCCAGACTAAATCATAGAACCTAATTTCGAGTGTACATTAATCACATACTGTGATCAACCCCCAATTAAATGTTACACGTGGCACTGTTCACCCCCCATACCCATCTGCCAGTTGGAACCCTCCCGGAACGCTAAAAGGCCGTTTGTTTCCCCGGGGACTCTTTTACATGTGCACCCTGGGAGTGGAGACAGAAAGGCACAGGTAAGTGTTCACAATATTCACGTCAAACTGATTTTAAACTGCACTACTTCCACCTTTTACTCAAGCACACAAATATGCTGAAACCCTCATCCACATCGTGTGCACTGTGTTACAGGTGGTGCGGCTAAATTAACCCCCGGCTACCGGACGAGCTACCGGACGTCCCCGGAGAACACCTATACAAATACACACATACACACACACACACACACCATTAACCAAATCAGAATTAAAGTATTTTGACTGAAATACCTCTGTGGCTCATCATTTGCTAATCATGTGTAGCTTTTAATTTAACAACCCTCAATGTTGTGTCTACCTGCACTATATATATATATATCAACACTGCTTAGCTGCCCCAATCCTCAGCTACTCACTGCAGTAGTAACGGAGACAACAGAGGCCTCCGTTACAGAACAATATGACTGGAATGAGCGTTTAATCAAATAAATGTGAACAGAAACATTTTTAGGGCAGAAAAACATCATCACGAGACTTTTGGATTTCTGTCCTGCAGTTATGGAAGAATATGAGGTAACACCGGGAAATAAACCTCTGTTCATCCCATGGTGGAGAAATTTATATTAATTTATATAATAAGGCAATGTTATGGATTTAAGACAGCTATTTTTGTCAGAATTGATATTGAATGGTAGCAGAGTACAGGAACAATAGAAACCTTGTCATATTGAAAAGTGTTTGCAGTTATTTGGGACAGGTAAAAATGTGTGATCTTTCAAAACACAAACTCATTTTTTAGCGAAGAGAGGGTCATACTTTTTGCTCTTTTGAAAAGGACTGAATCCAATTTGAACTCCTTAGCTGGCAGGCTGACACTACTCTGGCCTTCCAAGGGAGGGCAGCATCTCCCCTTCAGCTGTTTCATCACAGCTGTAGTTATTCACATTTCCACCATTTGACTTTCAGTTTCGCTCAACACAACGTTTTCAGCAAAAATAAAAAATAAAAAAAGAGGGCATATATTCTTACTCTACACTCATAGATAGTATATATATATATAGGCCTACAGTCTATGTCAGTGGTTCTCAACTGGTCTCACTCTGGGACCCACACTTTTTTATGGTCCTTATGTGGCAACCCACTTTTATAAAATTCAAACCAGGCAAATTTATTTTTTATAAAAAACGAACCTTTACAGACTCAAATCTTTGACATAAATACTCCTATTTTGTTGAATAAAGTGCATTTCAGAGCACATGAACTGAGGGCGACAACTACTTAAGTTTCGTATACAGAAAATATCAAATATCAAATTGCACACAATGGAGACAAGCAAAATGAAATATTTGACTTATTTGCATCTCTGCGTTCAGAGCATATTCAGAAGAACACGAGGAGGACCGAGCAACAGCATTGACAAAAGTGAATAAATATCAAATTGCACAAAATAAAGACCATGAAAAACATGTAATTTTACTGCATTCAGGCCACATTAATAAGAAACCGAGGAGGACCATGACATGATGCGTGCCTTTCAAAATAAGCTATTTTTCAAAATAAAAAAACATGTCAAACATCAGATGCGTATTAAATATTTACTTTTTTGATCAGCTGTTCACGACCCATCCAGAACGTGTCTGGGACCCACTTTTGGGTCGGGACCCACCAGTTGAGAACCACTGTTCTATGGTTACGCCACACAATCTCATTCAGTTTACAGTACATGCTGAAGTCCCGCCCATACCGGAACAGGATTGGTCCCCTCTGCTGTTGGCGCTTCCCATCAGCTTCTATGATTGGATATATTCATTTTGGACGGCGGCTGTTACGTCATTATTTCCAACCGTGTAAGGTGTTAAATTTCAAATCTACTCATTGTGGCTGGAGCATGGTGCTGGTGCAGGTAATGCTCTGTCATTTCACTGAAAAATGCGAGATTGTTCTCCTAAATAAACACGAACCAACCAAAGAAAAGGAAAGAACCACCACACGAAGCATTTGCGACTTAATCATCAGGCAGGTTGAATTTTACACCCCTCTCACCCCCTAAATAAGAGACCATATTCATCTGCTGTTTCGTCTCCTTTAATCGCTTTTCATCAGGATGTCGGTACTCTCGTTAGTGCTACTGCTGCTATACCCACATACAGCAACTGTCTCAAATGGTTTGTTTTGATTTTCCTTTCTGTTCAGAACTTCGCCTATTTATTTGTATAACTTTTATTTTTTGCTGTGTTTTGTTTGCACCTGATAGGAATGCCTCCCATTTCATTGTACATTTACAATAACAATATCAAGATATTCTACCCTAGTGTATTCTATTTGACCTGGCACTAGACCTCTTATTTTGTCGACTTTCAGTTTCCGTTCCCCACTCCATTACCCACGCAGAAAGTGTTTCCTCTGCCCGACCTTTCTCCTACAGGTGGCGATCACTTCAAGCTGATCATCCAGACTTTTTAAATTAATATTTCTTTTCCCCCTTTCTTTCTTGCTACTGAAAACTCCAATAAATCTGACAATTACTCTGAGGAGAGGATCTGGGTTTCAGGGTGGAGAATACACCGGTTGCAGGACAGTGCGCGAGACGGTGAAGCATGGGCTGGAAATGTCAAATTTATTGCGGTTTACAAAAGCTCTACAACATCCGGTTTAGCTGTCAATATAAACCTGGGATAATAAAGGTTTGGGGGGAAACGCAAATATCATTTCCAGAGTAACATGTGGTCATAGGTTTACACAGGTTCAAGTATATATCTTGAACTTTTTTAAAGATAAGTCTATCTATCTATCTATCTATCTATCTATCTATCTATCTATCTATCTATCTATCTATCTATCTCTTAAACTTTTCTAAAGATCCATATTCATGTCCTGTGCACAGCATTATCAGTCCTTGTAGCTTGCAGGTGATGGTAGGAGCCACAGAGGGGACTGAATACCTCCTTTTTTCAACCCTGGTTCCATCCTTTAAGCCTTTTAACAACAACAATAATAGTAATAATAATAATAATAATAATAATAAACTTTATTTGTATGGCACTTTTCTTGAACAGTTGTCACAAAGTGCTTTATAGTCATCAAAATAAAAAGGGTCAGACAACAAGACATAAACCTTAACAAAAAGTACACTTGCAGCCAAAGTCCCGGGGCCTATTCTACGAAGCAGGATTACTGCTTAGCAAGGTAACTTCGAGGGTAAGTTCGGGGTTTCCTGTTCTACGACACGGGTTCACTTCTTAGCGAGGTGAGTCTCCATGGCAACGTACGCTGAACGGCTAACCTGCTCTGGGGCAGGTTAGGTTCCAGATTGAACTCACCGAGTATAAAAACCCCACCCACTGACCAATGAGCTCTCTCAAAAAATGGCTTGTCTGTTCTTGGAGGATCCTATAGACCTTGGTGCTGGCATTGTTCGAGGAGCACTCCGGCGTGCGAGAGTTTTCAGGGACTGCATGGACCCACTTACTTTTCTGGATGACCACCTTTATGAAAGGCTCAAAAAATGTAAACATGATAGGAATGAACAAATGAATGAATTCATCTTGGAAATAAATTAGACATGTCTGGTGCATGTTAAAAGCGCATGTTGAACAGTGCTATTTCAGGGTTATAATGGCATCAAAGATTTTTTGCGCATTATATTTACGCATTGAGACTGTCTGCAATTTTCTGCGGTCTTTCGCTCTCTAGCCGGCTCTGACGCTCCAGACTGGTCCATGTTCGCGATCGGTCCGATGCGACGGGCTCTGCCTTACCTGCGTGCACGCGCTCATAGCAAAGCTGGATCCACTTACGAGGTTGATAACCAGTGTCGTAAGACCGTTTAGCGAGACCGCTGGCTACCGCGTTAAGTTCAGCGAGGTAGCTCCAAGGCTACCTCGCTAGGTCAAACTTGCTTCGTAGAACAGGCCCCTGGTCATACCAAAGCGATTGTAAACAAATGGGTTTTCAACAGCTTTTTGAAAATATACACAGTGTCCACAAGTTCCCTTTTAGAGCTAAAACTAATCTACAAAAGCTTTTTATAGGCCCTAAAGAGGAATAATGTACTACCTTCCCAAAAATTTACTTTGGAATATGATGCAGAGAAAATATACTTCTTGGATTGACCTACTTCCCATTCCTTCCTCTCTTGATGTTGTAAGTGGACTGGTTGTTATTCTTATACATAATATACTCTTACCGTGAGGCTTTGTGTATCATTACTGAACAAATGCACATTGTATCCTCCTTATTGAATGATTATTGATTTAATCTAAGTTTTTTTTTTTTTTTCCTTTGCTTACAAGTGATTTAACGAGAAGGCCAAAGCTGTCTCTCTTCCTCCTCAGCAACCACCTTCCTCTTCATTAAAGGGTCTATAGGTCTCTTTGGTGGTATTTTTGTAAAGATGCTGTTATTTCAAACTAGCATGCTTTGTATCCAATGTTTTATTCTGTGTTGTTCTAGATGAAATGAGGATTTGCAGTAAATGGACACGAAGAGAGCTCCACAGGCTACTGTCTGCTGCTGACTGGATTTAAAAGCATCTGTGCAGTGGATCGTGTAGCATCCTGATGAAGTTATTCAGCTCTTCTGTTGAATCACCTCCTTTTCTGTCGTGAATTCACATGAAATGTCTTCCATATGGATTTCATTTTCAGTACAGGACTTTCTTGCACAGACCAGCCCACTTTAGTCCACAACCTTTTAGAATGTTATGGTATATAAATCTGAAACAGAGCACTATATTTCCACAATTTTGTTTTGTTTTAGTGTAATTTATCAAAAATCACATTCACACGACAATTACGGGTACAAGTTTACAGCTATCATTTTACAAATGTAAGAACATCACACATTTGTCTTACTAAAAAAATGTGAAAACCCATGACAAGTCATTATTGGGAAAATGTAAATGAAGACTTAGAGATCCTTGGTCATACACATAGACTGTATATATTATGGACAACTTGGTTCCGCCTCCCGCCAGTATACGGATTTGAAGCCAAAAAGCTCTCGGTAATTCCACATTTTTTTCTCCACTTCCTGAAACCAACATTGCACAGTAGTGTTGTACGCACTCCACCACTTGCGCAGTAGTGTTGTACGCATTCGGCGGGAGAGTCACCGAGAGTGGCTGTGATGACGCTCGGCTCAAACAGCGTATCCCCACAGGTGTATCTTCGTACACCCATAGGCTGTATCAAGTGACAATCATAGAAAACATGAACCCCCTAAAAACGTCTAAAAATGGAGCTGCACAGAAAAAGTACAGTAACTACATCACAACCAGGGGGGAGAAATATTTGTGTTCTGTGGAATAAATTTCTAAAGTTTGTCCACAGCTTCATATGGATTGCTGGAGGAGGCGGGATTTATGACCTATACTGCAGCCCGTTACTAGCGGGTGCTGTTTTCGGAACGGCTTCACCCAGCGAGGAGGCAGATGCTGTCCATTCTTTATACAGTCTATGGTCATACATTATGTCATTCAAACTCTCTTGTTTTGTTTTATTTATTCAAGTATCACGAGGTCAGACCATTTTTACTGTACAGTGCTGTATCATTAAATTATCTGACATATTTCATACAGCTTACTGTAGCTTCTCTTTCTCACATCCAGACTAACCCCTCTGGACTTCTGTGCTGAGTTGTGGCGCTCTCTCACACTGTAAAAGTCAACAGCTTTTATTTTGAAGAGCCTCTTTCCGGTTCTTGTGTCGCTGGCTCCGCCTTTGGTTGGCTTTATAAAGCAGCGATGTCTCATGGCAGATCAGCGGCCAGCCCTGAAAGTCGGAGCGGCGAGAAAAGTACGCGGTGCTCTTTGTTACTGTAAAACTGGTTCCACCTCCGCGACGTCGTTAACATGAGAAAGAAACTTCTTCACTGACCGCCGGGAAGTGAAATTTTGGCGAAGGGTCAGTTGTGCCGTTCCCTTCCTGGAACTTCAGCCAGTCCAGCAGCCGTTCAGCTCCGACCACACCCTCCCTGCTTCCTCATACTGCAGCGGGAGCGCGCAGCACGACTTTGAATCCCCGGGAATAACGGCCCTTTCCTCGGCTACCTTTGGGATTTCATGTTCGGGGAACTAGACGAAACATGTGAGTTGACTGTCCAAAGACTTTTGAGCGGTTATGGCGCTGAAAAGCAAGTGTCAGCAGGGGCTATGCGGGGCTTCACATTCTCTGGTCCCGTGTCAAGACGCCTAGAGGAAGAGGAGGAGGAGGAGGAGGGCGGACAGAAGGACGATGCATATGGAGTCCAAGCGACTGCAGCATTCGCTAGCTTCCAACCCGGGGCTGTGTTTGAAAAAGAAGAGGTTAAAAGTGGATGGAGGAGTTTGTGCTGTTGGAAAGTCGGGCTCCCGGTCTTTAACTCTGGGGGACTCATGAAACGATGGTGCTGAAGGGAAACACGGGTGGTGCCCCGTTTGTACCCAGCATGAGAATACCAGGCCGGTCAAAGTCATTGGAAGCAAGTCGGACAAGACGTCGGTGCTTTTTCAGGCTGCTTACCCTGTCAAGAGTGGACCTAAAATGACATCCTATTTATTAATGTAAAGAAAAAAAAGAGCGAAGAATCGATCAAGCTAATGTTGAGGGATGTTTTTCTCTGCTAAAAAAAGACCCAAAGAAAAGACATCTAGTGTTAAATAGCAGGAAAGGATCAGCAGATGTCATAAATCAGGAATGTGATCTCCTTTATGAAAAGAAATGCAGCTTTTGACTTTGAACAGCTCTCAGTCTGCACTTTGCCTGTTTGGAGGCACCCTGGCACTGCATTTGGTGTGATTTCTTCTTAAAGTTCACAGCCTGTGAAGTTTTTTTCTGTTTGACCAAAACTGGGACTGGGATTAGATTAACCACATCTGTATTTTGCTGGCATTTATGTTCATCTAAAGAGATAAGAGCATTTTATACTGATAATTTTAACCCTTGTGCTGCCCTTCAGGGTCAAAAAGACCCAGTCAGTATACCCTCGCCCTATTGGGGTGAATTTAGCCTCCAGTCAGCGTGGACTAAGATAACCCATGACTCCTGATTGTTTTACCCCGCCTGGGTCGAATAGACCCCAGTCAAGTATGGATTTGAGAATCGTAAACTCGCGCCCCTGCCCTCGGCAGGGTCAAATATACCCCACCGTGGTGTACATAGCCTTTTTTTTTTTTTTTTCATTTATTTATTTATTTATTTATTTTTACTCATTTGAACTCATGACTCCTGACGTTCCAGCGCGCATCTCAAACAGCATAAACCCCTGGACCCGATTCTCGCTCATCCAGTCAAGTATCCTGTGGTGGTGGCGGCGTTGAGGACCCCCTGTATTTTACAGCGTGAGGACTGTAAAAAAAAAAAACATAAAGCTCTAGGTTTTACTTTCAAGGCTACACTACATATAGAGACTAAGAAAACTTGGAAACTTGGAGGACTGGAAAAAAAATAAATAAATAAAATAATTTTTAGGAAAGGATGTCGGTATCAACAAAAGTTCCATCTCAAGAGTTGAGTAGAATAGAGTGAAAACTGTATTCATCACGGCAGGGAAACTTAGAGAGTGTCAGAGAGCTTGCAAATACAGATAACAACAGCCGCACTACCTAATTCATATAAATGAGCACAACCTATCACAAAATAAAGGCAGTACAGTGAAAAGGCAAGGGGAATTTGTTTTTACACACGCTTTTGTCTCAGAGAGTTTCACATAGCATTATAATGCCAACATCATCTGCCCTTAGACCCTCACGTCAACTGAGGAAAAATGGAGAAATAAGACAAAAAAAAATTGGAGAAACCTCAGGGTGAGCAACACAGGAGAGATCCCCTCACCCAGGACGGGGCAGACCTGCAACAGAGGTTCTATACAGACAAAAACAAACAAACAAAAAAAAACGGGTTTACTACACATAATGTGCCGAACACGACATTCCATTGTTGCCTAACAGGAAAACAGAAAAGTTTTCTCAAAAGTGTTGAACACCGACAAAAAGGACCGTAGAGGAGAGACTACAGTACAGTAAGTATTCTATATGTATCTATCTATCTATCTATCTATCTATCTATGTAAAGACATGAATATATTTGCATTTTTCGTGACTCGTGCGCCCTGAGAGTGGCAGCAAGTCACAGCAGCTCCTCACAGAGTTCGCGTTTTTGCCTTCTTATTGTTGTTTTTTTGCACCTCATTTATACCCTTATTGTTATAACTGCATGTTTGCACTTTTTGTCTTGTCTGTGATGCTGCTGTGACAAAAAAAATTTCCCCATGGGGGGATCAATAAAGGAATATTCTATTCTATTCTATTTGTGTTTGTTCATCTTCTCACTCTGTGTGCTTTTAAAGCAAGGGAATGGCTGTGATAGCTCCAACAAAACAATGTGAACGCGTAGTAGTGTAGGGTATTGTGAATTCCTAGAACGACAAAATCTGTTCGGATTTTGGACAAAACCTGTTCGGATTTTAGATCAACTCAGAAATCCAGTCAAACAATAAAGTTTCTCTCTCTCTCTCTCTCTCTCTCTCTCTCTCTCTCCCTCCCCCCTCTCTCAACATGCGGTAACTGGCTCTCTCTTTCCCTTCACAGTCGCGCTGCATTTCACAGGGCCGCTTCATTCCGTTATTGCCTAGGAGGACAGAAAACAGAAAAGTTTTTCTCAAAAGTGTTGCAGACCGACAACCGGGACCGTAGAGGACAGACCAGAGAACAGTAAGTGTTCTATATCTATCTGTCCCCCGCTCCAGGATTCGACCTCTGACGCGCCGCACGTCGACGGAGAGGAGCAGGAAAGTGCGCTCTACCCCCCCCCTTCCCCGGGGGGGTCCGGCCCAGCGCCCTCTGCACGACCGGCCATCCCGCGGGGGACGGTCACGTCGTCTCTCAGCCTACGCGTCCGTTCTTCTCGTCAGCTGAGCCGGCGACGGCATGGGGACGGAAAGGACGGACCCGTGGTTCTGAGACGACGCGTCCCCCGCTCCAGGATTCGGCCTCTGACGCGCCGCACGTCGACGGAGAGGAGCAGGAAAGTGCGCCTCCGCGGCTACGGTCCAAGACCGTCCCGAGGAGGGGAAAGCGCCGAAGGCGAGTTTGGAAAAAGGGAAAAACGCGGGACGGAGGATTCGTCTGCGAGTCGACGTGCTGAGAAACCCCCGACGCTCTCCTGTTCCCGTTCCGGCCGGCTACCGCCGCGAAGACGTTTTCGACGAGGGAGAAAAGGGCGCGCGACTGCGGCCGAACGTGTGGCGCGCGGATGGAGACGGATGGAGGACGCCTGGGCTTTAGAGGTAAGATGTGTGTGACCTGTGCGCGTGTGTTTTCTACACTGCCTGTGTATTCTACACTGCCTGTGTATTCTTTTTTTGTTTGTTTGTTTGTCCCCGCTCCTCGTGTTCGGCCTCTGACCCGCCGCGAGTCGACGGAGAGGAGCAGGAAAGTGCGCTCTCCCCCTTCCCCGGGGGCGTCCGGCCTCCGAGGGCGGCCTCCGCGGCTACGGTCCAAGACCGTCCCGAGGAGGGGAAAACGCCGAAGGTGAGTTTGAAAAACGGAAAAACGCGGGACGGAGGATTCGTCTGCGAATCGACAAGTGCTTTACAAATACATTTTTTTTTTAAAAGCACGCCTGTCCAAGGCTCGGTGAGGTTTAGGGAAGAGGACAACGCCTGGGCTCCAGAGGCACGAGTCGGCATCCCACATGAAGTCAAAAAAGTCTCTATCACTCTGTCAGTTGTAAAACACCAAAGTGCAGTTGTATAGTCGCGGAACAGTGCAGCGTGTGTACGCGCCCAAGAAAAACAGTGCAGCGTGTGTCTGAATAGATCAAGTTTATAGCAAGTTTAGTCACATCTCCGTAAAACCGTACTACACCTGCATAAAACCTGTACTACTACCGATCCTCCGAGTCGTTCGTAGCGCCGCGTCTAGATCTAGAACTCGCGGTGAGGGCGAGGGCGAGGACGCCGCCGGAGCGGCGTCGGGAGCGGACGGCCCGACCGGGGCGAGGAAGAGGAAGAGGTGTCAGTTTTGCCCGCGGGCGAAGGACAACAAAACTTCTACCGTGTGCAGCGGGTGTAAGAAATATATCTGCAAAAGTTGTTCGCTCCCGTACTGCGCTGAGTGTGCCGCTGAGAATTTGGAGACGGGTTGATCGCCGACACACGCACACACACACACGCACACACACACACGCACGCACGCACGCACACACCATGTGTGACCCCTCGAGACGTGGGATGCGGTCGGTTGAACTGTCCGCAACCGGGGTGACTAGTTTTAGAGGCAGAGAGGCAGCCTGGCAGGACCGCATCAGAAGAGGAAATACTTACGACTTTCCAAAGATGAAAATGTCACGGGAACTGCCGAAAAGACACGAGAGCATGATGAACAGCGAGGACCCGGACATTGAGGTTGTTGGTGGCGACGTGGGTAAAAAGCTACACTTTAACCCCGTTAGAGCGGCAGTGGCATTACAGCTTTGCAGAAAGCTCAAGGTAGACTGTAGAAAGAGGTATAGCAAATTCACGGATGTCTGTGAATTAGGAGCTCCTTGTAAGAACGTGAAGATTAAAAGCGACGGGAATTGCTTCTTTAGGGCAGTCAGTGTAGCCGTGAGCGGTACCGAACGCCATCACGGAAGAATAAGAGAAGCCGTGGTGAATCACTTGCAAAGCAATGAAGCTGCGTACGCCAACATTCTGAGAAGGGGTTACCTTTCGGTGTCGGACTACGTCGACGCATCTGAAATCGGCTCTCTAGGAAGTTGGGCGACAGAGGTTGAGATTCAAGCGACGGCGGATTATTTGGGCGTCGACGTATTCACGTATTACACCGACCGTTGGCTTCGGTACAGTTGCGACAGCGTTCGGGTCTCTAAACAGGGGATTTATTTAGCGAATAGCGGCAGCCATTACGAGACCGTCGTTTGTGTCACAAGTCCTCCGAAGCGGTCTTGTCGCGGCTACTGCAAACTAGGCGTAGTTGCGTCAGACACGTATGATTGTCTGACCTCAAATTCTGCCTACGCCGATTCTGCATCTCGATCCGAGATTGCTTCGCCGTCGCCGACATCGATTCGTCCGGATAACACGGTGTCTGTGAATGACGTCGACTACTGCGAAAAGGCGAGCGATGAGCGCGAGGAGGGGTCCCGCCGCTCTGACGAGCGTCGAGCTGCGAGGGATTTTTACCGAGATGCCGACAGTCCTCGGAGCCGCTACGAGTATGACGATTACCGCAGTGACGCCGCCGAGCTAGACGTCGGAGGACGCTTCGGCGAAGATGAGGCCTGGGAGAATAATCCTGACGAAGAGCGTGACCGCTATGGATGGCTATCAAGGAGACGTGTAGAAAATTATATTATCGTTGAAAATATGGAGCATCGTCCCTACGGCGATAGCCTTGTAACTCCGGGCGACGCGGAGGATACCGCCGAAGCTGATTTACCGCGTAACAGCGTTGCGGATTGGCGTGAACTTTTCGACCGCTCTGATGAGCGTCGAACTCCGAGGGACTGGGAGGGCACGAGTGACCGCGATGCCGACTTTTACCGAGATTCTAACAGTCCTTGGAGTCACCGTGAGTATGACGATTACCGCAGTGACGCTGCGGAGCTAGAAGTCGAAGGGCGCTTCGGTGAAGATGAGGCCTGGAGGAATACTCCCGACGTAGAGGGCACGAGTGACCGCGATGCCGACTTTTACCGAGATTCTAACGGTCCTCGGAGCCGCCGTGAGTATGACGATTACCGCAGTGACGCTGCGGAGCTAGAAGTCGAAGGGCGCTTCGGTGAAGATGAGCCCTGGAGGAACACTCCCGACGTAGAGGGCACGAGTGACCGCGATGCCGACTTTTACCGAGATTCTGACGGTCCTCGGAGCCGCCGTCAGTACGACGATTACCGCAGTGACGCTGCGGAGCTGGAAGTCGAAGGACGCTTCGGTGAAGATGAGGCCTGGAGGAACACTCCCGACGTAGAGGGCACGAGTGACCGCGATGCCGACTTTTACCGAGATTCTGACGGTCCTCGGAGCCGCCGTCAGTACAACGATTACCGCAGTGACGCTGCGGAGCTAGAAGTCGAAGGACGCTTCGGTGAAGATGAGGCCTGGAGGAACGCTCCCGACGAAGAGTACGATCGTCGCGGCCTGCTATCGGAAAGACACGTAGAAGGTGACGTTGTTGAAGACGAGGAGTGTTATCCCTACGGCGATAGCCTCGGAACTCCAGGTGACGCGGAAGATACCGGTGAAGCTGATTTGCCACGTGACGGCTTTATGGATCGGTCCGAACTTTTAAACGATGAGATCTGTATCGCGCTGTGGGATTGCGAGGAAGAAGTTCGAGAGGAGTTTGGCTCGAATGACCGCTACGCAGCTACCTGCCGCTGGACCGAATTGGAGGAATCGTGGAAATCGTTTGTCGGTTGGCTGGGTGAGCGCTGGTGGGGCTCGGTGTCGGAAGAGTCCGTCAGGACCTTCATGGATTCATCCGAGAGACGTCGCGTCGGGGATATCGTCGTCTCGGCGTGCTTCGGTGACACGCCCGGGGGAGTTTGTTCTTTCACAGTGAAGACCGAAAGCGGCCTGCTGTCACTTCCTTTGCTTATCCGTCGAAGACGCTACGTGTGCGCCGACTTGGCGGAAGGTGATTTTTCGTGTCCGATCGACATGTTGAGAAAGCTGGCCCGTGAAACCTACACACACTTGCTCCCCCGACCCACAACGATACCTTCCGATCCCCAGAGCTTTTCTCTTACACGGGTAGTGGATGATATGTGGAGCGTTTTAGAATTGGTGAAAAGCGGATGGAGTGACGTTTCCCGACCCCATCGCATAATACAGTATCTACAAAACAAGGAAGGACCCTCTGTTACGCCAGCGGCGTTAATTTGCTGCGTAGATGATGACAGTCCGGGATACCTGTTTGAGATTATAGACGCCAAGGGGAAGAGTCTGAAAGTAACATTTGATAAATGGGGCTTCACGTTTGGATCGGGTCTACATTTCTCCGGACTCACAAGTCTGCTGTCACATATCTGTGAGGTCGATGGAGTACACTTTGTGATTAACTGTAGATTCTTGCTCACTGCGAGCGAACCGGAGCGTCCGATGTAAGACGTGTGTGTGTGTGTGTGTGTGTGTGGGGGGGGGGGGGGGTGTAAAGAGTTTGCGAACTTGTTTTTTTTTCCTTCAAGTGTTTGTATGAGCATGCTTCTATAGAAAGATTTAGGAAGAACTGCCGCTGAAATGTGCCTAAAAATGCATAATTATTATTATTATTATTATTATTATTATTATTATTATTATCATTATTATTAAAATGTGAATTCGTGCTGTAGCTTATGCTTGCTTACATATTCTCGCTTGCTCAATAAAGATGCGAAAGCTGGCAATTTTGCTTCAGATGATGACTTTATTTGCGCGCATCACACCATAGATTACAACACAACATTGTTTTATGGCTAAAAGTCATAATAGTAGCTATACCAATCCTCAAAGGACATCTCGTCATTCATCATTAAAATTCAACTTTGTCCTTCTGATCAAAACATCATTGCTCAACAGTGTGGTATCGGCTAGAGATATCAGGTCATCTCTCGCCTCCCCTCCGTCTGCTCATTATTATTATTATTATTATTATTATTATTATTATTATTAATAATAATTTGTTAATTTTATTATTATTATTATTATTATTATTATCATTATTATCATTATTATTATTACTATATGTGTGTGAGTATACACTCACCGGCCACTTTATTAGGTACACCTGTCCAACTGCTCGTTAACACTTAATTTCTAATCAGCCAATCACATGGCGGCAACTTAGTGCATTTAGGCATGTAGACATGGTCAAGACAATCTCCTGCAGTTCAAACCGAGCATCAGTATGGGGAAGAAAGGTGATTTGAGTGACTTTGAACGTGGCATGGTTGTTGGTGCCAGAAGGGCTGGTCTGAGTATTTCAGAAACTGCTGATCTACTGGGATTTTCACGCACAACCATCTCTAGGGTTTACAGAGAATGGTCCGAAAAAGAAAAAATATCCAGTGAGCGGCAGTTCTGTGGGCGGAAATGCCTTGTTGATGCCAGAGGTCAGAGGAGAATGGCCAGACTGGTTCGAGCTGATAGAAAGGCAACAGTGACTCAAATAACCACCCGTTACAACCAAGGTAGGCAGAAGAGCATCTCTGAACGCACAGTACGTCGAACTTTGAGGCAGATGGGCTACAGCAGCAGAAGACCACGCCGGGTGCCACTCCTTTCAGCTAAGAACAGGAAACTGAGGCTACAATTTGCACAAGCTCATCGAAATTGGACAATAGAAGATTGGAAAAACGTTGCCTGGTCTGATGAGTCTCGATTTCTGCTGCGACATTCGGATGGTAGGGTCAGAATTTGGCGTCAACAACATGAAAGCATGGATCCATCCTGCCTTGTATCAACGGTTCAGGCTGGTGGTGGTGGTGTCATGGTGTGGGGAAAATTTTTTTGCCACTCTTTGGGCCCCTTGGTACCAATTGAGCATCGTTGCAACGCCACAGCCTACCTGAGTATTGTTGCTGACCATTTCCATCCCTTTATGACCACAATGTACCCAACTTCTGATGGCTACTTTCAGCAGGATAATGCGCCATGTCATAAAGCTGGAATCATCTCAGACTGGTTTCTTGAACATGACAAAGAGTTCACTGTACTCAAATGGCCTCCACAGTCACCAGATCTCAATCCAATAGAGCATCTTTGGGATGTGGTGGAACGGGAGATTCGCATCATGGATGTGCAGCCGACAAATCTGCGGCAACTGTGTGATGCCATCATGTCAATATGGACCAAGCTCTCTGAGGAATGCTTCCAGCACCTTGTTGAATCTATGCCACGAAGAATTGAGGCAGTTCTGAAGGCAAAAGGGGGTCCAACCCGTTACTAGCATGGTGTACCTAATAAAGTGGCCGGTGAGTGTATATTTCCACATTGGTGTGACCCCTAAGACGTGGGATGCAGGTTTTTTTTTTTTTACTGTGTGAGGACTACAGGACTCAAAGACCCCAGTCATCACTGGGTCAAAAAGACCCCAGTCAGTACCCCAGTCAGTGTGACCCCTGAGACGTGGGATGCAGGTTTATTTTTTTATTTATTTTTATTTTTATTTTTTTTTTACTGTGTGAGGACTACAGGACCTTTCACTGGGTCAAAAAGACCCCAGTCAGTGCGGACTGGGACAGTGTGACCCTTGAGACATGGGATGTAGGTCTTAACTTGAGGACAACAGGAGGGTTAATGATCTATCTGAAATATGTTACACAGCAGCAACCAAACCAATCAAATATGGCCTTTATCTGTAAATGACCTGCTGTGAGTTTTCAGGTAAACCAAGTCAGGTGAGGGGTGCTGAGGTGCTCTTACCCTCTGGAAGTCTGTTAGAGGTCTGATGTAAGTCTGATGCAGGTCTTCTGGAGGCTCTCTAAGGATTCTGCTCAGGTAGCTGCAGGTGAATCTGCTGTTGTCTCTGCTGTCTTTTTATCTGCATCCTCGCTGCTGCTGCTCACACCCACAGAGGCATGACAGAGGAGGGGCGAGGAGGTAAATTTCCAAAAACAAGGGGAAAAAAAGCAAAAAAAAAAAAAAGACTTTACCAGGCCTTAACCAGCCCGCACGCTTCCCCTCCCTGTACCTTTTTCAGGATCTGTTCTACCTTTGCAAAGAAACATACACACGCACACACGCACGCACACGTGTCCAACTGTTAATACGGTTTCAGTGTCTTAGCAAATTTCTTTGAATAATAATAACTGTCGTGCACACAAATGATTTGTAACAGGTGTAACAATCTGAAGAAGAGGACATGCAATGTCACAGCTAGAGCAAATTAGGGAGAGTAAGTAGTGAAGATAAGAGCTCTGGAACTGAGACCGGGGGGCTGCCAGAGAAAAAAAGGCCATCAGCCAACACAAGTCCTCCTTCTCTTCAATAATGCCACCTTTTAGCCTCGGACCCTAACCATAATCTAGATGGGAATGTGAATTTTTAAGATCAAACCTGAGACAAATAGTCCATTGGTTTAATGATTTGTTCCCCAGTCAATCCTAACATTATCTCTGGAACTCAAAAGTACGCTGAGGGCTGTTAGTTGTTTGAAATTTGTGTTCGAAACGTCGCCATAATTGAACATTGTTGTTTGTGTTAAAAATGGATTCAAATTTCATACTGTCTGACAACAAAGTCGTATCATATTTTATTGTATTTTTTACTCTTCTTGCAAACTGTTTGAACCTTCTTCAGGCTCATGATGGTCATCTAACATACAAAAATAGATCAACTTATTTTCAATGATGCACTCGTCACAGCCCTTATGCTTCCATGCATCCTTTATGTTGGCATAGACGTTAAACATTTCATCTTCTAAAGGGTGCCTCTTCGAGCTGAGAGTTACCCTAACATAGAAAAAGTAAAGTCAAGGCTTATGACAACAGTAAAATGGTGAAAATTGAGCCTTGGGCAGTCAGACTTTCTTGATGTAAATGACTGTAATTACTGTAAATTAATCCACAATCCACATCTATATGGAGCTGTTCACTTGACCACATAGATGAACGGACTGCTCTGCAGGCTGAGTCTGTGTGGTGGTCTGTCTGAGGTCATTAAACCTCACCAGAGAAAAACATAAATATGCACCTCACCCCCTGCATACCAACAGACATACAGACTGACATGCTAAAGCTGGTATGCTGTGTAACCTGCATTGATCACACAACATACCAAGATAATACTAGATAACCAACTTAACCTTTTCTGATGTGCTATGTATGCATTGCATGTGAACAAATGGGCGTGACTTCATTCAGAACTTGACTGTGTAACTGACAGTAATTTTCTTTTACACAAAATGACAGCAAACTTGCAAAATAGCATTCCCCAGGTTTAATGTACAGCCTTGGGCATTTGTACAACAAAGGGGGAAAACTAAAACAGAAGACATATATTGGGTGACATTAGAGTTAATGTAAAAATATATGTTTGCTAAAGCACTACATACAAAACAAGAATTACACAAATTATGCCAAAAATATGTAAAATGTAAATAAGTGACTTCATGAGAAGCCAACCAGCCAGTATAAAGAAATAATCTGAAAACAGACCTGAAAACATTCCAAAATTGTCTCCAAGTAAGCATATAGATTTGCATGAATCTGCAAAGCCCTTCTGATAGAGAAGAAAATGTGACCCAGAAATTGCATACCTTGCCTGGAGAAAGTTAAAGTGACCAAGTCTCAGTGAAGAGACTTAAACAGCTTCAACATTTGCCAGGTGTGCACTTCAGAGCTGCATTATATCTGCTCATCTGCAACTCAGCTGCTTACACTGTCAACTTTTTCAACAAAAATCAATCACAATAAGTTTTCTTTGACTGATTGTTTTTTGCTTTAACTAGTGTGCCTGATGAGCTCTCATTGCCTACATCCATATTGTCCATCATTATTGGATGAGTTTGTGCCTGAGGTCTGGAGCCAAACAAAACTCATGCTGAAAATAGTGCCCTTCTACTTATAACAACCTGCAGCCTTTACAAAGAAGAGTCAACCTGTGGAAATGAGAGCTGAGAGCTCTTAAATGAGATAACAAATAACTGACAGATTACCAAAAACCAAGTCCTTCTGTAGTGTTTGTTTAAGGTAACACTGAGTCTGACACAAATACACACTAACTCTCCATATTTAATGCTAAACTCAGAGCTCTTTGCAGAATGGCGTCTGTATTGATTTACAGTTTCAGTCAGACTGAGGCTGTTGTTGGCTTCCTTCTGTCTCAGCACCAATAGAGACAATGGTGCTGATGCTGCCTGCGTTTTCCTCTCCTCTCAAAGGTTCTCTCTCCTGTTCTCACTCTCCTGAATGCCTGACTTGATGGCCAGCTTCCGTTTGCTGCGGTCTGCAGCTACAGCTTCCCAGCCATCTGGGTAGATGTTGCCTGCCTTTAGGTCTCGCTTGCAGACATCCTTGTAGCGAAGAAGAGGCCTTCCCTTAGGACTGGAACCTGTTGCAAGCTCCCCGTAGAGCATGTCTTTTGGGATTCTGCTGTCTTTGCATGCGGCTGATGTGGGCAAGCCAGCGTAAGCACCTTTGAGTGAGCAAAGCAAATGTGCTTGGTGTTCCCGCCTGAGCCAGAATGTTCTTGTAGGAGATACAGTCCTGCCAGGTGATGCCACGAATCCTTCTAAGGCAGCGTAGATGGAAGGAATTGAGTCTATGTTCTTGGAGGGTCCATGCTTCACTAAGCACACAGGCTTGGTACACCTTCATCTTGGTGTTAATGGTCAGCATGGAGTTATCCCAGACCCTCTTTGCAAGACAAGCCATTGATGTTACTGCCCTGCCAATTCTTGTGTTTAGCTCAGCATCCAAGGAGAGATTTTTTGAGATGGTGGAGCCAAGGTAGGTAAAGGCCTCCACCACCTCAAGGGTGTGGTCTCTGATGGAGATGCAGGGGGTGCTACAGATGTCTTGGCCCATGATGTTGGTCTTTTTCAGGCTGATTGTGAGACCAAACTCTCCGCAGGCACATCAGAGGCAGCTGATGAGGCGTTGTACAGCCTCCTCTGTGTTCGCCGTCAGAGCAGTGTTGTCTGCAGAGAGCAGCTCCCTGATCAGTACTTTCCGTACTTTGGTCTTTGCTCTCAGACATGTGAGGTTGAAGAGATTTCCATCACTTCTGGTATGGAAGTATATGCCATCATCTGACCGGCTGAAGACATACGACAGCAGCAAGGAGAAGATTATTCCGAAGAGTGTCGGAGCAAGCACACACCCTGTTTCACACCACTCCTGATTGGAAATTGGTCAGAAGCAGAGCCATTGTACTGGACGATGCCTTTCGTATCTTCATGAAAGGATTCAATCAGTCTCAGGAGCTTGGGGGGACAGCCAATCATATGCAGAAGGATGAAGATTCCTTTCCTGCTGACAAGGTCAAAGGTCTTTGACAGGTCAATGAAGGCAATGTACAGTGGCTGCCTCTGCTCACAGCATTTCTCTTGCAACTGTCTGAGTGAGAATATCATGTCGACTGTTGATCTCCCAGCTCTTAATCCACACTGTGCCTCAGAGTATATGCGTTCTGCAAGTGACTGCAACCTGCTCAATATGACACGGGCAAAGGCCTTGCCAACCACACTGAGCAGTGAGATTCCCAGGTAATTGTTGCAGTCACTGCAATGTCCTTTGTTCTTATAGAGCAGGCATGTCCAAACTCTTCCACAAAGGGCCGGTGTGGCTGCAGGTTTTTCTTTCAACCAATCAAGAGCATGCAGTCTGACCAATCAGCTGTCTGAAGACTGAGATCAGCTGATGAAATGAATCAAGTCTGGTGTGCTGCTGCTTGGTTGGAAGAAAAACCTGCAGCCACACCGGACCTTTGTGGAATAGTTTGGACATGCCTGTATAGAGTGTAATGATGTTGGCGTCACGCATGTCCTGAGGCACAGTCCCTTCCTCCCAACACTGTAGGAGGAGTTTGTGGAGGTGGTAGAGGAGAGAGCTCAGCTTGCCAGCCTTGATGACCTCTGGGGGGATGCCATCACTTCCTGGAGCTTTCCCATGGGCTGGGGTGTTGATGGCCTTCCTGAGCTCTTCTATGGAGGGCGGAAGGTCAAGCTCTTTCATGACAGGCAGGGAGATGGTGTTTTCCACTGCCGTGTCGGTGACCATGCTCTCCCCTGCATAGAGCTCCTGGTAGTGCTCCGTCCATTTCTCCATCTGTTTATCTCGGTCTGTCAGGATGGCACCTGAGACAGACCTGAGTGGTGCAACCTTGATGATACTTGGGACAAAGCCTTTCTTTATGCCCTTGTACATGGTACCAATGTTACCACTGTTAAGAGGAGAGTTGGATGCTTTGACAACGGTTCAGCCAATAGACTTTGGTGCATTGTCAAGCATCATTCCGGGCCTTCCTGTATACAGCGTGTGTTTTCTCTGTAGGCTCCCTCTTGTAGTCAAGCACTGCAGTTCGCTTGGCTGCGATCACTGGTTTCAATAGAGCAATTTCTGATTCGAACCAGTCTGGGTTCCTCCTCTCCTTCTTGCCAAAGATGTTCATGGGAGATTTGTAAGTGGAGTCCGGGATGTGGCGCCATCTCTCTTCGGCATTGCCATTTGGGCAGTCCCTGAGTACAGCCTCGACAGTGCTGATGAAACGGTCCCACACAGCAGGGATTGATGTCCTCGCTGTGTTGATGCACGGGCGTCCTTTCTGCTTTGAGCAGTGGATTTGCTTGTACTGAAGAAGCACCTTGCTGACAACCAAGGAGTGGTCAGTGTCGCAGTCAGCACTGTGGTAGCTGCGAGTAACAAGGACGCAGTTCAGCATGACCCTTTTAGTGATGACCAGATCCAGTTGATGCCAGTGGTGAGATCTGGGATGCTGCCAGGACACTCTGTGGATGGGCTTGGTGGAGAAGAAGGTGTTAGTTATGCAGAGGTTGTGGTAAGAGCGTAACTCCAACAGTCTCTGCCCATTTTCATTCAGCCCGCCTACGCCAAAGTGGCAAATGTTGTGAGGCCAGGAATTGTGGTCGTCCCCGGTTCAAGCATTTAAGTCCCCAAGCATGAACAAGTGTTCGGCCTCAGGGATCTCTCTGACAGTGTTCTCCAGATCCTCATACAACTCATCCTATGTCTCGGCAAGACAGCAGAGTGTGGGGACGTAGATGATAAGGATATTAACCGGGCCTGAATATGTTGAGAGGCAAAGAGAGAGTATCCGAGCTGTGCCTTTTGATGGTGGTTCAACTGATGTCATTATGGAGTTTCTTACTACAAAACCAATGCCATGTATTCGATGTTCCTCTGGTTCTTTACCCTGCCAGAAGAATGTGTAGTCCTGTTCACGGAGGCACAATGTCCTGATGTTCCACCTTGTATTGATTTACAGTTTCAGTCAGACTGAGACAGCCAATCAATTTCATGAACAACATATAAAAGTATGGAAACAAACTTTTCATAGTCAGACAAACACAGTTTCACTCAGTCAGACTGAAGTCGGCCTCAAATTTCTGGGCATGCTCCAGGGTTCATACGCTGGCCTTTGAGCTGGAAACCAAATGGCATAGATGTGAAGCTCAAAACCATATAGTACAGATCTGTCAAGGACAGATGTCAAAGGTATAATTAAAGAAGTGTCTATAACCCAAGAGAGTTATTATCGTGCCTCATGGGGAATACAACAATTAGGCTGATGTCAGAAGTGTCATTCCCCCGCAGGGCTCTGGAGTTTTTAGTTCAGCTTGTACTAGTTGTAGACAGGGCTGTGTCTGTACACAGGTGACTCCACATGAGCCCATCTCTTCTGACTCTTCCAATAAGCTTCAGGAGTCCCTAAAGCAGGAATGGCTGTTTGAATGGAGTGAACTCACTGCCAGCATTCTGAGATGATCTGAGCTTTGTGCTCAGAGAGAGAGATTTTTTTTCAAACCACTTTTATTTGCTCAAAGTTCTCTCGGTACAAACACTTGAAACACACAAAATAAAAACATGCACCAAATCAAATGAACATTAAGTAAGCAAGTGTCCATAGATTAATTCATTGTTCCCTACAGAGCACAAAACTTCTTTGAAACACCACAGCTTTTTAAAATTTTCAACAGTATTTGTTGAAGTGTAAGAGCTGAAATCTATTTTCAGTCTGGTTTTTACCATTTGACAGAAAATAACACAAACATCACAGTCTAATGAATCTTCAATTTTGTTCTTCCTGCTCACATGGATGGCTATTTTAGCCTGACCAAACAAGATGTTGACCAGCTGACATTTAAATTTGTACTTTTTACTGTACCTGTACCCCAGAATGAACATTTGATTGAGAATAACTCACCAAAGGAATCAAACATCCTCATAAACAAATCAAACAAAGAGGAGAAGCGAGCACAGTGTAGGAAACAGTGAAATACAGTTTCTCTGTGTGTACAGAGAGGACACACATCAGGAACATTTTGGTTGATGACAGAAACAAAAGCGTTCACAGCCACAGTAGCATGTAATATTCTCCACTGTAGATCAGTTCCTCTCTTAGGTAAAGGAGGTTTAAAGAGCGCTCCCAACTCAGGCCTCTGAGCCTCTGTTAGAGCCAGCAGAGCCCTCCATGGACTGTCTGCTCTACCTGACAGTCCGTTCTGGTTTAACACCTTCACTAATAAATGATACATGATCTTACCTGTCATAGAGCTCAGAGTTGAATCAACATGATTCACCTTTAACAACATGCTCTCATCACATTTAAAAACAGTGAGAAGTTTTACACTTTGAAACACATCAGTGACATCAGGCTGAATCAGTCCATGAGAGAAATCCTGGAACAGGGATAATTCAGAGGGGTCTGAGTAAGGGATGTCGATATACGATATAATCGGGATATGCGATATTAAATGGCCGCGATTTTAAAATCCTAAGGCGGGGCCAGTTGTATGGGGGGGCCGGGGTTGGCATGGCCCACCCAGACGTGAGTGGTGCCCACCCAATCAAAATGTGGGGAATATCTAAATATATATTCGGTCAATATAAAAAATACCACAATATCTGTACCATCTGATCGGGTGGGCAGCCATTTTCCACTCAACAGAACACAGAAAAGTGTCTTGGTTGTGAGTCGCACGGACTTTGACCAGTCTACGGGCTGCTCGCAAAATGTGCAGACTATGTAACAAGTATTGACTGGACCCAATTGCAGCACAAACTAGGAGGTTAACTTTAACAACAGTCTTTATTTAACACCCAATCCAATGAAGCAGCAGAGTATAGCAGGTGGTTATGGCAGGATTCGAACTCAGGTCTTCCGGGTGTTAGGCGAGCAGATTAGCAGAGGACCACAGGGCAGGCAAGAATTTTGGGCTCGTGAGCAGGGAATTGTCCACAGTCTTAATTTGCTCTACGAGTGTAGTGAAGGGAAAAACGCTCAACTCACAGCTGGAGGAAGATTTCTTGGAGAGTGGTTCAGGTGAGGACTGGGTGAGGATCCAGAGCTTGCAGAGGAGCTGGCAGAACCAACGTCGGCAGAGGAGGTGAGTTGGCGAGGTGAAGCTGACGAGAAGGGGGATCTCAACAGAGCAGGAGCAGGCTGAGTGCCATTCAGCCGCAGGCAGACGAATAGCAGGAAACAGGCAGGCAAAGCTCGTAGTCAAGGACAGAAGGCAGGTAGGTAGTGATGTGTCCTTCAGTGCCGAGGCTTCGAAGCGTGTGTCGAGTAATGAAGGGGGCGTTTCCACGAAGCGCGTATTGAGGCTTGCTTCATGTAGGGGTGGAGCCAAAAATGATGACGTCCGAAGCCTCGCTACACGGCTGTACCACGTGACTGATTCAAGAAACGGTTCACGGGTTTGGCGGATGATTTAACAGGCAGCGAAACGCAATTGAGTCCTCCCCCACTCACAATCCATAGACTCGAGACTTGTTGAAAAGTTGTTTTTAAATATAAATTAATAAATATAAATGAAATGTTTATGTTTTATATGTTGTCCCCGTAACGAAAGTACGAACAACAAACTAAGTAACACTAGCACATCCACACCACAACCCTCTCCATAATTCATGTCCTCTTCCCCTTTTTGACACTGCCACTGTGTCTTAAAGACAAACACCATATTAATAACTTCATCATTTCTGTATGTTATCACAAACACACGGCATCACATCCATTCATTCATTGAATTCAAAGCTTCGCGCACCAAAGCCTCAGGGTGTCTTTGGTTTATCACTCTGCCTGTTTTACATTTATTGTCCACTTGATGGCGCAATAGAGCAAATGAAGCACGATCATGAAGCTTCGGCCCAGGAGTCGAGTAATTGGATGGAAAGCTTCGATGCTTCATGAGGCTTCATCTCGCCATCACTACAGGTAGGTTTACCGGGGCTGAGGCGAGAAGCAAAGGTCAGGGGCAGATCAGGTCGATACCAGGTAAGCAGTCCGAGGATAAACGCTGGAGAGTCAGGCATGAGAGCGAAAGCAATCTGGCAAAGAGTGAGGGGAAAGAAGCTGCATATATACTGGCCTGATTGGAGATGATGAGCAGGTGAGAGCAGCAGGTGGAAGCAGTTAGCTGATGAGGGGTGTGGCTGAGCAGCAGAGCAGGAGAGGGGCAGAGCAGACTGTTACAGACTAGAAGTGTTGAGCTCGCAGCACACAGGCAGACTGAGAGGGATGAACTGTGTCTACAAAACCCCTACACATAACCACGCCCTCAGCAACGTGTCCACGAATCATCAGCGAGACACAGACAGCAGACAGAAACTAACATTTTAAGCGGTGATGTTTCTAAAAAAGGAATTAGCAAAAAATAAAAGTTTACTCGGACATACACGCTTCTCTACACACAGTCACATAGACACTCTCTCTGTGAACTATTTCAATATTTTCGCTATTTCAAGTCTGCAAACAAGCCTGCTACAGCTACTGCGTCTGCCTCTGCTTCATGTGCTCCTGCTCCGAGTCCGAGCATGAGCAGTAGTCGCAGCAGCACAGCTGATAGCGCTGTTGCTAATAGCACGGCGGCTAGTAGTACAGCAACCACCACAAACACTGTCTCAACACCAGCCGTAGCCAATGCCCCAGCCCCCTTAGTAGACTGTGACGTAAATGCAGATGCACCATCCCAACCAGTTTTAAACATCATATCCAAAATGTGCGTTTGGTACGAAATTACGTGCATTTAGATCTACCTGGTACAGCACCCGACTGTGGCTCCAGTACTCTGTTCAGAAAGACACATGTTTCTGTTTCCCCTGATGGAAATATATCAATGCTGGCAATGAGAAGGACGTTGTTTTTACCGTGCATGGTTTCAACAACTGGAAAGCAGCACTCGAAAGTGGTAGGGGATTGCAGAAACGTGCGAGCAGCTATGCTCATGTACAGGCTGCTGCGACCTGGGCTGAACACAAGGCGAGAGAGGCAACCGGGGCGACAGTTGACAGCATGCTGGTAGGTTAGACAGCAACTGAAAAGAACTGGTATTATGGGAAAAGTATTGATGAGGTTATTAAGTTTCTTTGTGTTAATGAGTTGGCATTCCGTGGAACCAAAGAAACCTTAGTATTTGGCCAGTCTCTGTCCCACTCTAACCACAGTCACAGTGGCAGCAGCAATGTAGGTGAAGGTGACTGTGAGGATATTGCTGTTGGTCTTCTTTTGAAGTTCTTTTTTTTAAGTTGTTTAACCCTTGTGCACCCCTAGGGACCGTTTTGGTCCTTTGTAACTATACTTTTGTGGATAATTTTGGCTGTGATGATGCAAATGGCATGAAAGTTTGTCAAAGTGTGTAATTTTAGGTGCAATTTAATTTTTTTTCTTTTTTCTTCCTTTAACCTTTTTTGCATGTGAGCAATTTTTATACTTCAGTAAACACCCCTAAGGACCGAAACGGTCCCATTGACTCCCATTAAAACATGTTTTCTTCAATACACTGCCAATGCAGTATAATTTTTTGATTTTTTTTTTTCTCATGTACACCTATTCTTTGAGGGTCAAACTGTTTTTTTTTTTATGCCGACCAGCAGATGGCGCCATTTTTCTTTTTTCCTGCCATACCCTTTAGAACCAGAGGGGCACTGTTTTCCCTTTGTCACAGAGCTGGTTTATTTCATGCATATAGATAGATAGATTGATAGATATATAATTTATTGATCCCAAACTGGAAAATTCTCATGTTACAGCAGCAAAAAAATACAAAATAGAATTAAATATAAGAAGAAATATGTACAATGCAGACTAAAAATACTAAATATATACATTAAATACAGGCTAAATATACTAAACATCTTTAGAGAGAAAATAAATTTAATAAAAACTATTTAGGTGTGCTTTTGGGACATCATGGATTATGTGCATGTGTTTTCATGAATTACTTATGTGTGTGTGTGTGTGTGTGTGTGTGTGTGTGTGCATATGCAGCCATGAGAATAGCCAAAATCCTTCCAGAAACAGCGGCAGTTGTACAATCTGCACCTGCAGTTTCCTTCTGTGTGTGTGTGTGTGTGTGTGTCTGATTGTGTGTGTGTGATTGTGTGTCTGATTGTGTGTGTGTGCGCACGTGTGTGAGCAAGCTCATGAGGTTCATAGCGGGCACCTGATCAATGTGAGTGCGTAAAAGCAAGCAAGGAAGGGATGGAGTGTGTGTGTGTGTGTTTGTGTGTGTGTGTGTGTGTGTGTGTGTGTGTGTGAGATTGTGTGTGCAAGCGTGCGTGCGTGTGTGCGTGTGTAAGCGCACGCGCAAGGTTTATAGCTGGCACCTGAAGAGGGAGGGCTTCATCAATGTGCTTACGTAAAAGCAAGGGATGGATGGATGGTGTGTGTGTGTGTGTGTGTGTGTGTGTATGTGTGCGTGTGTCTGATTGTTTGTGTGTGTGTGTGTGTGAGCGAGCGCACGAGGTTCATAGCAGGCACCTGATCGATGTGCGTGCGTAAAAGCAAGCAAGGGATGGATGGTGTGTGTATGTGTGTGTGTGTGTGTGTGTGTTTGAGATTGTGTGTGAGATTGTGTGTGCGTGCATGCATGTGTGAGCGCACGCACAAGGTTCATAGCGGGCACCTGAAGAGGGAGGATATCATCGATGTGCGTGCATAAAAGCAAGAGATGGATGGATGGATGGATGGATGGTGTGTGTGTGTGTGTGTGTGTGTAATACACTACAGAAAAAAAATAATCTTTTCAAATCAATTTTCTCATCAATGTTTACCAATCCCATGCTCTTATTATCAAAAGTTTAAAAAAAACAATTGAATTGGAAAATAATTCATCAAGTTTGTTTTTTGACTTTAGATAATATCAGGTTTTTACAAAAAAGACTGGCATTTATGGGGTTAAAATACAAAACCTGAATAAAGTTTTGCTATTTATGAATAGGTTATAAGTCAATGATGGCAGCCAAAAAAAAAAAAATTTAAATACATTTATTTAGACCATATTTTTACTCCAGCAAAATGGAGGGGACCGTTTCGGTCCTTAGGGGTGTTAATTGAAGTTTTTATTATTATTCAACACTACAGAAAAAATACAAATCCTTTTACATCCATTTTCTCATCAATGTTTACCGATCCCATGCTCTAATAATCAAAAGTTTAAAAAAACAATTTGCATTTATAGGATGGAAAATAATTCACTAATTGTGTTTTTTGACTTAAGATAATATCAGGTTTTTACAAAAAAGACTGGCATTTATGGGGTTAAAATACAAAACCTGAATAAAGTTTTGCTATTTATGATTAGGTTATAAGTCAATGATGGCAGCCAAAAAAAAAAATTTTAAATATATTTATTTAGACAATATTTCTACTGCAGCAAAATGGAGGGGACCGTTTCGGTCCTTAGGGGTGTTAATTGAAGTTTTTATTATTATTCAACACTACAGAAAAAATACAAATCCTTTCAAATCAATTTTCTCATCAATGTTTACCAATCCCATGCTCTAATAATCAAAAGTTTAAAAAAACAATTTGCATATATAGGCTGGAAAATAATTCACTAATTGTGTTTTTTGACTTAAAATAATATCAGGTTTTTACAAAAAAGACTGGCATTTATGGGGTTAAAATACAAAACCTGAATAAAGTTTTGCTATTTATGATTAGGTTATAAGTCAATGATGGCAGCCAAAAAAAAAAAATTTAAATATATTTATTTAGACAATATTTCTACTGCAGCAAAATGGAGGGGACCGTTTCGGTCCTTAGGGGTGTTAATTGAAGTTTTTCTTAGGGGTGCACAAGGGTTAAGTATACCTTAGAGAAGGATGAAAGGCTGGCAGCTATTGCTAAGAACATCCTAAAAAAAATGATACCTACACCTCTAACAATATACAAAATGACATCATTGAAACACTAGCCAACATGGTTCAAGCAAAGATCAGGGAGAGGTATTCCAAGGCTGACTCATCAGGATATTGCGTAAAAAGTGATGGGACAAGGGATGGCTGTAATATTGAGAATTTGTCCATCATGATACGGTTTGTGTGTAACGCTGTACCAGAGGAGCATTTGATTGGTTTACTCCACCTGCATGAACTTAATGCAGAGTACAACACCACCGAGATATTGAAACATCTTTCTGATGCTGGCTACAGTGCTCACAACATTGTTAGCCAGTGTTATCATGGTGCTTCAGTAATGAGTGGAGTACGAGGTGGTGTGCAAGCCCTACGGTCACAGATGGTGGGTAGAGATGTGCCGTATGTTCACTGTTACAACCACCAGTTGCATTTAGTGGTTGTACATCCTATGCAGGGTGAGCCATGTGCCAAAAAGCTTTTAAAACTCTGTAATTCCCTGTATCACTTCTTCCATCACTACTATGTGTCAGAAAATTATGATGATGGCAAGGTGCATTGTGGAGAATGAACAATGTCTTTGCACTATCCTGTCAGAGGTTTCGAGGATGATAAGGCTGATGTGAGCTGGTGCACTGAGGCATCAGGCCTTTTATTTCAAATGAAGACGCTGCATTTCTTTGAGATTGGCAAATTCCTAGTGCGAGTTCTTGGTGCCTTGAAACCAGCAAATGACATTCTACAGTCTAAGTCTGTGGATATGTGTGCTTCTGGTCAGGTTATTACTGATTCACTGGAGGTATTGAAAGACATCCGCAAAGATGCACAGGATGAGGATGTGTCACATCCTCCCAAAAGAATGAGAACCCTGAGTAAACATCTTGGTGATAGTGTTGTGTTGTCAACTGTGGGCCATACAGATTCTGACAACCCCACAATCACCCCCTCTCAGTCTCTGAAACGATATCTGCTAAACATTCTTGACAGGACCATTTCTGAAATGGAGAGCAGATTTGCAAAGAAGAATGTAGACATTATGAGAGCCATATCTAGCCTTGTCCCTACATCCACTGTGCTGCAGCCTCTCCATGCACTTGCTGCTTGTGGACCTAGTGAGGACTTTGTGACTCTGAAAAATGAACTTCTTGTTGCAAAGCGAATGTTTCTCAGGGAATGTCCAACTGCAACAGACCTGTCTGCTCTGTGTAAATGCATTGAAAAGACGAAGTTAGCTTATCCTGTGTTGCACAAGTAGCGGGGCGGATAATAGTATATTACAGGAGAATCGTTCACTTGCGGATAAAAGCACCAAAATTGGCACATATACTCCTTAGGAGTTGCTTTTTTCGATATTTCCATCTGGCCAAATGAAAATTCAAGATGGTGGCCATTTTTCAAGATGGCCACCGTTGAAAATACAGTAATATTGCATTTTGCAATAAAATCCCATAGACTTGTCATATTTGGATGATCTTGGTGTCAAATCATACATTTTCCACTATGCAGAATCCAAATTTGGACCCATGGACTTACTTACTGGCTTCCTTGTACCATATTTCAGTCCCAGAATCCTTATATTCTGGTATTTATGAGGTTTACATTATGTCTGACTTGGGTGAAATGGTTGGTAACATATATCTTAGTGTTGTTAGAGGTTTAGTGTGTGTGTATGCGTGTGTGTGTGTGAGAGAGAGAGAGAGAGAGAGAGAGAGACTGAAAAAAATGTGTCTGAGTGTAAAAAAAATCCAAAAAAGAAAAATGCTTGACCTGCCTGCATTACATCTCACTTAATTATTAGGCAACACTTCTCACTCGCACATACACTTTCTTACAACATTACTATTAATCTGGC